CCAAGACATCACTTTCCTTTTTGTTTTCAATGCCCTGAGGCTTAGAAAATGTTTTCAGCAACAAACAGGAAAAAAGGATAAAAAGGATAAAAAGCTTCAAAAGGCTTCATATGACCACAACAATCATGTCCACCTGCTCACCTGTTCATATTCCTAAGTCATCCCCACCTACTGTCACACATGATTCTCATTATTTCATATAACCAATTCACCAGTACTCTACCTTTGCTAGTTTGTCATGTTTTGGCCTGCCTGCCTGCCTTGCCCTGCCCTACCCTGCCCCGCCCTACCCTGCCTGCCTGCCTGCCTGCCTGCCTTGCCCTGCCGCCTGCATTGCCCCTTCTGGATTAGTTTCCATTGTTTGGACAGCCTTCTCGTGCCTCACTGTAAGCCTGGTACATTGGTTTAAAGTGTCAGTATTTGGATCCTCAATCCTATTGCCTAGTACACACATCTGTGACACAAATACCTAATAACTTTGTTATGTACCAAAGTGCTGGTCAGATGGAGAACCATAGTGATTAAGATTTTTTAGACTTGGAAAGTACAAATTTATAACAGAAAGACTGCGATAAAAACTTTGAGTGTGAAAGACGTGGGTGTATATCAGGCAGGGAGGATCAAATGAAAGATGCTTTCAAGTTGCATTATGGGTAACGTATGATTCAGAGGTTTTGGAGTTTCATCCATTCCAGGGAAAAAATGTCTGGATATTTCAGCTTCTACTACTTCAATTTTGAACTTTATATTTTTAAACTTTCTCTTGCAAGTCCCCCACTTTTATGGAAGTAAACTATTAAATTGCTGAAGGTGCCCTGTGAGACTTTATTTCCTGAAACTAGTAGTCATTTCTATGTTTAGCTTAAAATAACTGAACACAGACGTGTAACCATTTTCTATATGTGGCCAGTTGTCTGTTTATGCGTGAAGATGTTGAATTCCCATTTAGTCCCTGCACATTTGGGCAGGTATGTTACAGGTTGCAGCATCGGGTAAAGTGAATGCTGCAAGAGTTCTTGATGCTGCTGATGTTCTGAATGTTGACGGAAATGGTGACAGTGAATAAATGTCCACACAAGTGCTGAACTAATCCTCACCTTAACCTCCTCTCTCATCCAGTTAGTTAAAGGCTTAGATGAAAAAGCCTTTATTTAAAGAGCGTTACAGTTCATGTATTTACACTACATCGCTGTCTTACCGTCATGCCTTTGGTGCATGTCTTGTGCACAAAATATATTTAGACTTATCAAAGCACCAGTATAAACGTATTGGAGCTGATAATTAGTGTAACAAATTAAACTTTAACCTCCCATCTGACATTGTTGTTATGTGACCCTCTGATTATCTTGGTAGACAGTTCATTTTTTGGTGTCAGGTCTTAAATTAACATATTAAGTGTTCATTTGCACCAAATATATGCTTGTGTGTGTTGTTACAGTATTTCAGTGTTAGAAATTCTAAATACGTTCATCAAATGATCAAAGATAAAGCTCCCTCAACCAGGCGACAAAATAATGGAGACACTTTACATTGAATGAATAATGAGTTATAATCATCATAATCATCAGTCTCTGTAGGGATATTCCTACATTTATTAATTATCTCCTCACACATCTCTTATATCTTTGTAATCTGGATTTATACAGTCTTATGTGTGTGCAAATAACAAAATAAAAAAATGAATTATATTGATATGCAACCCTTTCTCATTAGTTAATGTGTAAGTACAGAACAGGATGTTTATATTGTACATACCTGTGAAATTAAATTAATTAACCAATTAATAGCCTGGTCTTTTATTTGCTTCAATTACTGAACTCACCCTGCCCATATTTGGGACAGGCCTTTCATTCCTTTCACACAAAACACTAGTTCAGCAAAGATGGGCAGCAGGGCAAACGGTCCGGTGGCGTAATTTAGATTCTGCATTTCATTTTGATACTTTTCAGTTTAATGTACAGCATCAATACCCTTAAACATCATGTCTCTATAGGTTTATTGTATAGACATTATCTACATTTCTTACTTCAAGTCATAGCAAAATAATATTTTTTTATGGTAGAATTTGCACCAAGACATATGTTGTTTTCTAAAAGTGCATACTATATATCACAAAAACAGCTGATCTTTGACTTGGCATTATAACATAGCCAGTCCAAAGACACCTTTGTAGCATATTTAAATTTGCATAATGAACATCTGCCTACATTGTCACATTGTTCTCTGCTTTTTCTGTATCCTTGGTGCTGTGAATTTGGTTGGACATGATAGTGGATCTGATGATTGTTTTTCTCATAAGGTTGAGTATAGATCTGATCTTTTCTTAAAGTGTGGCCTTCACAGACTTTTTTTTTTATATCTTCCTTATCTGAGAACTTTACCCATTGCCAGCTGTTAGACGATGACTTGGTGTGGGAGGCAGCCTTCATCAATTTGACAGAGTGGTCGCTCTTGATGAACTATTTCTACAAGAGCAGGGCCTTAGAGCTGGTGCTGTTTGTCTCTAAAAATATGTTGGCATTTGTCCTGAAGCTCTCCCTTAAAATGTCAAGGCTTCTCATTGCTGGTGGGACCATTCAAATGGCCTGCAACACCAAAACTCCATGTCTGGTTACAGCATATTTGAGTGGGGTGACATAGTACAGCAAAAGTAGTTTTTGCTGGAAGGGCCACTTACAAAGAGAATTTGCTTGTTTACTTGCCGTTGTCTTTTCAAACAGTTTACATACTGTTGTTCATGTCTGTCAGAGGAGCCCTAAGACTGCTCTGAAAATCACAGTGTGAACCGCAGGAAACGTGTGTTCTGTTTTATGTTTTGGTCTTGTCTGTGGAAAGCTATTGTAGTATTTTTTAAGTAAGAGTGGTCCAAAATATCACAAACCCCAAACATAACCACATTAACTAATATGAACTGCTTCAGACTCTTCAAAGCGATTTATATGGGGCTTTAAATAAGATGAATAATTTAAAATGGACAATAAAAAGGAAAAGATACCTTCAAATGAACAAAAGAATAACAGTGTAAGTTCTAAAAGTTAGAGTGCAGTTTCAGTGCAGTAATAAATAGCCCCGATTTCAGTGAAGGGAATAAAAGTGTCAATCAAAGACACATTTTTTTGCAAGCCATTAAACCATTCCAACTAAAAACACACAAAGGAGTTTAGATAAAGATGTAAATGCATGTTGTTGCATGTCAACTGATACTCTCTGTTCTCAAATACCCAATAAACCCAAAACTCTGTCCTTACGTACACTGAACATTGAGCAGTACAATGCGGGGAAACCATCTGTGAGATAAACTAGTGGGACTCCCAAATCAGCCCATTAAGCCAGGAAGACAACAACTGAGTTCCTTTAGAAGGCAGTTAATGGGGGTGAGAGAGAGGAGAAAAAAATTAATTATGTCCTGATTAGATAACAAGTGACTCATTTAAAATGAAGACACCTTTCAACTTGAAAAAACTGTATTTTGCTTTAAATAAACAAAGCGCATTTCTTTAAGGTCAGTTATGTCACTTTTATTAATTTTAAAATGATTAAAATGTTTATTAATATTCTACAAGCAATGGCACATTGCATGTGTGCATTATTAACTTAAAAATATCACATCATTAACACTCTAAAGATTTCAGAGGTTTCCCCAGTGAGGGCTTTGAGCCCATACTGGGAATCCTCATGCTGCTCATTTGTAACCTTGAATTTTCAGGAGAAGAAGGTCTGATGTCTCAGCCTTGGCATTTTGCCTCTTAGAAACCTTGCTTTTTATTCTCTGCTCTCCCACACATTCCTGCCTTTATCTCAACCCTCTTTAAGCTCAAGGGTGAGGGCAATATTAGGCTTCATATACTACTGACTTCAATCAAAAAAAGTAATAGTGACAGTAAGTTGTTATTGTGAATTTTTGCCAAATATGTTCGCATGGGAAAGTGTAATTTGCATGTTGGTTTTCTCACTGTGAAGCCTGCAGATTTGAGAGTGAACACAAACGGAACATTTCAGTGCCACTGCACCGGAATACTATCGTTTTATATATTTATTTATATATAACTGAAGTCTTAACATAAGGAAGCTTAAAAACCCAATTTCATTTAGTATAGCATATGATATCTCTCTCTCCAAAAATTACTTTGATTGAATTGTGTCTTTAATAGACTCCCATTTCAACAGGCTTAAGCAAAGCTACTATAAGGAAATAAGATAAGTAGAAGATGCAGGTGTTAAATGTTGCAGTCAGTGTTCTTATCTGGGACATTTCTGTCTGGCAGTCTTTCATGGCCTTCGTAGTGCTTGCTGCTGATGGAACTTAATTCAGTCCTTCGAGAGGGTTAGAGGTAGGGCAGTGTTGAAACTCATAATATTATAATTTTCTACAACACATAGGCTCATGTCAAACCTGCTCAACTCCAAATCTCAAGTACACAGTATGTAATTGTCTACTTATCAAACAAACTAAATGGATGAGACGGGAAGGACAGCCGAGTGGTGGTCATTTTGATGTAATGTCTTAAGTGGAAACTGCAGGTAACATGATGTCTTTCGCCCATATACATCCACTCTGGTTACTTCTTAGGGTGAAACTAATGAAACTAATATATGTGATTCTCTTTAAGGTGACAAGATAAGGGTCATAATGCAACATTGTAACAAAGGTACAAAAAAATACATTACACCTGTTGTAATAACCTATAATCAGATGATGGATGATTGGCTTAGAGAGACAGAAAATATGGTAAGTGTTGTAATCTTTGAATCTGTTGCCGTTCGATTGAACTGATCACATACTATTTTATTACAGAAAATGAAATGTAACTGTTTTATGAGTACTGCAACATTCTGGCTTGACAGTAATTTACCAATTGGGAACTTTGTGTCTACTTTAATGATTTACCATTAATCCTAGAAAAAGAAAAAGGTGTATGCTGATGAATCAATAATATATATATATATATATATATATATATATATATATATATATATATATATATATATATATATTGCAAAATCCACTATTGGGGAACTAGGAAGTGAATTGAACAGAGACGTGCAGTCTGCTGTGGTACAAACAATAAGAGCTAAAGGCTGAAACCTAAGTTGCGTGTCCAAGGTGTGCCCACTGAGCAAGTTCAACAAATTAAACTTTTGGCTGTAACGATTGCAAATTGTCATGGTCAAAGCATACTGAAGCTATTTTTAAAGTGTTCCAAGTTCAATATAAGGTGACCAGAGCTCATGTCATTAGTCTTCAGTTTGGTCTAATGCCCCTAGCACTCACATTAAGATATTACAAACAGCTCCAAACAATGCAGCCCTCTATGCTCTTAGTTATTCTTATAGAACACATGTTGGTTATTTGCGTAAATGTTTATCTTGGCTTAAAGTAACAGACAAATTGGAAGTCTCAATCCTTACTTGCTTAGAGTAGAGTCTTTTCTGTTAGTAAGTTGCAGGAAATCTTATAAAACTTTGATTTTGGATGGACATTATTATACTTGGCTAACTATAGGAGGTAAATATATATTGCGTTTTCAAGTGCATTGAAAAATGTTCTAATACATAGAGCCATTCTCTCACTTGTATATGTAATTCAGGAAACAAGCAAAGAAGAATTTAAATGTCTCCATGAACTCCTACTCAAACCCCATCCACATCTTATATGCAGATATAAAGCCATGTTGTAATATACACAGGTATTATATCAATCACACTTAAATGTTGAATTGATGTAATAATGGTTAAGTTGGGTTCATTTATAGTACTGTATTTTGTTGACATAGGCTATAGATCACAGTTTGCTCCTCAGTCCCTTCAGCCACACACTCTCATCCCCAGCCCTCTGCATTACTCTTTTTAACTCCCCAGACTTGGCAACCTCAAGCTGTCCACCAGATGCCATCTGACTTTTCCTCCTTTCCCTGTCACCTGACTACCACACCCAACTACACACCTGGGCCGATTTCATCCCCAACAAAACGTAGCAAAACGTTTATTTAAAAGGAGACAGTGGTGCCTTAATCACCCTATTGTGCACGCAAGCTCACTTCACTGACCCTTTAATATGGCTTTTAATACAAGTTGCTACTGATTGGGTAACACCTCTGACACACCCACCAAATGACAGAAATAGTGCTTCAAGTGTTGTTCAAACCCCATTGCACACAATTGCACACCGTCGTTGAACTGTAGCAAACTGTTGCATAACTTTTTAAGATTGAACTTACCAATTCTCACTTCCCTCATCAGCTCTGAAGTTACCTGGCCTACTCCGCCCACTCCTCACCTGCAATTAATTCCCTCATCAGCCACTTACAATATATACCAGTTAATTTCCTTTGTTTATTTGTCAGTTCACCCTAGTTCCAATGTGGTTAGTTAGCTTGTTTTTGCTTTGCCTTACCTTACCTGGACTTGTATCTGCCTAACTGCCTGTTACCTGTTTGTTGCCTGCCTGTCTGTACCTGCCAGTAAGCTCATTTATGCTGCAATAAAATTCATTGAACTGCGCCTGTTTCTTCCTGCCCTGGCAAACCCACCTTGACAATCCAAGGTACTTAGCAATGTTATATATTACATAACTGTAAATAAGTTGTGAACTGGTGTTATGGTGTGCTGTCTGTTAATGTGACAGAACCCCAAACTTTAGTCTAAATAATGCCTTTCTTTGACACAATTTGTTCAAAGTAGAAATGTAATAAGGTTAGTTTGACATTACGTGGAATGTACTATCGTAGTAAACAATATACTTCATAGCGGAGTATGTACAAGTTTTATTCTGTTATAAAATACAAAAAGTCTAATTTGCTCATGTATGTTGACCTACTGTAATGCTAGAATTGTTGGTTTAAAAGTATTTTATATGGTGTATGGTAACAGTGAACATTATATTACATTACAGGTGCCAACTCTGCCGTCACTGATTGTACTTCGTGTTCCCACGTCCAGCATCCCAAAGGAGCACCTGTGTGGCAGTCAAAACACAGAAAATAATCAAAAAGTTTCTTCTCATGTTCTAAATATTATGATATCCATATTTGTTGATACCTCTTTCTTGACACTTGTTTTCCTTAATCCAGATGCTCTTCTAAATAAAAAAATATTTCACTGCAGACAATACAAACTGCCTGTCTGCAAACAACATTATACAGATTCAGTCACAATTGTATTTTTAGCCCAGACAATGGTGGTCCGCTATGTTTCCATTATTGCTATTAGAGACAGAGTTCAGTAAAATCTGACTTGTCATGTACCTGTGGTCTAGTTGCAAATAGTGGAATTGTATCTTAACAGTACAGTAGGCCTGCGTACAATTGGTATGTGAAGACAATTGCAGCTCAGAGACTTTGTTAATCCCAAGTTGAAGAGTAAACAATGATTTCAACAGGAAGTTATGCAATTATTCTTTGATCATTTTTATTAAATGAAACCCTGATTTCACACATGGTGATAACCATAATCCATCAACATAAAAAGATAGCCAGCTAAAGAGACTAGAACTTCACCAAAACAAAATCCATGATCAGACATCACAGCACCAGACAATTTGTGGCTACAAACATATTACCCCTAGTCATATGTAGCCTATTAAACACCACTAGGATGCCTATGTCCTCAGCTGACTTTATTGTCTTTCAGAGACTGTAGCAGCTCAGTTTTAAAGCTACAGTGAAGATACTGGTATCATATGAAAGTAGATAACCTAATGGATCCATATGTGATGCTAGCTTGTCGGAAAGGAGATAAATAATGGTCTAAATTTAGGCTAAATTTAGGTGAGAGTAAAAAAAAAATACTAACAGCTCATTAAATCAAGTAATTAATATCCAACCAGGATTTAGATTCTGACATACAGTAAACCTCCGCTAACTAAAGTGCTTCAATATGTGCTTTGATGCAGACTAAATGAAGAAATGAAATCTTTTGTCTGGCTCTGTCAGAGAGAAGGATTTTGTTGGTTACATTTTTTTTTAGAAATTATACTGAAAGATTTTTAAATTCTGGGTTTCATGCATAACAATCTAAGCATCAGTAAACATCCTTCTCGGTGGTGTTTTGTTGTTTACCTTGTAACCCATCCAGATAATCCTTTGCATCAGTAGTAGTTTTAATTTCCTGCTTACACAAATACAGAGGTGTGCTCACAGTATTTGTTGCTGCTGTAGTGAAACTGTTGTGGATGTTCAATTAGTTCACATTTACTTTACATTTGTTAATAGTCAGTGGAAGCTCTTGTATGCAATAATCTCTTAATTCAATTTTTAGTGTAGAATGTTTATGTAAAAATAGTACAGTAAGCATTAGTGTACATCAGTGTACATAATTTTGAATACCAGTATGAGCATTTTTGTCAAAAACATTCTGTTTTTTCTTTTAGTCATTTGAAAATCTTACATCTTACATCTGATATATTCTCAAACTAACTGAGAATTTTTAGATTTTTAGATTCTTTTATTAATCCATTTATTACGTTTTATTAAGTAATTTAGCATATTTTTTTCTGGCTTAGTACAAGAAATGTGTAAAGGAACATGAGCAAATGAAGTCTTAACACCTAAACACCAGAGCCAAATATGACTGAAAATTGAATGTGAGGAGATCTATTGTTTTGTAATTCAATACGCAGTTTAATTTTTTACAGTTCAAAAACTCAACTTGACTGGCAGATCAGTCACTCTGAGCAGGCCTAGTATGCAGGTATGCTTTTAGCAGGGAAATTAAATCACAGTCCTGGTTGTTAAATGGATACAGCCTTTTAGCTTGCACATCTTGCACGTATCCAAGGAACTGAACAAACATCATGCATTGTATCATATAGATGTTTAACAGGTCAGTGAACTGCAGAGAGGTTGATTAGCTCTTTCTCCCCATCCAAAGGTTTGTTTTGACAGTAGAAGCCGAGGTAAACAATACAAATCTCTCTAAATGGCAACTTCATCCAATTTTTTCCCATAAGACAGTAGCCTGTACTAATCAACCTTCTTTCTTTGTTAATGAAGCATTCCAGTGATACAGAGATCTCAGTACTTGCCATAACATGCCCCATTACATGCTCAGCTGTGTGTGACTCACAAGTTTATGATTTACAAATAAATACAATGTGTTATCATATATCATCATCATCATAATATATACAATATTAGTAATACCGATCTTTTAACTGCATATTTTGAGAATATATGTATTGTTACTGCTGCAGAGTGTGTTGCAGCAGTAACAAGACACACATATATATAATTTAGAAAATTCAGTTAATCAGTCTTTTAAACTGTTGGCAGTCCCCATACAAATGGACCATATGACCAAATATTCAGTGCAGAGCACAACAAGTACAGTGCAGAATATTCTAAATCTATAACTGTAGCATTTCTGTAGCTCTCATAGCACCCCCCTCTCTCTGTTGTCTTATTCATACCTTTCATACATACCTACCAAAATTTTCTATTCAAACAAAAACCTCTTTCTCAATTAAGTATCATTGGATGAGATACGACTGAATATAATAATGATGTTCAGCCAGTCACTGAAAAAGTAATTATGTGAGCTCAGTGATGTTTTTATTTGAATGTTTTTTTAGTAACAGACAGGGACCCGGTAATCCTCCTTCAACCATGTTTCTACCTCAATTAACAATCTCTTCCAAAAAGGATACGTGGCTCCTCCAAGCACAAGTCAGAGTGACATTGAGAGTGCACCATCCACAATGAACGAGGTCACACTGCACCACTGAATAGAAAAGGCAGTGCTGAGGCTTTCCTGCAACATCAACTTATATGGCAATTTATTTCTATTTCCTTCAACAATTGTTGAAATAAGACAATGAGGAAAAAAATTTATCGCTTCAGAATATTCAACACATTTTACAGTATCATGAATTAATCCTTGATTACCAGTGTATTTACCAGAATGAACATAAAGAAGGTGATCCTGTCCCTTTAACTTTTGTTTAATGCAGCACTGCCTCACACTTTAGTCTGGAACAAAATCAATTGATCCTATAAATATTGTCTGTGTACCCAAAGCTTAATAAATCTCATTCCTCTGTGCCATAGACTTTTGTTGTTGTCCAAAAGCTATTTAAAACAATTCACACCGTTGCACTGGGTTGTATGTGGTATTGCAGTTTATTTTAATGCAATCTTCCTCAAAATAAACTATAGTATCTGTAAATACGCACTAAAGAGCACCAACTATGTATTAATCCCTGGCTTAAAATATTCCTCATTAAATGCACAATTTACAGTGACCAGCTGTTCAGGAAATTACTAAGCCTTTAAAAAAAGACCAAGTCTGCAGCAATACTCTGTGCAGTTAGGTACAGTGGTGCTTTGAGCTAAATACTAATATCAGCATGCTAACATGCCTACAATGACAACATTATGTCAACATGCTGATGTTTTAGAGATTTAACATTTCTGTCCATGAAATTTTCAGAGACAATAATATAATGACAGTGCCACGCAAAATGCTGTAATTCTTTTCTATAGCGCTTTAACAAAGCATTTGTCACAAAGACACTTGCTACACATACATAGACTTTAGAATTATAGAGATCCTTTATCCTGCTCTTTCTGTCATGGGTCTATATAGTAACTCTCTCCTACCATATGTTTTGGCCTTGCTGTCCCATATTTCACTATAGATATTAGAAATATTTTACTTGATCACCAGGCTCTCAGATACTCTCTCAGCTGGAGCTTTTGGGGTTAGCGCCCTACAGAAGAGCGCTCTTTTTACCATTATGTTAAAGATGAAACCTATTCACAATACTATACAGATATAATATTCTGTCTATTTATCAGTGATTGAATTTTTTGTTTTTAGTTAGTTATTAGCCTACATCCAACTTTAAAAAATGCTTCTGAGAAAATAAGCCTAATTCACATTAAAGAAATTATGTAGGAAATGGTTGCTTGTTTGTATCATAATGCTTCACCAACTGCTGGCTTGCTTGTAGTCTGAATCCAGCTCTGCAAAGATGCACTCCCTTTAGCTGCCCCCTCAGCTCTTTCTCTCTCTTACTGCCTATTTTTTAGCCAGCTAGCAAGCTAAGATTGGTTCATGTGATAGCATAGAAAAGCCACTTTTGTGTGATGTGATGCAAACGTGACAAGCTGTGCATTGTTTAGAAGCATGTGGAGATTTACAACAATACCAAGTTTAAATGCTACAGTGTCACATGACGGGGTGTATGCTGCCCCATCTCATTGTTCCGTGGAGTAATGCCTATCAAAAAGGAACATAAGTGATGATGATGTGTTAATTTAATTTAGTCTGAATTTTGCTACATTATGGGCTACAGCATAAATTTTAAAAAGTTCCTTCAGAGGGGCAGTTCAGTTCAAAATGAGCTTTTGTTCGGGCAACTTTAGCCTGCCCTTGTGCACATCCTTGAGTAGCTCTATCTGCAGCAGCTACAGCTGCAAAGCCTTAGCGGCTAATTAAGTGCTGTTAAAACTGTAAAGATGTCACTGCCAAGACTATGTGATTGTAAAATGTGTCAGGACCAGCGACACCTCTCTGGTGAGATTAAGAAACTGTAAAACAAGTATTACAAAGAGAATGAACATTCCTTACTTTACTGCCATATGTTTAAAGTTAGTTAATAATTGTAATTGCTGCCCAAAAGGTCAGGAGTTGCCCCAATAATGAGATCATCTGTTTTTGAAATAATAAGACCTCAGTGCAGGTTATTCTACAACAGCAGGCCTCTAAATTCTGATGCGATACTTAGTCAAACATATACACATGTTGAAACCACTGTATGCACATCTGCAGGTACCTCTCAAGCAAACATGTAAGTAACAGTCCAAGGAACAGAACATGCTTATTCTTAATATTGACTGTTTAAATTTTGTGGCATCCCAGGAAGATAGACAGACCAACATTTTGCAGTGGTAAACATTTTTGTTTTCTTACATTATATTGCCAACAAAGAACTTTGTCAAGATACAGTATCTGTTTAGCAAAGGATAAAGGCACAAAAAAGGACTGTCAGCTATGAGACACAAACACCATCAACAGTGGCATATTTATAACAAGCACTTTAGCTTTGCTGTTTACTGCATTTTACAGAGATCAGTTGTTATTCAGTGAACAACCACACTATACTGTACAGTCAGTATAACTGTAATCAAGCGGTAATCACCATATAAAGGAAATTACATACTTACAGTAAAGATAATGCCATTTGTAATATGCTGCATTAAATAAATGTTCATGCATGTGACATTTTATGTAGATTCACTTTTTTAAGAGATGTGCTATATTAATACTGATTGACTAACGAGTGAGAGTAACTTTATGGTTTGCCATTGTTTGAATGGCTGGTCAGTTACAAGTAGGAACACCATCAGGCAGGTTACCAGCAGCACAGAGCACAGAGCCATGCTTCTGTGTTCTGGAGTTGTTCAGCTGGTAATAAAGACCACAGCATCTTCTTAGGCATTTTTGATTTCCAGGTTGTGTTTCTCTCCCGGCAACTTCCACCACTTGCAATCTCAGCAGTCTTTGCTAAACTTCATCTTTAATGAACAACGTATTAGCTCATACATCAAATAATTTGAATGATGTAGCTTGCTGGGAGTGTGCTTGGACTAGGTGTAGAGACTGCCTGATTGGCTGAGCCCAGGGCAAAATGTTCCTCATAGGCATCCTGTCACCTTTACCCTTAACTCCCATGACAGACTGACTGCTGACTATCAGATGGAAGTCCACTGAACGCTCACATGGACCTACCAATATGTCCAGGTAATTATTGTTGAATAAAGTTTGGTAAATTGTGTGATACGTGTTTCTTTGAATTGCATTCCTCTTCCAAAAATGTATTAATTATTATTTTTAATATATAAAACTAAAAGCTAATATTTCCATTTTCTAGGGGTGGCACTAGCTCAGTCAGTTTGGACTTAGCTTGGAAACCGGAAGGTCGTCGCATCGAGTCCAGCACGAACCAATGACGAAGGTGTCCACTGAGCAAGGCGGCCCACTGCTCCTAAATAGGATGGTTTAAATGCAGAGAACTGATTTCCCCATCCTCTATTTCAGAGTTGTTCATGTTGTATATACTGTATACCAAATCCACCTACCTCATGTACATAATACTTATTTATTTCAGCATTTTTGCACTCATCACACTGTGTACATGTATGCTTGTATGTGTATGCGCACCGGTATATCACATCCACCTCTGACATGTACATAATAACAATAATGGTTACAATAATTTAGTCCTGCATCCTTTGCACTCTGCTCATTGCACTATTGTCTCAATCTGTCTGTTTTGTTTATAGTGTGTGTATATGTGTTCTCTATACTGTAGCCTGTGTGTGATTTTATTACTGTATTATTGTATGATTGTATAATTAAGCACATCGTAAGCATTGTACAATCCAGATTCAAATTCCTCGTATGTGTACACATACCTGGCAATAAAGCTGATTCTGAATCTTCTGATTCTGATTTTTACACACTTGTGTTAACTTGAAAGAAAATGTGCTGAGATTTGTTTTTGACAGCAGTGACATTTGTGGATGCTCTGATTTGGAGGTTAGGATTTATTTTTGATGACAAAACAAGAGGTATCATGATGATTTATGCCTGCATTTTAAGTCTGTAATCATCAGGAAAAAAAACGTAACCATAGCATAGACCGTTAATTTCTGTAACATTATTTAATTTGTAATGGATTTGCATCTGAAAACATTCCTATGTCACTTTGGAACAAGTGTTATTATTGCAATGCATGTACATCTTAATTATAACTACATAACATTAACCTTAAACCCTAAATACTTAATGTTTCTCTTTGAAATATCAGGTCAGACTGAGATAAGTTGATGAGAAAACTTCGCTGCAGAGTTTTGAGGAGGATAAATATCAAGAACAAGAACTTTCTTGCCGGTGGGAGCTCTTCTTGCGGTCGTCTATCTCAAATATCATCAATCATGTCATCAAATCATCCTCCTCCATGTAGATATGAGAAAGGATGGCAGTCAAACAAAGCCAAAAATACTGGCTATGTATACTCCTGGCCAAGATGTGTACAAAACATGTCTGCTACCAGCATCACAAACTTCAACTTCGAATGATGTTTATCTCAGAAACAACAGATGTTGGTTTTGAGAAAAAGAGACTGAACAAGCTCCTCAAGGTGGAGCAATGACATTCTGCAATGGGACTTCAGTGACTCATTCTATAACCGCTTGAAGCAGATGCTCTTCCTAGAATGGACAGAAAGAAACTGTCCGCATGTTTGCTTCCTGCTAAATGGTGATGATGACGTCTTTGAAAACACAAGCAATGTGGTCGAGGCCTCAAGGACTATACTGGAAACAAGCACCTCCTTATCGACCATCTGATCCAGAATGTGCGGCCCATTAGATCATCATGAGATCAAGTATTTCATTCCAGTTCAGGTGCAGCAGTCAGCTTGTTGGCACAAATATACACTCAGTAGAAATGTCCATGAGAGAGAGTCCTTGCGCACTTGATGATTCAACAGTGGGACAGCCCTAAGCCCTCACAGACCTCTCGGGAACGCGCCTCAAAGTCTGTGAGTGTGGACACTGGGATTGGGCTGTAGACTTCTCCTGTACGCCACTAACTTCCATCACTTTGTCAGACAAGAAAGCCTCAAGTTTTCAAGTGCTTCTCTTTTCACACTATCTAAAAGTGATCCCATAACCAGGCCTATGCAGAGTATTTGTAATCTTTGGAACCAAACATCATCCCATGATTCTTACTCATGTTCAGCACAGTGGTTATGGACTGTGAAAATGAAATTACCCCTCTATGTTAAGGTTTGAAGAAAAAGACAGTTATGACCTGCGCTGCTGTTGTTGTAATACTTTTCACAGTTTGAATTAGGCTAGTGTCACAAACCCTGGGGGCAAAGTGACTTACAATAGCTATATATGTCAGAGGTCACATGCCTCTGGAGCAACTAAGGGTTAAGTGTCTTGCTCAGGGACACATTGGTGGATGTGTGGGAATTGAACCCAGGTCTCTCACACCAAAGGCATATGTCTTATCCACAGCCACATCACCACCCCAAATATTAGGAGTTCTTATGAGACATTTTCAAAAAATACATACTTAAGACTGTTATCTTACTGATAAGTGAATTGCATCAAAACTGTGTTCAACTTTGACATAATCATGAGCTCAGACTCAAAAATTTAACTTCTGAGGCCTTACATAAAGTAACATAATGATGAGCTTCAGTCACTCAGTCAAAGCTGTGCTGCCTTGACGGCCTCTTTTAATATTTTTTTTCCTTAGATTTTTAAAGTACTTAAATTGTTGCATCATGCAGCGTTAGAGATTGTGTATTGTATCTCTATAAACAAAGAAGATCTTTGAGCCTTTGGTTTGTAAGTATTAACCAAAAACCCGTTTTAAACAAATTAATAAATATCGTGACAAACTGATTATCTTAGCACGTGAAATTCCTTACCAATTACTTTGTGTATTGTGTTCAATACACAGAGAAAGTGTTTAATGTGAAACTGACCTGACGAACGGAACAAATCAAAGAATGGAGCTCTACCACCCCTTACTGGGCAAACAGTGAGTGGTGGTAGAGTTTCAGCAACAAACGCAAGACAGAACACAGCAAAGAAAACAGGAAATGAAGAATAAATATAGAAAAGTTACACTGTAAACCCGAATAAGTTAAGAATACTCAAAATATTTGTGGAAACTGATTACCTCAAACTTTTTAAGTAGTGGTAATAATATTTGAGTAAACCTTAACTTAAATATAATACTTATATTTTTTTTTAAATCTTTAATTTCTGCATACTAAATTACATTGATTCACTGATGCTTATTAAAATTAAATTCAATAAATGTAATTGTGCACAACTTGTACTCTGAGGGAAATCTACTCAAAAAAATGTATTGTGCTAGACTCAAATACTAATGGAAACTCCTTCAGCAAAATGACTGCTAGTCAACTTCAAATTTACAAAATCCCCATTTTCAAATAGCAGTCCTCAAAAATATGAATACAACTCCATTATTACAGTTCAAGTTCTAGTAAACAATCAAAATCAAAACTTTAAACATCTTCTGTCATTTCTACATTTAATGGACACAAAATAAGGCACATCTTGCATAAAGCTGTAAGTAACTGACTGCTTGATCAGATAAATAACCTGCAACAACTGTGATAATCAGTTTGTTTTCATTTTTTATTTGCAATAATGTTGAACATTCTCTATTTCCAGATTCTTAATGAGATTTTTTTGGTGTTAAGTGATAATAACTTGAATCTCTTGAGCAAAGTCCTTTGAGCTAAACAAAATTTCCTTTTACTACTTACTTTACTGTGTTTTGTGAAATGCATCATTTTATTCCATCAGCAGCACTTTTACTTATATAATATAAAAGGGAGCTTTAAATGCGGAGTAAGAAAAAAATGACCAATAAATTAAAATAAATAAATAAAAGAAATTAAACTTTTATGGAGTCATAAACAAATAAAGATAGCTAATAAAGATTGTTTAAAATAAGAAATCCCACAATCCCAAATTGTTAAGTCACATAGAAGAGGTAATGGAACAATATAAAAAAAGAACAGTGAGCAGAAACCTTTGCTTTGAATATCCCTCGCTGTAAACTTGCAGTAAACATACTGAGTATATAGATGGACAGTTCAGAGGTGCTTTCAGGAGTTTGTAAATGTTACATTTATTCATTTAGCTGACACTTTCATCCAAAGCAACTTACAATAGCTATATATGTCAGAGGTCGCACGCCTCTGGAGCAACTAAGGGTTAAGTGTACTGCTTAGGGAGACATTGGTGGATGTGTCAGTGTGGAATCAAACCCAGGTCTGTCACACCAAAGGCATATGTCTTATCCACAGCGCCATCACCATCCCCAGAGAAGCAGACAGATCCATCCACAGCCACCTTTCACTTGGGTTAAAGTGGATCGCACCAGGAACGTCAGTGTCAGTGACCACAGCAATGTCTGGTTCATTTTCGCACTGCAAAATACAAACAATCCAATTATGAGGATCATTATAAAAGAAAGCTAGCACCGCATGCTCACCGGTTCCCCCCCAAAAAGCATATTTAAATTTTTTTCCAAGCCTGTCTTGATACAATGCCAAAATGATTTACTGGTGGCTGTTGATTCCTTCCGTCTATACTGACTCTATAACGCTTTCTTAATCTGACTCAACAGTAAGACAATGAGGACAAAATTCTAAAGTTTACAATTATGAGGCTTCAGCAGTCTGACTTCATACGCATTTTAGAAGTTAGTCTTTTTGTGTTTACTTGCTGAGCTGCAGCAGTGGGATACTTCCTTCCAACAGTAAACCTACACAATGACCTAAAAACAATATCCATTTAATTTTTTAACTAGAATGCTTAAGCCACATTTGGCTTCAACCAAACCAAAACCCGGTGTCCTATGGGGACTATGGGCAGTTCTCTTTGCTGTCATTGTTTGCACTTGCCAGTACCCACTATTAAGTACCAGTGTGGTGAACACAACGGCGATTCTAATATTTTCTGTATATTTAGTAGGGGGTAAGCATTGGTGTTAGTAGCTGTATTTAGTTTTCTGTAATCAACCCAAACCTTGGTTTGGCATCATTCTTTTTGGTACCAAGACCACTTGAGCAGCATAAGGTGAGGTTGATGGCTCTATGATGTTATTTTTCAACTTTTCCTCCACATGCTCTTTAATTGTCTGACGCTTGGTTGATGATACACGATATGGCTTTTGTTTAATGGGCACTTCGTGGGTGAGAAATACGAAACCTGCAATAGAACAGAGAGGGGGGCTTGGGGAGGAGAAAAACAACAACAAACAAACAAACCCAAACAAACAATAAAAATACTAATAATAGTAAAAGACAACCAGCTGAACAGCAGCAATAAACAGCTGACATAGTTAGACAGCTAAGAGAAAAATGAAAACAAGAAACAGTCACGCACAATAAATAAGCTGGAATAATAACAAATTAATTTAAATAAGTAACTGAAAGAAAAGCATCAGGAATAACTCTACCAGGGACAACCTAAATTTGTTTGTGTCTATGTGTGAGACTATGTGTGTCTGTGTATGTCGCTCTCAATGGTTTTCTCTAGTTCGTCCAGCACCGCACCACTGTGTGGGTGAATGTGTCTGTATGTGTGTGTGTGTGTGTGTGTACATGTGTGTTCGCATAAGCCTGTTAAAGAATGTAGTTGTTAGTGAGAGTGGGACGCCACCCTACCCCAGCAACAGGCAGGCAAGAACCCCAGTAGCTAATAGGGGTGGGAGATTTAAACCAGTATTAGATTTAAACCAGTAACTTCTCTCTAACACAACCATCTGCAGGCCGGAAAGAAAGATTAAAGCTTGATTTATACTCCTGAGTAGGGTCTACGTGCGTAGCTACGCCGTAAGCTACGCACGTAGCCAGGCATTTATACTTGTGCGTCTGTGTATCCGTCAATCTGCAATTACACTCCCAAACGCCAGTAGCGCTACAGCGTCCACTGTATTGACTTTTGCCAGCCGAGCAGGCTAACTTCCGGTTTAGCCCTCCACTAACGTGAATGGGGGTAAAATTGTAAACATGCGGCTGGTATAGCCTTTTCAAATGTTATCGACCGAATGGATGACATTCTGATACTGAAACGAGTCATTTAGCTCAGATTGTGACGGTCAAATATATTGATCCACCGTGTTACAGCCGCCGTTTTGGCCGCTAGTAAAAGTTACTTCAAAGCACGGGCATTTCCTGTCGGCTCGGAGGAATTGCGAGGCTACCCAATCACAGAGACCAATCACAGAGCTTACGGTCCGAGTCGCCTCGACATGTAGTTACATTTTTGAGGAGGAGCACGTCAGGCTACGCCGTAGGTGACGGCGTAGGGTAGGGGGCTACGCAGAGGCTATGCCGTCGATTTGACGCAGAAGTATAAATTGCATTTAAGTCAAGACCAACCACAGCAGAGAAGGCAAGGCACAATGACACCAGATAAAGTTACTGGGTGGTGCTGTAATGTCAGATGTATCTCACTCGATCCTACAGGGATTTTCCCTCTCCATCGGCTAGGTACAGAAGGCCCTCTTGTCCAAGGTATCAGGACGTCCTGCGGCCTGTTAATTCTTGACCACACATTTTCAATAATCAGTGTATACGGCGATCCTGTGTCGAGGATGGCAGTTCCCTTCGATGATCCAATATTTAGGGGCACTCTCAACTGACAAGGAAGCTGGTTACCAGTTAGGAAAGTGGTGAGAGCACTAAGCGTAGCCTATTGCAGCTCGACTGCGCTGCTAGCCTTTGATGCCAACTTCCGGGAACTATTCAAATGCTCCATGATCCGCCATTGCTGTGAAAAACTCATCCACTGGAGTGAACAGAGATGACACTACTCTCTCTTTAAAGGCCTCTTGGCCAAATGTAGTAGCGGCTTTAGCTGATGTTATCTCCACAGACACTGAATGTATGATAGTTTTGCAATGGGACAGCTCATCCTGCAGGCGAGTTGCTGCATCAGACATGGGGGTAAGAACAGAGAAAAGATCCTTCAGCAGTTCAGTATGATGGTGTTTTAGTCTCCAACCAAGGGATGCATTGAATTGTGCTTTTAGATATTCTAACTGCTTATCCACATGTCTGACCACCTCTTTTTGTTGCTCCTGAAATGTATTTGTTAGTGCTTTAGTTACTTGTTCCGTATGACTGGTGATTTCTTTCCCCATTTTTTGTAGCTGCTGTTGAATCTCACAGTCAAAATTTATTTCCTCTGGAGGTGGAGACGACAGGCTGAGATCCCCCAATACTGTTGTCCGTTCCGGCAGCCTTTTGGGAAATTAAGGGATGAGCATGCTCAGCAAATTCAGTGAGGTCCATGTCCAAAAGTGAGTATGTTGTGGCAGGCCCAGGATTTCAAAGTGGTGACTCTCCTTTCATTTCACACCACAAGGATTCTGAGTTGTAAGCCATTTTTATTTTCCTTTGTTCTGTTTGTTCCAGAAATAAAGTTTGTTTTATTTAATGTTTATTTCACTGTAATTTTGTCATTCAATGCTGTTTTCCATTTGGATGTCCCATTTGTCTTTTCAGTTTTTTTTTTAATTTTTTTTAATTTTTTTTAATCCAGGGGTGCTAGTCAGGTCTCTCTCCAGACATTTGATTTTTAGGTTTACTGCACAAATGTCACAAAGGACGCACATATAAAATGTATACCCTCGCATTGAATTATAAAACAGTTTGCTAAGAAAAACCAGCACTCAAAAGTTCAGTTCACAACAAAATTTTGTATTTCATCAACCATCAAAGAAAAGCAAATCTCAAAATAACACAATGCAATCAACTTAAAATGCACATCAAGCCAGTCCAGTTTAACTGAACTAGCAACTTAAATTCAGTCCATCACAAAGCAGCACAGAAAAAACAAAGAAAACTGGCCAGCGCAGGAAGTTTTGTTGAACTTAAGACCGGAGACAATAGGAAATGGATGGCTGTGATTATTGTACTCAGCGGTGGTATAGAGGTGGAGTAGTTTGTGGCCGGTACAGTGAATAAATGCAATTGTTGATGACTCCAACGGTTTCAAGGGATTAACTACCTCAGTTTTACTGCTTCATCTAACAAAGAACGTGTTGCTCCGCCCAGAGCCGGTGTTCTGTCGATTTATGCTACCTATCAAGATGTGCTACTTAGAGGTTCTGCACATGCGCACGACCCACAAGCGTGGTCTGTTTCCACACCCATAAATCTGCGCAACCTTGCTGTTGGGCATGCCGTTGAGATAGTGGCTGATCATTAAAGAAAATTTTTTGTCTATCAGAATACGCCAACCCTGATATCTTAAATAAAGATGGCATAATATAGTATTTTAACATGATCCCCATCTCCTTACAGTACACATGGAGTGAATAGTGGTGCAATATAAAATGATTCTGTAGTGGGAGCATTATTTGATTGGATATTAATCTATCAGAAAACACTACCCCTGAAATGATGTTATAATATAATAATAAAACAGACAATGTCATAATACTGTGAGAGTTATAACTTTACCAGCTAAGTGACCCAGGAAAGAATATCCCTCTCAGCTCCCCAGGACACGTACCTCGCCCTCCAGACCCATCCTTTCAGTTTGACACAAAACCCCCTAAATGGTCCGAAGTCAAGCAGGTAGTAGACAAGGAAAGGTCTGCATCAGCTCCAGGACCAAATATAGAAAAACTGCCCTGTAGTGCTGAAGCTGTTGTGGAAAATGATGAATGTGGCCTGGAAGAACCAAGTGATTCCATCTGAGTGGCGCAGAGCCATTACCACCTTCATCCCAGAAGAACGAGATTCCCGCGATATTGGCCAGTTTAGAGGCATTGCCCTTCTAAACGTGGAAGGAAGAATCTTCTTCTCAGTGTTGGCAAAGCGAGTCACCAGATACCTGCTGGATAAGAGCTATATTGACACCAGCTGTCAGAAAGCAGGCGTACCTGGGTTCCCAGGATGTGTAGAACACTCAACCATGATCTGGGAGCAGATCCAGACGGCCAAATGTGAGAAGTCCGATCTCCATGTGGTCTGGCAGGATCTGGCTAACGCCTATGGCTCTGTTCCCCACAAGCTCATCACCTTCGCCCTAGAGTTCTTCTACATCCCACCTTGCATCCAGAATCTGATATCCACCTACTTCAGCAACTTCCAAGTCTGCTATACAACAGCAGCTGTGACATCTAGCTGGCATCAGCTTGGAAAAGGCATTGCAATGGGTTGCTCAATCTCGCCCGTACTGTTCACTGCTGCCTTTGAAATTATCCTGATTGGCGCAAGGCAGATGGTCAGAGGAGTCCGATTATCATCAGGTCTGAAGCATTGTCACAAAACAGCTCTGCAAGGGATTGGAAAGGATTGACCAAAGCAATCTCCCAGGGAAATTCAAAGTCTGGTGCTATCAGTCCATCCAGTACCAGTGCTTGATGTGGCCTCTGAAGATGTGTGAAATCACCTCAACTGTAGTAATGAGGATGGATTCCAAGGACAACATTTACATCAGAAAGTGGCTAGGCCTACCGCGATGCTTCACAGGTGTGGGTCTGTTTGGGAAGAACATACTGCAGTTGCCACTGAAGTACATCAGCCTGGGGTTCTAGCAGGAGAAGATGAGACTCGTTCTAGAGTTGATAGACTAGTCACACCAGCTTGTGAAGAATAACACAGCTCCAGTTCGAACAGGTCTAAAGTGGAGCGCAGAGCAGGCAGTTGATCAGGCTGTCAGCTGTTTGAAGCACCAGGAGATCATTGGTAGGACACAGGCAGGGAGATCTGGCCTTGGGTGGGGAACACCCACTAAGATGTGGTCCTCAGCCACCAAGAAGGAGAGGAAAGGCCTGGTAATCTCTGAGGTAGTCAGAATGGAGGAGAATACAGGATCAGAGCTGTTGGGCAACGGCAACAAGGGAGCTGGACAACCAGGGAAGGCGTAACCAACCGGGTCAAGTTGGGCGGATATGTGGAGGATGCCGCAAGCTAGGTTGAGCTTCCTCATTAGGGCCACATATGACACACTGCCAAGTCCAGGTAATCTGTATACGTGGTATGGCTCAGAGGAAAGATGCCAGCTCTGCAATGACCCCAACCCAAGCCTGCAGCACATCCTGTCTAGTTGTAAGACAGTGCTGGCGAAGGGTCAATATGGATGGCGTCACAACCAAGTCCACAGGAAACTGGCAGAAGTTCTAGAGGTAAGCAGGCTGGAGGCCAACCACAATAACCCTCTTCCACAAAATCATCTGATTCACTTCGTCAGGCAAGGAGCAGCAGTCAAGGCCACCACTCAGAAAAGGAAAACCGCCCTGACCCCTGGAAGCAATTGGAAGCTGAGGGTTGACCTTGAAAGACAGCTCAAGTTCCCAACTGAGATCATCACAACCTCTCTTCAGCCAGACATTGTTCTATGGTCAACAACTGACAAAGCAGTGATCATGGCAGAGCTAACAGTCCCATGGGAAGCAGGAAGGGAGGCAGCCTTTGAACGGAAGAAGGATAAGTACTCAGAGCTGGCAGCTGAGTGCAGAGAAGTTGGGTGGAGGACAGCCACCTTTCCTATGGAAGTTGGGGAAGACCATGAGGGAACTGGCTGAGGAAGCAGAGAAAGGGAGTTTCTGGCTTTGGTTGAGGAAGAAAGATAAGGCGTGGGGTAGGCAAGGGTCTTAAGCATACTAGGGTCAGTTGCAGGGGGCGGCTGGGAGATGTACCTGCCGTTGCTCCACCATCCCAAGATGTTCCAGGAATAATGGAGCAAAACATCAATAAAGGGTGGCTCCCAGCTGATGACCCTGCAGCTTTTTTTTGCCATGCAGGTTTTCCTGTGCTGATACATGGGATTGGAAAAGGGAACACAGAAGGTAGCATTGTATTGACTTTTGCCAGCCGAGCAGGCTAACTTACGGTTTAGCCCTCCGCTAACGTGAATAGGGGTAAAATTGTAAACGTGCGGCTGGTATAGCCTTTTCAAATGTTATCGACCGAATCGATGACATTCTGATACTGAAACGAGTCATTTCCCTCGTGTTGTGGCGGTCAAATATATTGATCCACTGTGTTACAGTCAACGTTTTGGCCGCTAGTAAAAGATACTTCAAAGCATGGGCTTCCCAGCCGGCCAATCATAGAGCTTACGGTCTGCGTCGACTCAACGTGTAGTTACATTTTTGAGGCTACGCCGTAGGTGACGGCGTAGGGTAGGGGGTTATGCAGAGGCTACGCCGTCGATTTGACGCAGAAGTATAAACTGCACTTTAGTCCCGCCCACCGGGGATGCATGGGGCCTCTCATTTCCCAAATTTCTGCCTCCTTGATCCTGTGACCCGGAAAGCGATCTCAACGTGCCATCTTGAAGGACATCTCAATTCCTAAAATGCACCATGGAGGATCAAGGAGGCTTGCTGGAGGAGCTATAAGCGAGGATACACAGCTGCTGTGATGTTTAAAAGAGGCGTGACACACAGCTGGACCAACCCACGGCCAGAGCAGCACTCTACAGGGTTCCTGTTGTAATCATAAGTTAAATCAGTTAAGTGTATTTAAATTGATCGGATGCGTGATCAAAGCATTGTTCTAACTGCGTTCCATAGCCTAATGGCATTTCCCTTTCATATCACTAACGTTGTTATTGTTGAATGTGATGTGTGGATGGGCAGGTAGTATTGCAAAAATGAACAGGCTTGCAGGATGAAGCATCTCCCCATGAGGCTGTGCGCATTTACGCACGAACCACAGCAACATAAATTACAAATTATCTCCCGACACACCAACAGGATCGATCAATATCTAATCTTAATTTATGTTCTTCTGCTCATCCAAAAGGTGTTTGGAGTAAAACAGCCGTCCTCCTGATCAATTCTGTGCTCCATCAGAGCGTCTAAACATGGATTATAGAAGCAGAGTTTCCTCTGTCTGTCCAGTCAAGTTTATTACAGCAGAATTTTTAATTTGTCCCAACAATGTCCCACAATTTTTGATTTGACTTTAGTGCTTGATGTGGGTGATGTAAATAGTAATTTATGTTGCTGTAGCTCATGCGTAAATACACACAGCAACTCTTTAAAGGGCTCTGGACACAAACTGCCGAATGAACGAGCTGTCTGTTGGATAGCAAGCCTGATGTAAGACAGAAGTAAACTAGCTTACAATGTTAACTGTCCTATCAGATACGGTAATGTTACCAATTTTATAACTTTACCCACTTTGATTTACCAGTAATGTTAGCTAAGCTAATTGTTCAGAGTAGTGGCAACCCGAATGTAACCTAAGCTAACGTCAACAGGATAAAAATCTGTTATTCACACTGGGGACATGTCCCCATCACTTTTTGAAAGCGTTTGGTAAAAATAGCTTGCAACATGAAATGGTAAAGAACAAATGAAAGTGCTTTGAGAAAGGTTTATTTGCACTTATTTACACTTAGAATAAACAAGCTACTGATTATAAAATGACCCCAAAACGTGCATCACCAGTCAGTAACTTTAACAACGTCTTGTCACAGTTTCTTTTTAGCCAAATTTTCCATTCTCTCCCTGTGAACATGACAAAAGAGGGGGAAGACCAAATCATGCCTGCGTGTGTGCAAATTCAATAGGGATGATATTACATGAGAAAAGTTTATCTACAGGAGAAGCATATGTGAAAGCAACACAGACTACCTGAGAGCTGCACTGCATTAGATTCTGTAATACTTACAGATTTTGTATTGTCACCTGCCACCTGAATTTTGTGTTTCCCTTTCCATAAATAAAAGCATTTCCATCATAAATTGATGTAGGAAAGGCAGAACAAAAAATGTCACCAGAATGCAGGAAATTAAGTGTTTAATGCTCAAAATTATCTGTGGGAGGACCCCCAGACACCAAGTACTCATATTTCTGCTTTGATGATTTCTAATACTGTTAAATTATCACCACATCTCGTTCTTGTGACAGCAATATGGTGCATCACCACATCTTGTGAGTCACACCCATAATCTGAGCCCAACCACCGCTTTTCAACACAAAGTGATACACTTGCCGATCCTTTTCACATTTTCTATATAATACATTTTTTTAAAAGTTTAATTTCTGCACAATAACATTGATTCATTGATGCTTTTTGGCAACTTTATAAAACTTAACCTACTGCTGATGGATAAACTCAGGAGCAGACAGGGAGACAATTATCTACACCCCAAAAGCTAAACTTCTAAAGTCTACTGGGGTTAAATTGTAACCCTTAGATCTGGGAAAATTCATTTGGTTAGTTTTGATGCTCTCTACAATGTTGATATTATTGAGCGGCACCAAGCCGCTTTGAGCCTCATTAATGGCAGGAAAACACATGACCTCAGAATCATTTCAGATATGAATATTCATATTTGCCTTTTGTGTCTTAATTTACTGCTTTACATGAGGACCACCTCTCTTCTACATACATTTGTACAGAAAAATCCAAAGAATTCTCCTCATTAGCTTAGAAGGACTAACGTTAGTTTGCATCCCTAATTTGCTTTAACCGTAGTCACAGTCTTCTTTTAAATTAATTTAACTATCAAGATGTACAGTAGACGACAGAGCTGTGACCTTACAACTTAATGTCGATCTTTTCGTCTTGAGACTTTCACCGTCACTTTCTGCCGCTCTCTCCCTCACATTTGCTCGTCATTTGAAGAACGGGGAGATGGAGACAGTCATGCATTGAGTGTTACTGGTGCTTACTGAAAATCATTAACAAGTGTGAAATTTTAATAGCGGCGCTCATTCATTAAGCAGCGACAGTATAATAATGTGCTAGAGACTGGTTTTAAGCCCCAAGATCTGTTTTTCCCATCCAAGAACCGATAAGGTGTAACTTCCCCATAGCTGAAGAATAAATCCGTTTTATATCTGTGGAACAATCCGAAAGAGACTTGTGGCAATAACACGAAAGCTGCCTGTTAGTCTTTGTAGTCGTAATACAGTGAATTATATTTGGACCGATTTGGACTAGCGACACAAAGAACTCCACCACGGGAGGAAAAAAACAAACACTCTTGAGCTTTGGGGGGGCATTTCAATGAGCATTAGAGGTCGCATTACATGGATGTTGGAAAATACCCATTTAAAATTATTTAACACCTAGAATATAAACTCTAGGTAATTTTAAATGGGTAATTATTTTCCAACGTCCATGTAACGCTACCTCTAATGCTCACTGAATTCAAGACATTTTAAAGGCCTTTTTAAGACCCCGCTGAAACCCTGCAGGACCTCTACTTGACAGGTGCTGTTATCACAGCTGCTCCTTTAATCTGGAGGTCTCAGAGTGTTTGATTGTCCGAGTGACAGAAAGTGACGGTGAATCTCAGGAGAAAATTATTCTGGAAGTAAAAGCACAGTGTCTGTGTGTCAGGTATTAAAAGCTTCAGCTTCTCCAGACCAACAAAAGTCTGTTCCCAAACGGCTGGAGAAAAGAAGCAGGTTAAACATCTCCCCTTCAGACTGGAAGCTGAGCAGGAAGCTAACAGAACATCTTTTAGTTCAATTAATAGAAAGTAACAAGCAGCTGTATTTTATTCCAGCCTACCTGTCCAGCTGAGAAAAGGTGTTCAGCTCCGTCCTGAACATCCATATTTCGGTCACACATAGTGACTTATGTTAGAGAGAATGCAGGTTTGAGGCTTCACTTTTCAAACCTGGAGGTTCCTGCTTGGTGAAGACACAAAGCTGCTTCCTGGTTTCACAAATCAAAACATATTAAAATATTTCCGTGTGGTTTTGAAACGGACCAATCCAAGAACGAGACACAGATTCAGGTTGTCTTCACACAGGTGGAGGTGGGGCTACGTACCGAGGCGCTCCTGAGCTGCTCCTTTCCGGGAGCGAGGCGAGGAGGCCAGAGCCTCACGGCAGGACTTAGGAGGCTTTGTCTGGGAGTCTTCGTACTCCTGCAGGAGGAGGAAGTGATATCAACAGCTGCCGCAGTGATGTCACCCGTCAGTGTGTGAGTGCGTGCGTGTCCTCGTCACCGCTGGCCTGAACGTGCAGCAGAGCCTGAAGGATCGGGGTCTGAGTGAAGACTGGCAGATACAGACACAATCAATCAGCTATCCGTTATCAATACCTCCTGAACCGATCAGTATCTCAGTATATTGTCCTGCTTTTTTTGTCCAATCACATGCCTGCGTTTGGTACAAACAGTAACTGCAATAGTTTAAAGACCCGACCAGAATCTCGGTGACAACTTAGTTGGTTAACTTATATGTCGGCTAACATGCTAATCAGTTTAGCTAGTGGTAAGTAGGGATGGGGATCGAGACCCGGTTCCACAATTTCTCAAAAGCCGAAAATCAAAAAGGTCCGAGCTTATCAATACTACTATCGAGAGTGGTGGGTCCTATAATGTAATGTTATGTGTTGAGCATGCTGAGACGTGATGGATAAGGTAATGTTGGGACAGGGCTGGGACTGTTTATCATGAGGCTGCAGCCTCAGCTGCCCCCGCCCGCCGCCGCGCCCAACAGTACACAGAAGCCGTTGCAATTGTTACCACCCATAGAGCGCTTGTCTGCCTGTCTGTTGAGTTCTGAGGAGCGCAGAGCGACCCCGCGGATCCAAGCTGTCTGAAAAAGCCTTTACCTATAAACCCCGTCACAACCATTGAGGGGGAAATGAATTTATAATGTGCCAAGACCTTTAACATAACAATCCCATACAAAGCAGTCTCTTCCGACTTTTTAAATATATCCATAACAGCAGCAAGGAGTAGCCTATGGTTTTTACAAAACGTATAGGCCTAAAAATTTGACGCCACTGGCTGAGATAAAAAAAAGCAAGCAGGCTTAATCTCTACTTTTACAACAATATTCAGTCTTTTTATAAAATGTTGCTAAACCTAACGCCACTCTCTCCACATGAGTCCAAGCATCACTGGTAGCAGCAGCCAGAGTTTATTTCTATAAGTTTCAGTTGCTGTGCTGCTTCGGCAGATGCTTAAATGAATTCAATCTAGAACCGTTTGCGGTTGTTTCGCTGGTCGCACAAAGTTTACAACGGACAATGTTCTTTGCATCTTAGACTGACACAATAATGGCGGCAGCTACTTACAGCTGTGGAAAGACCTCTCTCCCTTGTTCTCCATTTAGCAGCTGACTTAAACAACGTATGGTCCAGTGCCATGACGTTCAGTAGCGCAGAAACGCAGCGTTACTTGAAATAGTAACTGTAACAATATGACTGTTTTGGAAATAGTAATCCTTTACACTACTTTTTACTGTGAAAAGTAATGTTATTACTGCCCAACATGTTACGCAACACTGATGCGCTTGAGCGACTGGGATACATACTGGCAAGTGTGGAATTGGGCATCTGAACGCAAACATCCTCGTTGCTACTCTGAAAGGAGATAAAGTGGAAACACATCAGCCTGTGGATGCTCAAATCCTCTCCATTTCACTCGGGCAGGTAAAGGTGTGTGTGAGTGAGTGCAGGGAGAAGTCCAGGCAAGTGTAAAACAGGTACATTTAGAAATAATAAAAAAAATAATGGGAATCTGTGGGGATTAAAACATGCTTTTGCAGGGTGTAAAATGTAACAATTTTCCAATAAAGACATATGCTATTCCACATAATTATGAAACATTGTTATTACAACTGAACAACAAGTAGTAATAATTACTGAGACAAGACTGTCAATTTTACATTTACTCATTTGTTAGAGGCTTTTATCCAAAGCAACTTACATTGCAGGAACAACATACAACAAAGCAAGATTAATTTAAATAGCTAACATGACTGCCAAATACACTTTTGAAAGGTCTGTGAAAGTAAATCAGTATGGTAACACTACTTACTACTAAATAAGAAGTTACTTATTCATGCGACACTAATTTGCCACGTCCTTTTAGGGATGCCTGCAAATTGTTTGGCAGGGATATCCACAGTACATCAAGCTAAAGTTAGCTTGTTTAATGTTAACGTTAGCCAACTCCTCACATGTGGACTATGACATTTTAACTGATATGGAAGATTCCAAATATTAACAAAATAACTAATAACAAAAGTACTCTTCCACGACGACAATATTAACATTACCTCTTGCCAACATGGTCTAGTTTGATATTAACAAGTAACGTTAAGTTACTTAGCTTCTCAATTTAATGGTACATTTAAGCTAGCCATCAACTCGGTCACCTTAGCGCTTCGGAATTCTTTTTAAAGAAAGCGTGTTACAGGTGTCGTGCCCAATGACGTTCGAGCTTCATACCTCAAATAATTTTTGGCGCCAAATGATGGTAAAATATGAAGGGGGCGTGGCGTGAGCGAGGGCTCTAGGGATCTAGGCTGAATTCAGTGGGTAAAACATAGGGCCTTTCTCAATCTGTGTTCTTGTCTGTGCTTGTGTTCTTGTGAAACGTCATCTTTCGTGGCCCAAGTACTGTCCCAATACACAAGTTTGCATTTTGGCCAGAACGGTTATAAATCCCAGAAAATGTTCTTGACACGGCCATTTTACCGAGGATGCATCAGCTGGTAACTTGTGTGAACTTGAAGACAGAGATATCCCAGCATTCATTTCGGCATTCAAGGGAGGGGCTGAAAGAAGCTGAGAGAGAGACCAACAACAGAACGTTTTGTACTATTTTGGTATGTTATTTGATCACTAAATCCACTTCTGAGAAGGTTTGAGGCGAGAAATCAACTGTGTAGACGTTAAATATTGGCAGTTTTACTAAAAATGATGGCGAATCTAAAATGTGCTCAAACATTTTCGGAGTTGTGATGCTCCGCAACAGTCATCGGGGGGACCTAGCGAACCAGCCCGCGGGGGGAAGCTAACGAGCCGGCTGGCCAGATCAGCTCACAGAGCCCTCAGACACGCAGACCACTGCAGCTAACACAGCAGAGTCCAGAAACAACAGCAGAGTAAAGACCCACAGCTGTTGTTATTCTGTCATTACATTCTGAGCAATTTTGTAAGATTTTAATTTAAGAGAAATCTTGATGATGTACAGAAAATCTGGTCTTGTGAAACTTTGGAAAAAATTATCAGAAATAGGATGAAAGGGACTGTTTTTTCTTTATTATTATTAATATTAATATTATTATATTGAACATTACATTGCTAGTGTACAGTAGAGTTGTGGTCACAGTATTTGCTTTTTATTTGCTTTTATTTTATATAAATTTTTTATGTGCAGATATATCTTGGTAAGTTAAAACCTACAATAAGCTCTCTGAGCTTTTTGTTTTGGGGATAAAGCCTTGCTGTTAATAATAATTAGAGCAATGCAGGCGCTCTCTGTGCTGGGGGTATTTTACAATACCAGCAACAATGCATCTCAAACCGTCAGCAGCGTTTTGTGTGCTTGTGACATTGCATTCTTCCAAGAACGACTAGCAAGAACGTTCTCCCCAAGAACACAAGTCCATTCTTTGCATTCTTGGTTTTGAGAAACACCACAGATTTTTAATCACGGCTGTGCTTACAAATGTGTTGCAGCTGATTGGTAAACACCTCTGACAAGCCCACCAAATGGGGAAGCCTGTTGCCCAACGTTGCACAATGTTGATTGAAAAACTGTCAATTAATAGTGATGGGCAAAGCAAGGCTTTGTGAAACATTGTCTGAAGCAATTGTGCCGGAATTGTGTCGAGGCTTCGACACACTTCGACACCCGTCTCCACGGTGACACCTACTGGTCACTTTTGATATCGACACATCTTGGTAATGTTTAATTGAAACAATGACTAACCTGCTTTTACAATTCTAAACGCCTGTGGCGTTTTTTGGGGGGGGGGGGGGGGCAACAGGGGCCAGTGCCTGTAGCCCTTGGAACCCCCTATGGCCCCCCCTCTGAACGAAAAGTCTACGGCAGTCCGAAGGAATTAACGGCCCGTGGGCCACATCCGGCCCGAAGCAACCTCCATGTGGCCCAGCACATGATCTAATATAGCCTATATGACAACAAAAGTACACGACATGTATAGTGTATGAAAGTATCTAAAGAGTGAGCTACTGTAGGCTATATCATTCCTTCTTATCTCTGTTGAGTTTCACATGCACTGTCTCACATTTGTTATATGTCAAGAATTGTATTCAGAAATATTCAGCTGTTTTGGGGCAGTGTCGGTTTTTTTTTTCGTAATTGCCATCACCAGCCTTGGAAAAATTTGGTCACATGGAACATTTGTTACTGGCAAAGATCAAGTCAGATCAGTTGGAACTGTGTAATTATTATGTTTGTATGATAATATGTTTATATTTAACTTATATCTGTTGTAATCTGTTTTAATACATCTGTCCTCTCAAGTGAACCTGAGTGCTGAGTTTCCTCGAGCTCCAAAGACATTTCCATAAGATGTATCCTGAAATAGTGTTGATGCATGGCTGAATTTTTTATTTTATCAGCAATGAACCTAATAAACCCCTCAGCCCTTCAGTTGCAGACACAAGTTGCCTCATCTGAAGTGGCTGTAAGATGTATTTGTAAAGGAATATTTTTCCACTGTGGTAATGAAAGTTGGTGAGGAATGTTCAGTTTTTATTTAAATTTGTGTTCATTTTGGCAGATGTAGTTTGTGGTCTGGTAAACTGTATTGCGTTATAAACAGCTAAGTGTCTCACTGATATAAATGGGATATACAAAATATAAGAAACACCGGTCAGTGTGATCCAAAACAATCATACAGTTGCAACAAAAACTGAACATTATCATTTTTATGAAGAGAGGATTTATTGTAGAAATGTTGGATTAGACTGCATTAAATCTAGTTAGATGTACCAAATAAACTGGTAACTAAGTCTTAAAGACTAAATACATTTATCACAATAAACTCTGCCCATATCTTATGTTTGTTAGAAGCGTTTACATGGCCTTTATTTTGTAAACTAATCAAATGTTGGTGTTCATATACTGTGTGCCCATTAAGGACTGTACAGAGTCAGATAAATTATAAAATATTGTATTTTATAAGAAAATCAGTTGTCAGTCATGTTGTTGTTGACTGGGCTAATGGGAAATCTTTATATTGTTTGTTATATTAGTATTGTGTGGCACTACAGCTATCCAAGGTATGTTATCAGTTTGCATATTTCTGCGTCAATTGCTGGCTTGCTAATCAGACATACTGAGGATATAAAAAATACTACATTGCTAGAACTGGAGCCAGCATCACAGTGGATGACATTTTAACATGAAAGAAAATATTTTAGCCCTGACTTGAGACGTAGGGGGGATATTGTACTGTTTTAGAAAAGGGCATTAGTCCAGCTGTGACTGTGAAATTTTATAATGAAAATGTATATTTAGCAATTTAAAATTCTCATAGATTTCTTTCAGAAATGATTGGCTGTGATTAAAAGCCGAGAAAACTGTAGATCTATTACAGCATTAAGTGTAAAGATTTTTCACTGTAGGCTCTGTTAAAGGCTGTTATAAACTTATGATGAGATGGTTGAATGACTCCTTTATGGTTCTTAAACTATTTAGTACCTGATTGAAATTCTGTTTCAACCCTGTTCAGACCAAAAATGGCACCGTTGAGAAAAAAACATATGGGTCTGTGTTGGTGTGGGAATGTTGCTTCAGATAGAAGCTAAATGATGAAATATTATACAATTAGTCTAGTTTAAAATATATTTGATTGGCTAACTCAATTCTTAGCCCCATAATCTTTCATTTTGATGCCGCAAAACCTAAGTTAGGTTAAAGAAATTTGCAGGATGACCCTGCATTAATCTGCATACATGTAAGCGTTTACAGGTGTTTGCTGAGTTCATCGCTTTACAAGTGTTGAACCTATGCAACTAATTCTACTGCGAGCTTGAGAGATACACACCACAACTGATTGCCCTGTACAGGCAGAAGGCCAAGAGAGCAGAGGCCCTGCAGAGATCCTCAGGATTTATGACCTTCAGGTGAGTTTAAGATTACCTTTGCCGTAGCAACAATGTTGATCACATAATGGTCATTCAATACAGATTGGGACCTCTGTACTACAATAGTGAAATTTGATTATGATATTGTCTTGTGATGACCAGGAGGATAGAGCCATCTACTTTCAATTGTCATTTCTCATTTGCATTTATTTTTGTATTTTAAGTTTTCCGGTACATGATCACTTTAAAAGCCATTTACAAACTTATTTTAAAGAGGTGGTATTATGCTTTTTGGCTTTTTCCCTCTCCTTTACTGAGTTATATATCTTTTTTGTGCATGTAACAGGTTTGCAAAGAAAAAGCCCAAAGTCCAGCCCAAAGGGAGTTCCCATCTCCCACAGAAAGCTCTGCTCTGAACCGCTTGAAAACAGCTCGTTTGTAGTCCAGCCCTTCACTTCCTTTACTTGTGACGTCACAATGAAAACGCGTCATGAAGCTTGCCAATCTGCTAGCGGGGGTCAGGCACGCCCTCAAACCAAGCTAGTCTGAGCAGAGGCCCTTTGGCTCTAAATGCCTTTGTTTGGGTTTCCATTGTAGAAATGTTGCACCTGTACCTGCTTCCAGGTACTTTTTTCGTATCACCTCACCTCCTTCCAGGTTCCAAGCGAGCTGAGGGATACTAAAATGTAAGGGTGAAAACAGACTGACTGCTGATTGGTCAGAGAGAATCGTCACTATTCACTGCATCATCATTGTGTGCACCAGACAGAGACCAGCAACAGAAAGTTTTATATTTTACAGTTTTTTTATGGAATTTCATCACTAAATCCACTTCTGAGAAGTTTTGAGGTGAAATCAGCTGTGTAGATTTCGAATATTGACAGTTTTAGGAGAAGTGATGGCGGAACAAAAATGTGCTTGAATATTGCCGGAAGTCAGGAGCTCCGCAAGTGTCTGCGGGGGAAGCCTGTGCCAACCTGCGGGAGGAGCGTGTGAGGCCGGCCAGCCGCCCGCTCACAGAGCCCTCTGCTCCCGCCGTCACACAGACCGCTGCAGCAACAACGGCAGAGGAAAACACAGCTGGAAGGTTTTCATACCGCTTATCTGTCTTTACATTGTGAGGAATGTTGAAACGTTTTAGAGATATGTAGATATATTTTAAGAGCTGGTGTGTCTGTCGCATTGAACATTACGTCGCGGCAGTTGTGTGTGGCGTAGCTAGGACGACAAGCTACGTACCTACGTACTATCTCTGGGTACTATCTGCAATGGAAAACGGAGCAGGGCCGAGTAGAGTCGAGTCTATCGATTTGCGCTATGGTAGCATTTTTCAGCAAGGCAGCATAGATCGTCAGAACACCGGCTACAGTCCAACGTTTAGTCCTGATGGTAAGATGTGGAACAATGATGTTGTGTGGTTGTGGACTTGTGAGTAACTTATACCATCTGCTAGGTTACGGTCGCAGTCTGAAGCGGCTTTGATTTGGATCAAATTTGGATTTGATCTGACAGTTGCAGAGACACAAACAGTGAGAGATGTACTATAGGCCTTCTCCACAAGCGGCTCACCTGCGGTTGTTACCACAGAATCGTGGGTGAAAAGGTTCAAAACGCGAGCTGTGTTTTTTGGGCAATAAAACATACGGCTGACAATGAAAGTCTTTTAGTAGTTGCAGCTGGATGGATTTGTTGTTACTGCTATCACTACTTACTGCTGTTCCACTTTATGGCTTGATGTGCTGTAAAAATATTTGTATAAAAATAATTATTTTAATTGTCAATCAAGGAACAACACGAGATACACATGATGTGCCACCCGACCCTCCAGTGAACCTGCTAGCGGAGGACTGTCGTCTTCAAAACCTACAATGTAAGTACTCAGTGTAATCACAGAACTCTCAATATCAACAAGTAATATGAAATGTTAATGTAATGAAATGTACTACGAAAAACCAACTCGAATACCTCTTCCAGCAACTGACAGGTTTAAAAAGATGAAAGGAAAGGTTTGCGTTTTTTTTGTTGTCTATCTCAAAACATTGTTAAAATATGATGTGTATAGTGAAAAGGTTACTGTTGGCTGTTAGCATCCCCTTCATAGATGTCTGTGAAGGTTCTCAGTCATCCAGGCCATAGTTATCCAACGAAGGCTGAGGTCAAAGGCAACTGTTTCGTCCCTCCTCCAAGAGACTTCTTCAGTTCTGACTGACTGGTAGGGAAACTCAGCTATTTAAATTCTGTTGGATCGTTAGCTAGGATCGTCGATACCGCTGGTTCGTTAGTGCTCCTGGCTGTAGCCATGGCCAAATTATTAGAAAGTTGGGACAAATCCACTCTTCTCCTTGATGAAAAAATGTTTCCCAAACCTCCCAAGACCTGGGCTTTGATTCTGTGTATTTATAAAGTAGCATTGTCTTTGAACAGGGTGTACTTTTAGAAAAGAGTATGTGTACCCAATGTGTAACAAAGAAGAAACAGACATCAGAACATGGCTGGCAAGTGACCCTAGAGGGCACAGGCCTGTGCCCACTAATGAGGACAATAGGTCTAAGTTGAAGTATGTGGTGCATGGATCTCAAAACCTAAATTCCCCATATTAGGACACAGGATTTTAGGAGGCTAAGTTAAGTTGAAGCTAAACAAAGCTTAAGCAGTCTAGTTAAAAAAAAACAAAAAACATTTATGCATATTTAGCGCTTGACAATAACTGTGGCCCAGTGGCCTGGGGCCAGTCAGAAGTAACGTTGGGACAACTGAACTAGCAATTCACTGGGCCGATCGTGGCTGTAGATGGATTTCTGTCCCTAAGCAGTACACTTAACCCTTAGTTGCTCCAGAGGTGTGCGACCTCTGACATATATAGCTATTGTAAGTAGCTTTGGATGAAAGTGTCAGCTAAATGAATAAATGTAACATTTACAAACTCCTGAAAGCACCTCTGAACTGTCCATCTATATATAAGTTTACAGCGAGGGATATAAGCAAAGGTTTCTGCTCAGTGTTCTTTTTTTATATTGTTCCATTACCTCTTCTATGTGACTTAACAATTTGCATATTGTGGGATTTCATATTTTAAACAATCTTTATTAGCTATCTTTATTTCTTATGATTCCATAAAAGTTGAATTTCTTTTATTTATTTATTTAAATTTATTGGTTGGCATTCATTTTTTTTCTTACTCCGCATTTAAAGCTCCCTTTTATATTATAGAAGTAAAAGTGCTTCTGATGGAATAAAATTATGCATAGTCGTTTTTTTCACAAAACACAGTTAAGTAAGTAGTAAAAGGAAATTTTGTTTAGCTCAAAGGACTTTGCTCAATAGATTCAAGTTATTATCACTTAACACCATTCTGATTGTTTAATAAAGAGAACTTGAACTGTAATAATGGAGTTGTATTCATATTTTTGAGGACTACTATCTGAAAATGGGCATTTTGTAAATTTAAGTTGACTAACAGTAATTTTCTTGAAGAAGTTTCTGTATTTGAGTCTAGCACAATTAATTTTTTCAAGTAGATTTCCCTTAGAGTATAGGTTCTGCACAATTACATTTATTGAGTAAAGAATTAGTGGAATTTAAGTTTAATAAGCATCAGTGTATCAATGTAATTTAGTATGCAGTAATTGAAGTTTTTAAAAAAAATGTAAGTATTATATTAAATTAAGGTTTACTCAAAAATATTATTACCACTACTTAAAAAGTTTGAGTATTCTGAACTTATTCGGGTTTACAGTGGAATGTAGTGGCACCTTGAAAAAAAATACTATGAAACTTTACATTGGTTGGTGGACTTTGTTCCTACACTGTCACAATTGACAACATATTACCTGAACTACCTCCCACTGAATTACTTCACACACTATAATTTAACTAAATTTTAAGTGTGGAGTGAATCCACCACATCCACAGATAACTTTGGTGTCCGTGTTAAAACCTCTAATGAAAAATATGAGGGGAAACTGTAACTGTATGTTTATCTTACAGACCGACAAATAGTGACACTTTTTCTGCAATTCCCATTAACGTCAGGTTGTGTTGCAGATGTGCTTTAGACTTTATCTCGCAACCGTGGGTGCAATAACCCAAATAAATACTGTAGCTCACAGTTATTCAGATGGATTTCAAACATGTGCGGAGCTCCTGTTCCAGACCAACTTTGAGATAAGACTCACAGCATTCAGTACAAGTTGACATTTAGACAACCTTCAATAAAGTTATCTGGATGATACGGTCTTACTTGCATTTCTTCTCAATGTAAATGTACATGTCAAAAAATTTCAATTTAAAATATTTTCCAAATTTGATTGAAATGAAACAAACCCAAATACCCAGAAATCAGTCGACTGATGTAACTGTATATGGGAGATTGCATATGACTTACACCATGTGTTACCATCCGCATCATGCAATGATGCACAGAAGTGGACACTAATGTAGTGATGTACAGTAGTAGATATGTATGCTGCCCACCAACATTGCACTATTCTAGTCATTATTTATTGTTTTGCTGTAATTTTTAACAGTTACTGTTATTTTTAACTGTTATAGTTGGCGCCTTGAGTACTTTTATTGTGTTTGTCTACTGTCTGTGTCAAGATGGATGCCTCTACTGCAAACCAAATCTACCTGCGGGTACAAATAAAGAAACATGAATTTGAACCTGAACCTGACATAATTTAGCTATTTAGATATAGGCCTAGATATTTGTTGTTACACATATAGGCAATGCAGCATGTCCCTACAGGAACAGGAAATGCAAGGCAAACCGATAAGTGTGATGTTAGACGGCAGTTGAATGATAAGCTTTTGTCTGCAGCACTTTCAACAGCTTTAGAGTATAAATATAACTATTAAGACATCATAGATCAGCCTTTAAAAATGCACCTCATTCACCTTTATTATACATGGTTGATGCATTGTGGCAGATCACATTATCATGATTAAATCCCCTAAAAGACTAAGAGGACACACAGGATTCTGCAAGGTCACTGTATACTTTATAGGACTATTCTTAGTCTTCCCCTCTGCATGTCAACCAAGTCAGAGTCTGATTTTCACTTGTTAATTTGAAAAGACATGCGGCCCCACGTGTCTTGTGGACACTTTCATCAATGCTGAACAAAATGTTTTAGCAAAACACTGAATGGGAGAAATGAGGCAAACACCAAAAATGTTAACAGATGTGAAGTCTCATTAAAGACTGATCATCCCTTCAGTGTCAAAGTAGAAATTATTTTTTAAAAAATTATATTTAGGTCATTCGCATGAGTTTTGAACAATATTTTTCAAAACCTTATTTGAACCTCTGTAAGCCTCTGGATGCAAAATGTGTCAAAACACTTTTTTGCTCACACAACAAATGATGGAATCTCAGAGCAGCCTTACCTGTCCCAAAAATAACAATATGTGGCATCTTTAGCTGAGATATGTAGTGACTGAAAAGCCTAAAAATAAAAAGACTGAAAAACAAAATTGGGTTTAAGATGTCAGGTTGTCTTGTTCTATTGACACACATCTCTCTTATTCAAACATATCTATGAAGTCTAATTAATTATTATTATTATTATTAATTATACATATTTGGATACTCGTGCGATACAATTAATCATCCTGTACATTAAAACAATTGAATTAATGATTTACCAAATAACTGACTGTTAAACAGATTATGCAATGACTACGCATTTGTCTGTCTTCACCAAAACCACTGTAAACCTTGTTCCTTGTCTATATCCTCAAAAGTTTCACAAGAAGAGCGCTTCGAGCCTGTTGTCTTGGTGTTTTCCGTTTCCTTGGTGTGGTAGATCACTCTTTGGAGTTGGCTGCTCAGTCTGTGGAGTAACCCACGATGGGTTACCTTTGTAGACAAGTGACACCTCACTTGGGGTATTTGACAAACTGACACTCACTGATACAGAGTGTCAAACTCAGCTTGTCAAATACACTAAGTGGGGGGCCTGATCTCGCAAAATCAAAGATGGCTCTGTAGGATAAATGAACAAGACACTGGTACCACTCCAACCAAAAATTACCAACAACATGCACATATTTCCCTTTTTACATGAATATATTGTTTTTTGGTACACAACATTTTAGAAATTGGATACCAATCTGTTACCTGAGGGTTCAGATCTGTTGATCTGGCTTCAAGCAGACGAGTCCAAGCGCAATGCTCCTCTTTCTCTCACAAGAGTTCACAATGATGACACTGTGCACAAGACTTTTGGTTTGACCATTGAGCTTTAACGCTGCAAAGAGGAAGTCAAAACAAGGAAGATAACTGCAAAGCTAGCTCGCAGGAAATATGTGGAAATTAAGTGTCAACATGTCATGGTTGTGAAATGCTGTTGAAGGCTTTCGTGGCTCACAGCTTTTGAGATAATGGTTTCAGCAGTTTTGCTCTTCTTTTGTGGCATGTTCTTACTATTGTGTTCAGAACATGCTTATGGAACTTTACAGGTTTATAATGCTAAAAAATAAGTAAGTAGTACCTTTTAATTAATGAAAATGTGAGAGTGTGGAGTATATGTGGTATTTTATGGTTACACTTAAACTATGAGATCAAATAAAGTACCATGGTCTGTTGTATTATTCTCTCACACTATTCTTGATACAGTATATGCATGGATGACAATGTCAGTAATATTTTTATCTAATTCTGCAACATAGCTTCATGTGCTCCTTCACTCCTTCAATAGCAGTCATCAGTGTTTGGTCTACACTGCTCATTAGTGGTCTCTCAGTTTACCCCCTGTGCACGGAAGCTACAAGGAAAGCCTTCACGTAGTGTGGGGCATCGCTTTAATGTTTACACTGAGCACCCAGCAACTTCCTGTCAGTCTATGTAACCAGCCCACCCAGCAATCAGTCCCTGTAATGACTTCATAATACCTGCAATTCTAAACTTCCAACGAGCACTCTGTGAACTCTATTACTGCCACTTTTTATTGCTACACTATTTAACATTACCCATATTTTTTTTGCAACGGGAAGAATGTACTATGCACACTGCTGTGTAACTTCCTCATGTTACTGGGACCAATTCACCATGAATCTCTCACTGGACTTCCCTCTACAGCCACAACTGTACTGTGCGTTGAGCTTCCTTAATACACTAACTGACTGAACATTGAATATACTGTGTACCAACTGTGGAGTAAACTGTTGTTCTCGTGGGTGCTCAGCTGTTTAATGTGCCTGTATGTATCAGCCTAATCAAAATCTCTTTGCAGTAGCATGCAGGGGAGGTAACACCAAGGCCAGTGGGGTAGAGAAAAGAAAAGGGCTGGCTGTGATGAGTTCTGTCATGCACCATGCACTTTAGAATCCCCTATGACCAACCTTTACAATGATTCTTGTCCATATACCTCCATCAGTAAGGCACCTGCTCCCTGATACAGCTCCGTATGTGAACCACCTTCCCTATATGCTAAGGTTTGCAACATATGCATGTTACATGCATACTCATGCAGAAAATATGCAAATGTACAATTACATACCATCTACATCTGTAAAATGAAATAAATGTTGCTATAATGTGTAAACTATAGTAGTACTAATAGTAGTACATTAGGCCTACAGTGTACTATAGTATAATATAGTATAGTGTAATAGTATAGTGATGTGTAGTATAATACAACATAGTATAATATAGTACAGTAAAGCACAGCATAGTATAGTAGAGAGTAGTATAGTATAATATAGTATATATAATAGTATAGTATAGTCTGCAGTGCAGTGTAACATAGTATAATGTAGTGTAGTATAGTGTAATATAGTATAATACAGTAGTACAGTACAATGTTGTATAGTGTAGTATAGTACAATATCGTATAAGACAGTATAGTATTTTTTATACTCTAGTATAGTACAGTATGTTAGGGTATAGTGCAGTATAGTATAGAGTAGAATAGTATAATATAATATAGTATAATGTAATAGTATAGTCAGCAGTGCAGTGTAACATAGTATAATGTAGTGTAGTATAGTGCAATATAGTATAGTATAATGTTGTATAGTGCAGTATAGTATAGAGTAGAATAGTATAATATAATATAGTATAATGTAATAGTATAGTCAGCAGTGCAGTGTAACATAGTATAATGTAGTGTAGTATAGTGCAATATAGTATAGTATAATGTTGTATAGTGCAGTATAGTATAGAGTAGAATAGTATAATATAATATAGTATAATGTAATAGTATAGTCAGCAGTGCAGTGTAACATAGTATAATGTAGTGTAGTATAGTGCAATATAGTATAGTATAATGTTGTATAGTACAGTATAGTACAATATTGTATAAGACAGCATAGTATAGTATTTTTTAAAGTATAGTAGAGTATATTAGAGTAAAGTGCAGTATAATAGTATAGTGTAGTGACATGTAGTATAGTACAAAATAGTATAATACAGTATAGTGTAGTACAGTAAAGTACAACATAGTAAAGTATAGTATAGTACTGTTTTTTTAATATTTATATAGTACTATAGTATTATTATAGAATAGTACAGTATATTGGAGCATAGTATATTACAGTATAGTGTAACGTAGTACAGTATATTGTAGTGTAGTATACCATAGTACCATATTATGAGGATTAGATTAGATTTTCATGTAGATAATGGTCAAATGTTGTTGGATAACTTTTAAGTTATTAGCTGCTTACCAACAGCTCTAAATATTTGTTTGGAAAGGCACTGACAAGCATATTTTGTTGTTGTTGGTCACTTGTTGGTTATTTTCATATTGAACATCATTTTAATACTATACTTATATTTTTATATTTTAAGGTATTAAAATTCCAGTCATTAGACAAAACCCTAGTTTGGTAACATACAGAGCAAGATGTATATTTGGTACTTTGAGAATAAGATGTTGTAGTAAAGACTTGAAAGGCAATGGGATGTGGGTAACGTTCCCATCTAACAACCTGACAACCCGATGAAGAATGAAGCGAGGAAAGCTTTTGACAGTAGTCATGACTCATTCTATGCAAAACACTGAAGTTTATACAACAAGTTTTGTTCATAAAGTACGACTCATGGCTGCTTATCTCTAAGTGGCAGTTCAGAGTATGAACCATTTCAACACCCTTTGCAGGCCACTAATACCACAAATATAGGGGAAGTGGAGATGAAAAAACACCACCTCCCTTTGGTGTTGAGAAAGAGATAGTTGATTTTCATCAAGTCGTTCAACGAGAATGACCTGAACTTCCTATTGCAATAAAGCTAAAAATTCAGTTAACCTAAGGATTTATTTAGCTACCACAAATAACTGAGTTAATAATGTATAAGCAACCACAAACAGAAATGTGAAGTGTAACTGTCCATACTGAAAACAATAATCATTTTCATTTCTTTTTAATTTACTATACTACTGACAAAATGCTTTAACATTTTAAATGCTGTTGCGCTCAGGGGGTAGGAGCCTGTGCTTGTGAAATGTGCTCCCGTTTAAATGTGAGAGGCAGAATCTGTTTGCATCTGCACCCATGTTTATAGGTTTTAAACTACAAATCAGAGTTTATTTTCTTGCCTGTCAGTCACTTGGTTTATAACATATTTGAGTTAAGAGTCTAAACCTGAATGCTCTAAGTAGGATTTCAGAAATGTGACATATAAGTCTTTTTTTGAGGGGAAAAACAAACTCTGGAAGGAATTTCAGTGTTTACCTGAATCACTTTCAAATTGTTGCCCTATCACCGTCATTGCAGGCTGAGGCTAAACTGCCACCATGTGGCCCAATGCAAGACTGCATTGCAAGAAGTCTAATAGCAGGTGTGGCAGTAACTTTGTATTAAATCTTGTTAACCATAGGGCTAAATGGCAGTTATAATAGTAATCGCTGTAAAATGCAGAAACAATCAGGAAAAGGAAATACAGTTTAATTTGAATTTTATTCATTTTTTATCCTTGGTGAAAGGAAGACTTGAAGCAGCAAGATCTGATGAAAAACCTGGGAAAGGCACTGTCTGTCAATTTGCTTTTAATTCATTATATCCGTCGTTTTTGCTTTAAGACAAAATACCGAGTAGCATCTTTTAATTTCTTTTTCACACATGATGAGTTAAAATTATACTTGATTCTTAAAAGAAGGCTGTCAATACATGGCTCTTCAGATAGAACATACATTGCAGCATTATAAACGTTATTATCAAAGGCATGGAAAGGTATCCAAAATAGCAACAACTGCATTTTTATATTTCACAGCAGATCCAAGAACAACGGGCAAGAGTACTGTATATCAAAATGCATCTTGGTACAAATGACAAATGTTCATTTAATAAGAGGAATCAAAATCTAAAAAGAAATATTAATCACTAAAATACATTCACTTTGAACTTGCAAAATAGTGAAAATCTTTCAAATGCTAGTTACTAAATATCTGAGAACAAGCCAAACCCTTTGCACGACTGAATACCAAAATGGACAATGGCACAAGGAAGACCTTCATGTTAATTTTTCTGAAAAATGTTTTTCCTGGTTAATGGTATATTCCCTGCCTTTAGCAATATACCATGAACAGAATTTCCTGTAGCAGCTGGCTTTGCATTGGTCCTATCCACAGGGTGTTGCTTGTTCCATCAGCTTACTATCACAGCAATGAGCTGTTCAATTAGTTTACAACAAAATACTGTTATCAAAATGCTGCGCTTTCTGAACAAAAACTATTATCTTTGACTAGTACGTCTAAATTTTATAATACAAAAATATCCTCAGAGGTGGTCTGTTTCACCTTCCACAATTTTATCTATCTGAAAATCCAAATTACAAAATACACAAATGTAATTAAATACATAATAGTATATAAAAAATGCATGCATTGGGAATTGTGCCCATCTAGGACAGTTAAGTCTATTTCGCAAAGGTGAGCTAAGTTTTTTCCAGTGCACGTTTAATGAAATTATTGTATTTATGCATCAAATTCTGTGAAGATTTTGTGAAAAGTTTCCTTGTCCCACATGAGCATTTAAGAAGAACTCCTTCTGCTGTACTGGTTATGTCAATGCAAAAAAAGCAGGGAAATAAAACCAGGATAAAACTCCTAAAGGTACAGTACAATCAATTTCAAATGTCTGATCAGTTTTTTTTTAATTGAATGATGAATCAAGTTTAGAAGAAAAGTGACAAATAAAGGTTTCTACAGATGTGGGCTGTGTAGATAAATATAGGCAATGCATGTTTTTTATTTGATTTTGCAGGTAGCATTACAACCTATTCAGTGAGCACAGACTAAAAAACATCTAGCTTGAGATTAAAAGGATTTTCAGACACCAGAGTTGCATCAGTTGCATTATAACAAAAATGTTTGTGTTTTTTTTAAATGACAGGGAGTCTGATTGTGGCTACCATATTGAATAAAGTTTGTTTCAAATATTGTACAAGGTAAACATATGATAGGAGTTTAGGTTATGCCATATCCAAGTTAATTCTGTCTATGTTCTTCTGACTTGTTACTCTGACTTGAAGGTGTTCAGAAATGTAAAAACAGACAAAAAAATCTACATGAAATTGATCTTTAATATCACCTTTGTGAGTGGGTGTAAATACTGTATGATTTGTAACAGTTGTCACATTCTGAATACAGTCAAGTAAAGTAAATAAATTTGTAAATTTGCAAAGAAAAAAAAATTACTGCTCAAATGAATGCTCCACACAGACAGATTACAGTGCATTTGGTTTTAAAACTACAGGCAACAGAATATGGGAGCAACATTACTGTCCGAAAAAATCAAACTTGCTGTGAAGACCAGCTGCATGTGTACATATGAAACATGTCTACAGGCAGTTTTCAAATTGAAATTTGGATTGGTCTGTGTGCCTTTTATTTTGTAATCATGATACAAAAATGTAACAGAAATATATAAAGAAATTAGAAATGCTTACTCAATGAGCCATGAAATTAGGCGTGTCCAGTACTAATATGCTACATAAACCTCTTGTGAGGAATGTACTAATAAAATACAGTATGTCCCTTTTCAACCAGTGACTTGCCTAAATTCAAAGTTAAGAATGATAACCAATGGAGTTTTCCAGATCCATATTTGAACATTGTGCTGTGCTTGTGCAACCATGCGATGCTGTGGATCTGATTTGTTTAGGTACAGAGGAAACCGCTTGAATGAGGCAGGACTGCAGTCCAGGCAAGAATGGCTCATCTGTATGAGCTTTTGAATTGGTGAATGCAGACATCACATGCATTCAAACTCATCAATGCGCTGTTTGGTGTTTCCTGACCGGATCTGTCTGAGGGTCTTGTACTTGTCTCGTCCTGCCTTCATGTTCTCTGCATGGATGACGTCATTCACTGTTTTCTTGGTCTCGTCCCGAGCATTGGCCAACTCTGAGCTTAAAACCTGGCAATCACAGAATTAAAACAACTCATACACTACTATGACATGCAGTCTTACCCCTGAATGTGCAAAATATCTGACAGATCATATTAATGTTATATATGAGATACAATCGAAGACTTACGAGTAGATGTTTCTGCAAACGTTCGTTCTTCTCTGCCTCGGTCATCCGCTCCTCTTCACTGCGGTCCTTGTACGTGGCAGCAGAGGTGAACTCGGCGCTGGCCTCAGCGCTGCTCTCGTCGTTCTCATCGTGCTCATTCTCTGCGTTGAGGGGCTCCTGAATGTGAGCCGCCATCACTTTGTTTTTAAGCTCTTCTTTGGTCTTCTCCAGGTCGTCTTGCACCATGGTAGCCTGACAGAACAGACAACGCTAATTAGGTGACACGCTTGCTACAATTTCGACCAAATCCTTGTTAATTAGACAAACAGACAGAAATGCAATAGTCCAAAACAACTGACAGACAATTATTTATAATTTGTAATTTTTTAAAATAGTACTGTTTTTCCACTGGCCAAACAAAAGTCTACAGCCATGCTAGCAGCTCTTGTACTTATAGGTATAGTGGTACTCAAGCAAAATGCAAATGTCAGCATGCTAGCATGCTCACAATGACGATGCAAAAATGCTACTATGTTCATGTTAGCATGCTAACATTTGCTAATTAGCAGTTAAAAAAATGTAAAGTTGATGACAATGTGAAATGTCATTGGTTTTGGGGGATTTGGTTATAAAACCAAAATATTGCACAGATTGAAATTTTGACCGGATGACGGCAACAGATGACAAGTTAAGAAATCGTCTAAGTTATTACAATTCCTCCTGAGGGGAACATGAATGTCTGCACCAAATGACATGGCAATCCATCCAGTAGTTTTCGAGACATTTCCCTAAAAGCCCAATGTGGCCTCATGGTGGTGCTGGAGTAAAAGTCAGTGAATAATCAATCAACAAAAGATGAACTGACTCATCATTTCAGCTCTTCCCTGCTAGCTGTGCAACATAGTTTATATTGTTTTGGACAGTAAAAGATGACAACTTGTGCTACAAAATGAACAGAACAGGCATTAAAGCCCCTGAGAAAGAAGAAGTAAAAAAACATTGGATTTTCTTCTTTTCTCTAGTACTTTTTAAGTTCTTACATACTTTGGGGATACATACAGTAAATGTATAGACATTTATATATTACAGTAAATACATTATAAACCAGAGTGCTTGTGCTGTGAGCTGGTAGGAAAAAGATCCGTCACCCCCACAAACGGCATAAGTCACACTGCCCCGAAAAAATGAAGGGGCTGGGCTGGCACACGGGGTATTTTACCAAAAAAAGACATCAGACGAGCTGCTTTCACCCCTCCCCCAAATACACACAACAACAAGACCTCAGGAATGTCTGTCCTCACTGTGTCAGGGAGGGCCTATGTGATCAGCAGAATATCAGAAAGTAATGAGGTCTGATGATGAGTCATGTATGCCAGGTCCACATTAAGCTCATTTTGAATGCCAGTGTTGCTGACCACATGACACAGGTGCCATTATCGTTATTTATTCTGTCTAATGACTTCCCAAGTACAAAATAGTGAGTGAAGCAAAGCAGACATTACTGTTCCCCTTGGTTAACACATGGCATTCATGAGCCGCGGCAAAATCACTACTTTATACTTGTTGAGAAAAGTATTCCAATAACTGAAACACAATATAAGCCTTTATGGAAAGGGTACAGAGCAGATTTTTATTCTGAAAGTAACCTGGCTACCTGTCTCACTCGTCACCACATGATGGCTGTAATGCATACATTGTAGTTTTTTAGAAAGAAGAAGACGAAACATACTTTTGTACCTGTGCATGTAACTACTGATTAATGCTGCTATGGATGCCATGGATGCTATGGACTTTTCAGAGCAATCTGGTTATGAATCTTTTTTTCAATGACATGCACAAAGCAAACACTTTCATTTCATAGCATCAGTTCTAAAGATGTGTGCAATACAGTATGCTCCTTTGTACTTTCATTTTCAACAACTGTGTCACTGCAATCAAACTAAGTACCTAGACCAGTGGTCGGCAATAGGCGGCCCGCGGGCCAGAACTGGCCAGCAATAATATCTGCTTTGATAGCAGAAAAAAAATAAAAAAATAAATTGATAGCAGCTGGTGCTGAAATAGATCTCAGTCATGACAGATACAGTTACTCACACACAATCACTTCCTCTTAAGTGATTGTGGCTGCAAAATGTATGAATGTTTATATGCTTTATGTTGAGTTTAGTGAAAGCTTTTATTTTGAAGAGTTCTGAAGGACATTCAAAAGAGTCTCTGGTGCTTCTCAAGCCTCTTAATTGCATCCACGTTTCCCTTCCTTGCGTCTTTTCCTTGCGTTTCCTTTCCTTTTAGTCCCACACACCGGTGATGCATGGAGGAAATCAAGCCAGGAGAGAAGGAACAGACATGATTTGAGATGTCCTTTCCTCCAAAGCGTCACATAAAGCTACGTCCATTTCTGATGACGGTGGTAGCTGATCACAGATGGATCAGCTATCAGTCGGCTCTAACAGCTGTAGAGACTTTTGATGGAGTTTGTGTCTACATACATGTGCACTGTTACTAGTAAAGTATCACAGTTATCAGTGCAGAGCAGCATGATTCTCTGTTACCTGTTTAACAAACACCTGCACATGAAAAATTATAGGTTACTCATAGCCTATGTCCTGCTCAGAGGCACAGGATCATTTCTACTGGCACAATGCTGATATTATCTGCATTTATATTTGCTGATTCTGATTGTAAATTCGTTATTGAATAACCCAGAATATCATCATGGTGTCTTGGGATTTATTAGCCTAAATGTTAAAGGGAAATTGAAATGATGTAACTTGTATCAAAGGTGACGCTCACTGACGCTTTTTTTTTTAAACGCAGCAGCGCTTTCATTCACACTTTCATGATTTTACTTGCAGAGCCGCCAGCTGCTTTCATCAAATGCTTTGCTCACTTCATTAGATACTTTGGTGCAGTTTAGTGACTTGTCCGACTCCTTACGTGTTTACTATGTTGAATAGAAATGATGAAAAATTATGTAAAACATATTTCTTGCAGACAGACTCCGACTCTCTCTGACTTTAATTGTCTCCATAATACAAGTTGATGGGAGAAATAAAAAAAAAGATCTTTCTAATAAATAAATAAAGTTGTGTGGGGGGCTTTTGTTGTTCAGACCTACAATGAACACATTTTAACAAGACAGTGAATCATAAAACAACTCAAATATAAGACTTTGCAGCGATACTTTTTAGTTTAGTTTAATGTTATCTGTCCTGATGTATCAGATCAGTCCGATCAGCTGCAGCGTCCAATCAATATAACGGCTACCCTATAAGGGGGCGTGTTGGTCAGTAAAAGACACTGGTGTATCCTTGCTCATAGCTCCTCAGAGATCGCTCCTCGCTCCTTGCTCCTCGGAGTGCAAATAAGAGCTTTGGGGCGTCCTGCAAGATGGCGGAGTGGAACAACTTCCGGTTCAAGCAAGGAGGGAGGAAATGACAAATAAGACACTTGAGAAGCACCCTCTGGCTTGCTTGACACACCTCTGGGAAGAATGTAGAAAGTTGCATGGCGCTGTGGAGAGCCCCCAGTTGCAGTAGTGCATGGATCACGTAATATTCATCTAGCCAACGATCACGAACCATTCACAGCATGTCAGCACTGGAGAGGAAGTGGGGCAAACCAATGTCAGGAGATCGCGGAGCGACTGGCCCGCTGCGGTCGGGCAGTGCTTGTTTCCTCTGGCGGGATGAAGTCTGACACGCCGCATGATCCATGACAAGATTAATGTCAATAAAGCATGCTGTCAATATTTTAGAGATCCCCCAAAATATCACAAATCATGCTTTTAGGGGAGCTGATGTCTTATTAGGGGGAGCTAAGCCCCCCCTGGCTCCCCCGTAGTTCGCACCCTGAATTTCCTCAGGGAAATGAAAATAAGCGTCCATAGGTTTATGATTGCGGATCAAATGCCGGGCACGCACACACTGCAGCACATGCCTTATTGTGAGCATGTGCAAAAGTGTCCTTATAATCAAGTAGTAACGGGGGGGAAAAATATACGCAGTAAATTGGAATTGATCTTCCAGTCTTCCTAACGGGAGTCCCGCAAAGTACCTACTGAGCTAAACATGCACATGAGTATACAAGGATTTGAAATAATTTGACTTTGTTCTGGGCCACCATATAATGGCTTGAAAAAAATTTGGCCCGATGCCAGACTTATTTGCCGACCCCTGACCTAGACTATTGGGTTACTATAAAAAAGTAGTATCTCAGATCAAACCTTTTGTTGCCACTGCACTGCCTCTTCTTCCTTCTTCTTCTTGGCATCCTCCAGGAGGGAAATCTTGGAAGTCAGTTCAGCTAACTCTGTGGCCTAAAAGGACAACATTTTACTTTCTTGAATGGAACTGAATATATTTTCCAGCCATCAAACCCTTAGATTTTATAATTTCAATGCATGTGAGTAGACAAATAGTTTTTTAATAACTAACCAGGTGTTCTTGGTTCTTCATCTGGTTCTGTGACTGCTGCAGCAGAGTCATCTTGGCATCCTCGGCTCCCCTCAGATCAGCCTCCAGGCGTTCAGCCTCCTCCTGAGCTCTCTTCCTCTCCTGCTCCAACTCCAGAGCCCTTTGTGTTTGCTCCTCCAACTCTGCACAGACACACATACATGCACACAGAGAAGCACTAGAGGTGAGTGCCCTGTGAGGAAAACAGTGTCACCATTGATTACAGTACAATGACAAGCTTCCCTTGAACACTGACAGGTCACCCACCTTGTTGGGCTTTTTTCGTCTGCTCCTCAATCTGCTTCAGTCTCTCCATTAATTCCTCCTTTTCCTTTTCAATCTTTTCCTTTTCCTTTTCTGCAACTTCTCTTTTCCTCTTTTCATTCTCCAGCAGAGCTCTATTGGAAATAGAAACAACACACAAGATACAAGATGTACTGGATCATGCAGTAATCAGGAGGATCATTTGAAAGTAGACCACGGTTTACCATAGTAGATTATTTCTTTTCAGTTTACTAAATTACCAAACATCAGACATCACATCTGTTTAAAATGTGTGCATTTCTCTGACAGCAGCTTGTCTTACCGCTCCATCTTCTTGTGATTCTTCTCCTCCCGAGCCTGAGCCTTCATCTGCTGCACTTCAATGGTGTCAGGTTTGCGGCGGCGCATGTACAGCTCGTGGTTGCCCATGCAAAGAGCCAGAATGCGCTTGTTGATGCGCAGTCTCGGAGCATAGAATACAAAGTCCTAAAAAGGCAATAATACAGATTTTTATTAGGAGTAGTACATAGACGGATGATTTATCAAATGTTAACAAGTTAAGCTGTTATTAAGGGTTTACATACAGGTGCTTTCTTGTCAATTGGTTTAATGACAAACTTCTTGTCATTGAAGGAAATGTTCCTGATTTCACTCCAAGGAAATCCGATTTTGGGCGTCATTCTGTTAATGACAATGGAAAAACAAAAACTCTTGGTCAGCGGTATTAAATTGGACAGTTAATATTAGTATTAGTACTGATAATAAACTGATGGCGATTTTAATTAGTAAATTGTTGTGGAATCACTTACTTGTCATTTTGCTCATAAATGTTGAGCCCCAAAGCATCCACTCCCAACCACAGTTCTGTTCCTTTCTTATTCTTGATGTTGAAGTAGTTGACTCCGTACATCTCGAGGTCTTGAGCGATCTTCAGATACTCCATCATGGATTCCTCTCTGTGGACAAGTAAGACACGTCTTAAACTAGTGCTTCAGAGAGACTGATGAAAGAGGACAAACGCTTGACTTTGAAACACGAGGCACACTACACTCTACCTGACCCTGATCACCGCACAGACCTAATCAAATTAAAAGTTTGTGTGTGTGCATGCATGCCTGTGCAAGTGCAGAAGTGTGTCAGCTGTTACCTCATCATGCTCTTGTGTTCTTCGTGCCACACTTGAATCCTCTCCTCCCACTGGTCCTTGTTGAGTTTATGCTGGTCCAGAACTCTGAGGACAGGAGACGTCCGAGTGAAAAACACGTCTCATACAAACACGCTGGCTGAAAGGTGACATCTTTCTGACAAGAGTGAAATGATGATAAAAAAAACTGTGTTACCTCTGAGGGAGCAGCTGTTCACCAGACAGATAGCCTGGTGTGTGGACTTCCTTGTTGTAGTCAGCATACTTGGCCTGCACTGCGTAGGAGGCCAGGAGGACAGCGGTCTCTGGAGGACAGTAGATGTCGTCATTTAAGATTCCCTCCTTCACTTGCAGGAAGAACAGCCGTTGTGTGGCATCCTGGATTAACTCCTCAGACACATCCTCAGGGAAGAACTTGGCACGAAACTTAAACAGCAGCGGGCTTTCCTTCCTCACATCCTGGGCTGTCACCTAAAATAAAGCGTGACACGGGTGAGGGGTAGAGGTCACACTGTAAACACACTTGAGTTCAGCCTCAACATGGAATGGCAAAACAGCGTTTAAGACGTTGTAGTTAAAGTAAAATGTTGTGAAGCATAACACTGAAGAGCTCACCTTCTTATTGAGCTTGAGCCATGTAGAGAAACCCTTAGTATCCTGGTATTGGAGTCCAAAGTACCAAACCTCCCGCAGGCCAATGGTCTTAACAACCTTAAAACGTAACCGCAGAAGTGTTATTAATGTACCTCTTTAGTTGAACATTAGTTCTATAACAGGCAACAGGTGCAATATGTTGTTTGTATCACACACTCTTACAAACATCAAAAATGACAAATACAACAAATTTGGAGACCTAAAGAAATGACTTTGTTGGAACCAAGAACCTCTTAGCACTGCAGGCTCTGCATATAACTGTATTTAGTTGTATTTTCTAGATATAGTATTATATCCCATGTGTTTTTATGATGATAGTGTTGCATTAAAAATGTACTAACAGAAATATTGCGATTATTAGTTTGGTAATTACGCTGGAGCTGAAAATAAAGAAACCTGCCAATTAAACTGTAATTTTGTATAGTAACTTACAAAGTCAATAGAGTTTTGGATGTGGTGAGGCGTGTTTCCCACCAATGGAGCTAAGATGGTGGAAATGTGTTTGGCAATGTTGTAGGTGACCGAGTTAATGCTGCTGATAATCGGCCTGAGTGGGGCTCCTTCTTTGTGTATCATACGATGGTCGTTCAGTCTTGGCCACAGGTAGTCTCAACGACTGTAACGACTGTCGTCACAGCAACAAGGAACACTAACGAACCAGCGGTATCGATGACCCGGGCCAACGACCCCACTGAGGTTAAATAGCTGAGTTTCAGAACTGAAGTAGTCCTTTTGATGAGGGACGAAACGTCTTCCAGTATCTTCAACCAAGTCCAGTTGCCCTTCATTTTAACCTTCGTTGGATAACTATGACCTGGATGACTGAGAATCTTCATAGACATCTTGCTTATCATTTTGGGATGAACACCCTCAGATTGGTACGGGAGTATGAAAAGACAGCCAGGAAAATTGGCTAACCCAAGAATATTACACGCAAAAAGCAAACATGATTCAAAAGCTTCTTACTGTCATTGGAAAGCACATAACAGTGATTACAAGTCAGAGGTTTCTCATACCTGGTCAAAGAGTTGCTTTCCTGTTGTGTTTGGCTGAATGGCGAACTCCAGTTCAGCATCCATTGTGGTGACTCTCACACTAATCTGAGGAAGAGAAATTGGAAGAATGAGCAATTTTTTTCATCTAAATCAGACAGCGTGTTGGATTTAAAGGGAATACATGTCACAAGTCATTGTGCTAAAATCAACCTTCAGTTTCTTAGCAAAAGGAAAGGTTAGTTATTACTCAGCAGACTGACTGACATCTTTGTGCTGTAAAATTCACTGATCTATTAATTTTGTTTGAGGGTGGCTTTCCAGCATTTAGCCCATTTTTAAATGACTCATGAGAACATTCAACACTGAAATATCATTCGGTGGAATCAATTTCAAATAAAGTGGGAATCCCTTTGATGCTCAAACTGAAAAAAAACTCATCTTTTTATTTACTTAAAGTTACTAAATGTAGAGTTTGAAAATTTCCAACTGGTGCCCCCCAGTGTAAGTATTAAAAATGACATATAATTGTACATACAGTGGTTCACCAGCTGATTTTAAATTAAGCTGTTGGGAAGATTTCGAATAAACCTTGCTGTGCACAAGCGGGCGCACCCACTACTCTCAGTGCACACACTCAACAGGTCTGTTGGAGAATAAGGTAACTCCACCATCCAATCAGGCCTACTGTGAACAGTCAGCCAGCCAAACTATCATATCATGATAAAAAATATTTTGACTTATGCAGAATTCATTAAAGGCTGTGTCTCATTGAATGCGCAGCAAACGTGCCAATCTGGCTTTGTCTCAGTTTAGGACTTATCTACAGGAAGTAACCACATCCTCTGGTGGCTGGGCCTTGTGGGGCGCTGCTGCTAAACGCTGAGCTCTCATGAGAGCCGCCTACATCCTGTCATGTATCAAGCAACCTGTCAGCTTTCTGCTAAGCTATCTGCCATTGTGGGAAAGAACAGCCTTTGCAAGGTCCTCTTCAGGTGACACGTTTCACAGTTCAGCTGGTTATTTAACCAGTAAAGCACATCTTATTTAAGTGATGTATGTGCACTGCACAATTACACATCAAAAGTTAAATCCATTTATTTAACCTTAAGGTCCCCCTCGATGAGGATGCCCAGAAAATAAACTGATTCTGTACTCAGTAAACTGACCATGCAGGCATTTCTCATTTTCTATGTTCTCTTAGAGATGACGAAAACAGCAGCATGCATGTCTACTGGGAAATAACTGTGCAGGCTGAGGCCCACGCCTGCCTTGAACAACAATGGTATGCATTATTTCCCAGTTGTGGGGCTGATTAGAGTTGCGTTCTTTCCCATTCGTGTCAGCAGGACCCCATTTACTGCTCAGGACACTTGCCTCTCTCGTCGCTTCCTGTCATCACCAGCAGTTAAGAGTTGTGGTGAAACCAACAAGTCGGGCCTACACCGAACTCCAACAGACACCTAAAGTCATGTAGACATAGCACTCTTTAAACAATTATGAACTTCGATGGACATTTTTTCACTTGTGCAGATAAGAGTTCAGTTCATGACCACCCTGCCGGGGTATAAGCGGTTTCATTTCCTGAGTCAGAATTGCAAATGTTGCATGAAAAAGGAACTACACTCACATATGGCCTGGCTAGGGTGTGTCTCTCATGGCCAGAATTCAAAAACACTCAACACGCTATTATTAGCACACACTCAAAAACACCCTATTCAGGCCCACGTGTCATGTTTCCATGACTTTTTCTAAACCGTTTTTTTATCACAGCAAAACCAAAAAAAAACTTTAAACTATCTAGATTTAGAAGCATATCTAAAGAGTGTATTTAATATTTTTTTTTCCTGAAAAGCTTTTGGGCTTGCTGAATTACTGATGTAATGTGAAGCTTCACTGACAGCCTGAAACTTTGTATTACTTTCATTTTTTAATTTGGCCGTGCATTTAAAGACTATATAATAAAAATGCAATGAAAGTAACTATACATATGACGGTTGCTAAATCTGAGTCATACGTTCGAGCCATGCCATCCGTAACCATCACAAAACTAAGGTCAATAACTGGTAACTACAGAAACCATGACATCTACCACTACCTGATTCTCAGAGGCAACACAAATATGATCTACTTGAGAGACAGAAGACATCTTCAACACAGTCAGGTGGAACAGTTTATTCACAAATAAAATCTGAATACAGGACATGTACAGTTAGTATCTGAAATCTACACTCTAACCGTGTCACTTCCAACAGCATACCGTTAACAGTTTCGGTAATGCAAAGCTTACTGTGAAGTGTGAAAATGTGCGGAGATATGTTGGTGTTGAACTATCTTTTGTGAGGCACAGCATAAGAGGCTTGTTATGTTAACGCTTGAAGCCAGCAATAACGAGGGAAATCATGTGAAAAGACTTGTGAGAGAGACAACAAGTATGTTTAGATTCTCTAAAGCCAATATACAAATATCACCCTCTTCTACAGTACGGATCAGCATTACGCTGAAGAAACAAGAGAACAAACTGGGTGACAGGAAGAGGGAGGCTGGAGAAGAGGATGAGCTTTCTTTCTCAGCAGGGGACATTACAGACAACGGTTCTCTAGGAACTGTTTCCCACAACCACTTTTCAAAAATCACCAAATGTCACTACACGTGTAACAAAATAATATTTTATCATTTAGATGCTACTCCTTGCCAAATTGACTCTATTGCCTGAGCTGCCTTTCTTCTGGTGACATACTGCCTTCCTTCTGACCCCCGCATGTGTTCACCAACCGTGCCTGCCATCATGTTGCCAGCTGTAAGCCGCCTACTGACCAAGTAAGGACTGTTTTATCCCTGCTGGTTTTGTCTGCCAAGTCTGCTTTTGGGTTCACGTCCTGTGTTATATTGTTACAGCCAAATACGCAAAAGAAATATGTGGACCCAGCAAAAAGATTAGGCAGCAACATGGGGTACTAATGCTTGTCTGACTATGTTCTCCTATATACATTTTTATGTAAGTTACAACACAACTGTTCATATTCCTAATTCCATGTTTCCAGCATGGTTCATGGATCCTCAGCAGATCCAGAGCCGGACACATTACCACATAAACACAAGACGTCCACTAATACAAACTACCAGCTCTTCTGTTTGCAGTATGCAGTAATGCAGTATTATGTTGACTAATGCTCACTACTAGTGCTTTGCTTGTACTATTATTTTATTAAGTACACAGTTTGAACTTTGCTGGCTTGAAGGTTGTACCAGACACTTCCATTATAATGAGGAGCCAAATAAACAATTTATTCACCTCTTATGCCATTGTAAGATTTTATTGTAATAATATTTTAATGTCTGTAATGTTAGGTTATATTTTATACAAAGCATGAGATGATTTAAACTGAAAATAGTTGATTATACAAAATGATTTTTTATATAACAGCTATAGAAATAGACATAAAAACAGAAGATAATAAGTATATAAAAGAGAACTTACTTTCAGAAGTTTTATTTTCTCACAACCTCCAAACAGAAAACACTGAACAAGTTATTTGTTTGAAAACCCCAGACGTTTTGATTGTAGTTTGCCCACTACCTCTACCTCTACACACTGTTAATCTGCTCTGCTATGTGCCCTACAGAACAGTTTAATCCCCTGCTTGCATACCTCTGGGTCTTTCCATTTACAAATTCTCCAGAGCCGCACTTGTTAAAAGTTTGGTCCTATCAAGAAAACTGCATCTGTCATGATTTCTACATTAATGGGCTAAAGATGGTAAGTTGTGCTCATATTTTTTGTGATAGTAATAGGCTGCTTATGTATTTGTGGGAAAAAGGGTGTTAAGTGTTGTGAAAACTGAAAAACAGAGTGGTTGTCTGCTGTCCTGACATGGAAATTGTTCAATTGCTAACATGACAGCAAGTAGGAAAATAAGAGAGCAACTTGTTGTTAAGGCCCATTTTGTTACATGGGGTCAGAGTTTAGCAATAAAAGCAAACAAAATATGATTTTAGTGTTTAAGTGCTTGAGAAAAAAAGGGCCTATTCAGAATCTAATTTGGGCTGCTTTCTTTATAAAGCAGATAATAAGCTGCAACATCTTAACAATCTACATGCCAAAATAATGTATCTCCACTCCACACAGACCTACAGAGAACCCTGAACTTGTTGCACTGCTGTAATGCAATCTAAAGTGGAGCATGGCATCTGAGGACCACGCTAGGGGAAAGTGGGGAGGAGAACAGCTAGACCGTGATGTGAAAGTCCATATAAGGCTGCAGGCAAGGAAATTACCAGAGAGGAACTGATGTAAGAAACCTTGAGTCACAACATAACTTCCTTGGGAAACTGCAGCACTGCCAAGAGGAGTCGAGCAAAGGCAGAGTTTCTCAATAATTACTGCTATTGTGAAACATCAAACTTGTTACAGTAAATTAAAACGTAAATAAATAAGTAAATAACTTTATAAAAACTGGGTTAACACTGACGTTAACGGAAAAATCTTTAAAGCAACAAATCTTTTACTCCCTGAGCTAACTCCTTGTAGACATGACTACAAATCGGGTACTCAACTTTCACCGGGTGCAGAGTGGAGCATTTGCTGATTCAGTGTTATCAAGCTTCCTTCATTCATACGCCTTGTCTACTGCTCCTTCACAGGACGCTGAAAGCTTCTACTAAAGGAAACAGACCACTGACTTTGCATTTCAGCAGCATATAGCCTGATGTAATTTGTCTTTGCTGCACCTGCACAGAGAGGACAATATGACTTCTGTTGGTGGTCCCTACTTTATATTTTTGGTTAATGAATATGAGCCGTACTGACTAACATATTTCACAGTCCTTTTCGGTCATCATTCATTGTCCCTGTTTATTTTGAGGAAATCTTGCTGCTGCCTCTTGACCCTCTAGTCTGTCCACTACTAGTTTCCCCTTTTCTAACTCTTTGTTATGGACAGACTAAGGTCTCCACAACACAGCTGTACTTTCCCCGCAGTATCCCTGTGACTGAACTGATGGTGACCGTTTTGAGGTTGTTGAGGTCCCCAGCTGTTACTTCAGTAGCTGCTTCACATGCTCTAAGCTACGTATTACCCTGGTGTTATAGAGGCTAACTGCTCCAGCTGCACTCTGCAGAGATTTGGCACAAAGACTGAAGGACTACATACATATCAAGAGGGAAAAAATATAAATAATATTAATGCTTTGGTGATGTACAGAACATCTGAAAGTCACACTTAATGTTTTTTACTGTCTTGTGCTAAAATTTGCAGTCTAAAGCAAAATTTTATGAAAACATGTGCCAATTTATTGGTAATGATTAATAATCAATAGCTATTATTTGCCCCAATAGCAAAAAACTTACTATGACTTACTACTACTATTAGAGGACTTCCTTTTGGGAAGAGGAGGCTAGTAAAGGCTCTTTAGTACACACTTTAAATGCCAGGATGCTACAACATTTTTTCTGGTTGACAGATGGAAAAAATGTCAAGGAAGTACTAGCAGAAACAATACTGCAGGAAGAAAGCAGCCAGATCCCTTGGTGCCATTTGTATTTCTGTTTGTAATTTGGACGTGCTGTGTGTTCACAAGCCAGTTTTTATGATATGTCAGGAGTGATAAATATACATATATTTTTTTAATAAGTATCTACAATTACTCTGAGATATTTAATTACAGAAAGCTCAAAAAATAAAATACTTACTTAGTATATCCCATTGACCAAGTTAGTGGCTGCTGCCCAAAATCATACAGTTTTTATAATGTGGGGCAAATTAACAAGGTAGAGATGCACAAGCTAAGCCGACGATGCCCCATTGAAAAATATAATGTGATTTTATGAATTACATTGACTGGACTGTGACATCTAAATGGTTTTGTGCATCACCTTCATCTCATGTGTCATGGGTAGCTCTTTCTGTAGCAAGATGTTCTTTTTATTGGAGTGTGCATGTGGGTATCACAGCTCCGAAACAAACAAACTCACACAGATTTCACCGCTACTATACTTTCTTTTCTGAATTTGAAAAGCATTATGCTGAGCCAAAGCCCAGCCCGTGTTCCCATCTCTCACTGCACACAGAAGAGAGGGATTAGAAACAAACCACTTTCACTTCTTTTAGCCACTGATGAAGGCATGAAGCCGAAACATTGGGCTTGGCCTATTATAAATGCTGCTTGAATGAAAGAAAGAGTCAAGTCTGTGTGCGGCCCTCCTTCTCTTTGTTCAGAGCTACACCAGCACCAATCTATTAAGCTGTGGGTGCTTCTTCATTTGATACCACAGCGCAGATACCATTATTCAGACCTCTCTTCTTATCAGTGGAAGTATAGCATACCAGTTCTTAGTGCCTCCCATTATGCCACATCCTTGTTTTAAGTGTGCCTCCATTTGACTTGGGCAGCACAGCTGGCCTGGATGACAGTTCAAATCCCTCCTTGTTAGACCTGAGTGTAAAGGAGGCCTTGAGACGACTAGCTTGTTGGCTACCACAGGCCACACAGCGGCTTCCTTCCGCTGGAAACCGATTTTATAAATGTGATTTCAGGATCTTAAGCTGTGGGGAGAAGTTCACAGTAACGTAATAACGTTTTGTACTAAGCCCGAGTTGCTGAATGAATGATCTGATGAAGGGCGCTAATTTTAATGAACAAACAGGCGGGCGCGCGCACGCGCACACACCTAACGGAAAGTATCCCAGCAATCTTCGGGTGAGCCTGAAGGGATGTAAAAGATTTTAAAATACCATCATATGTACCCGGGACACATTTACGGTTAACGTTACCAGCAATTAGGTAACATTACCAACGTCAAACAGTGAATCCTCATAACAGTTTTATAGGGACAATGGAGAGAGAGACACAAAAAGACGGTCGTTTCTTTACGTGATAACGTTAATTCAGATTTCAGTCTTACCGTCTTCGGCATCTTTCCTTTCCTTTACGTCCGGTTCAGGTTGTATTTAAAGTTATTAAATCAGAGCAGTTAGCGAGACCAGAAGAAAACTTTTTCCCATCAGAACAACGGCGCCAATCAAACGCCTTCCTGTCTGGAGGACACAAACGTTACTTTTAGCTCGACTCCGAAGAACTATTTCAACCCTGCTCTTGTGAGAGTATTTTTTTCTTTGTTTCGCCTTAAAGTGAAATGGGCTGGAGCTTGATTTCCTGCTAACGGTACCCCTGACTGCAAGACCACACCCAGGCCGATGACAGGACAGCAGCCAGCCAGACTGAAAAAGAGGGTTCCGGCCAGCAGACTCCGCCTGCAGCAGCCGCATCATCATGGCCGCGGTTTACTGCCTCTCAGCTCTCAGCCAAAAACTTCATTCACTCTCACTCTCAGCACTCACATTTAACACCAAGTCATGGGTAACGCTTGCTCTAAATAATCTCTCATGTTACTTACTAGCCTAGAAGTAAGCTACACAATTAAAGCGAGTCTATCAAGAGGTGAAAAAACTTAAAAAAAAAAAAAAAAAACACAGTAACGTAATAACGAGGTGAAGAGGTGAAAAAACTTTTCCAATCACTATATTTATTTGAAAGGATGGAGTTATTTCATAGGCTTCTGTTTGAAACCCAGTAGACTAATGTACTGTATAGGTTTAGGGCTGGGCAATAAAACAATAATGATAATTATTGCAATATAAGTTTCCTCAATAACAATATAATACATGTTCAATGTATGAATAAATGTTTGGTTTAATTCATTTGAATCACGGACAAATTAGCACTTAATTTTTCAATTAAAAATATTTATTTTGTTGAGAAAAAGAGGCCTGAAAAAAGATTAACTAGCTAGAAAACAGATTTTATCATAATAGTTTTGAATGTTCCACCTCAGAGTTGTGAAGGGATCCTCTATTTGTCACATTCTGAACCATAAAGAAAAGTTTAACCACATAATGAACCATCTGGTTTCTTCAGTTTTCACATGATATGAAATGTCTATGAAGATTCTCAGTCATCCAGGTCATAGTTATCCAACGAAGGTTAAAATGAAGGGCAACTGGACTTGGTTGAAGATACTGGAAGACGTTTCGTCCCTTATCCAAAGGACTTCTTCAGTTCTGACTGACTGGCAGGGAAACTCAGCTATTTAACCTCAGTGGGGTCGTTATCTCGGGTCATCGATGACCTGCCAGTCAGTCAGAACTGAAGAAGTCCTTTGGATATGGGACGAAACGTCTTCCAGTAGCTTCAACCAAGTCCAGTTGCCCTTCATTTTAACCTTCGTTGGATACATGATATGAAATGTTTTTATTGTGATAACATTTTTGGCCATATTGTCCAGCCCTATGTAGGCCACAATGAAAATCTTAGTTGTGACTGTGTGGTTACACATACATTTACCTTGTCAATTAATCTGTTTCACTGTGTCTGACTTTGACCTGTGTAGTCTTTCGTTTTTGGACATAAGGAAAGTGAATGCAATGAGCAGTGCAGTCCTGGTGGCCCCGGTGGAGATCATGTAGAGACAGTGCAGAGATACTGCACCTGCATCCAGATAATGTGAGATTAAATCAATAATGACAGTTGCTATATAGTGGGGTTTTAAAAAGTAATTACAGGATGTAGATACAATTTCACTTCTGTAAAGTTGGGTTATATGAGGTTGGATGAAAGTTATTAAAGGTCTTGGCAGTCAGAGTTTTCAAGCAAAGCCTAAAAAATGATGACAATGTAAAGCACAGACAAACAGCAGTAACTAAACAACAAGTTAGGTCACATAATAACAGTGGGAGCCTTGTAATAGCTTTGTGAAATGCTACATTTTGTTTTATTAACTCACTCAACTTATCATATATACAGGCGTTCTACAATACCAAAAGGAATTGTAGAACATAATGTAATGGTGGAGACTACTACCCATTCCCACACACATTACCAGTCAGTGGTGTTGTAATGATGGAGAACATTCGGGCACTGCCCCAGAAACATCTAGCTGGGCTAAGATGTGGTGACATAGAGTGGCAGTGGAGTATGGTGTGTTGTTGAAGTTATTTTGGCGGTTATCAAACCGTTCTGCGACCACTTGTGTCCTGTAGAGCGATAAATATCCTGGAAACCCTCAGGAGAGAAATGCTTCCTGAAAGGGTGACCCCTATCACTCAGAATAGCTTTGTGCTTTTACCTTTCTCTGTCAGAGGTTCAGCTGGCCTAAACAGCGCCACACAAATGTTTCTCTCACCATGACACATGAGAGTCTAGTCGGCTTTATCGTGGGAGACAAGAACTGCGGCCTCTTGGCGTCTTTTGGTGTGCACCAGAGAGAGCACGATGACTCAGTCATCAAACCATACTCTTTCCCACTGCTCAGTAAGCCAAAATATGTGATCTTTGTACCACTTCACCCACAAAAGTGTATTTCTGCATGTATAATAAATGCTTGATGCTCTATAACTCAGTCATAGCATCTGTCTCTGACAGCTCTGGATGAAGCTTCCTCCTCACAACAGATTGAGAATTTGTGGTCAACATTGTCAAGAGTTGCCGGTCTTCATTTCTTTGCAGCTTAAATCACACATTTCCCCTCCCTCTGATGTCCCCATTATGTCTCAAACATAGAGTTTTCAGTTTGTGTACTTGGTTTCGTTTTTAACCTTACTTTGAGTATGGCAAACAAAGGTCAGAGTAACAAAGGTGTTTTATTTACACATCTAAATGGCCATTTCAGATCAAAGTATAAGCAAAAACAAGAGAGTTTAATGCTGAATGAACAATTGCACAAGTAGATGACAACAACATTCAAGGTTTGAGCTCTAAAAGAGACTGACTTGGAAAAAAAACAATGACTACATGACGGAATCCCAGGAGACCGGCTGGTGCTTTAATATTCCCAGAGAGAGCACAGCGCAGAGACGTCACTGCGTTTCAATGTTGACTCATCCTTACACTCCCAGGGCAGCATGACCTCCCACAGTCTCAACTCACTGAACTGCTCACTGCAGAGGAATTAGACAAGATGGTGCGCAATATTCCAAAATCAAGATTGATGCCATCCAAAGACAACAGGCCTCCTTTATCATGATCACTGCGTGGAATGCTCCACAGTCTACACAATCTGCCTTACATTCACAGTTCACAATACTGTACATGGTGTAAAAATGACTGTTGAACTCCAGATTTCACTCAACAAAGGATGTACTGCTAACATTTTGGGTAAAATGGTAAAAAACAAAAGGTTGTCCTTCCAGTATAAGAGGTCATCTAGAATTCAATGTTACCTCAAGTCACTGTACTTTTATAGAGAGGTCAATACTTAAGAATTTGACTTGAAAAGTGAGCTTTGTTTTAAAGTTGATTATGTGAATATTTAAGACGGTGCTAACATGCGTAATATATCCATCCATCCATCCATCGTCAACCACTTATCCTGCGTACAGGGTCGCGGGCATAACAGATGTTATATTCATTTAAAGTAAGCATGTTTTAATTTGTTAGAAGCCAGTTAAGGGCAAGCAGCAGTAGCCTCTTTTGCACTTTCATGTATATTGTATTAGCTAAACAGGCCGTTTTAGTGTCTAGTTTGTAAAAGGAATTAATGTGAAATGATTAAAGTCTGTTTACTATACATGCCTTAATGACACATGCCCTGAGCTATTACACTATTTAACCAGCAGATAGTGTGCATGTGCTGTGTAACCTGTTGCACAACTACTGCACAGCTACTGTGCATACAGAGAGATTGAAGGCATTAGATATGCGACTTATTCAAATGTTTTATATTATCACTTTGAAGGTACTATATGGAATAATTTTTATAGGGACAATGGAGAGAGAGACACAAAACATTTGCATCTTTTAGTGATGTTTGACTACAAGTACAGTGGTACCAAGTATACCATTTAGTTTGGATTAGTTACTTGAAGAGGACAATGGAGACAATGTTTTCAGTGAAGAATTATTTCAAGCAATCTATTCAGCGGTCATGGAGAAGGCATGAAGTTATTATTTCAGTATGACTGAAATCTGAATTAGATTTATCCTATTTCCTTTGTTATAGGTTAACTTATTTGATATGTGTAGCAGTTATTGAACAGTTTGTACAAAAAAGCTTCAATCCCAGGAAATGCTACATAGTGCAGACACTGCCGGATGATGAGATTTATACATATTGATCAGTAAGACTTTGACAAAGGGAAATATTTTCTTCTTTACGAAGTCACGTTATTTTATTGACGTAAAATAACTTAAGTTGTGACACAAAACCTTCGACAGCCTCTTTCCTGACTTGTGAAAAAAAGATAAAACACAGTTTGAACAGAACTTTGCTTTATTTATGGAGAGAAACACTTTTTGTCATTAAGACTTACATTTTGTTTGAGTCCACAGACCCAAATAGTCTATTTTTGTATATTTTGGTCTATAAAAGCAATGCTTTCCAGTCAGTGTGGATTACAATACTGCAGATCATCACAACACAAAAAAACTGCTTTACATTTCCCTTTTTACATTGCAGACACAATGGTCTGCTCAAACAGGAGACCTATACCACTTTAGAAATGTGACCATAGCATTTCTCAATGTTAGCAAACAACCAAGAATGGGACTTAAAATGTTTGTGTGATTTAACCTGAGTATTACACCGTATATATCCACAGTCATGTTCAAATGTGTGTACCTCTTGTCGTGGCATTTTGTACAACAATTACATGTTTAAATTATACAGTGGTAGCAGAAACGGTAATACGTCAAGGGGTTCACAATTATTTGACCACAACGGTTTGTGAATGTGTGTTTGAACCAATTATCATAACAGGTATGTATGTGTGCGCACATGAAAAATCACTTTGGTCTTGATCTTAGCCATTAACCACTGATTCTGAACTTAAGTTAATACTATATTGACAATATCAGTTCTAACATCTTGAAAATAGCACTAGTCTAATTCCCTTAGGGCCAGCTAAAACCTACAGACTTCATTTCAAACAACAGTATGCAAACTGGCCTCAGATTCCAAAAAAATAATATTACAATTGGTGAATAATTCAATAGCAGAATAAATCACAATTGAACACATCTCTGCTTTGTAAACATACAGGGTTAGTCATTAAATCAACTGTCAAACACTCCTAATAAATTCCTGTTTTAAAAAGGATTTGTATCTCGAAAGAGCATTAAACATTAAACACAAATCTGACTAAACACTGGCACCAAATTAAACATTTAGCGTCAGTATGTTACTGGTGCTGTCGCCTGCTGCCTGTCAATCATATGGAGGGTATGTGGTGACATCATCTGGCATGCAGAGATCAGCCAATGCCAGAGTGCAATTTCTGTATTATGCTTTTAACCGTTTTTTAACCATCAGGCTGGACACAGATTTGCGTTTGCTGTTCAGCTACTCTTAGTTTACAGTGTGTGGAAAAGATATCCTATGTCCCCTGAAATACAGAATTCACTGCATGACAACCCATGTGTTGAATCACTACAAGATATGTTTGACAAAGCCACTGTAGAATAACTTTGGCATGTTTTATTAGGCAAAATATACTCAAAAATATTGAAATTCCCATTAAAATAGCATAAAGCATATATATATATATATATATATATATATATATATATATATATATATATATATATATATATATATATATATATATATAGATATATATATATATATATAGATATATATATATATAGATATATAGATATATAGAGAGAGAGAGCGAGAGAGAGAGAGAGAGAGACACACGCACACACACACACACACGTGACTATGTACAAAGAGGACATAATGCTTACTGCTGTACACAGGGTATCTGTGCACTTTTATGTAGCACGTAAATGTCCCTGTAAATTAACTACTGTACCCAGTAAGAATTAGTACATACCAATGGGCTACTCCCAGTGACACATAGTGTCACACACATTATGGCATTGATTTTCCCCCTTTATTTAAATAAAACTATTTTCATATTATACATTTCATATTTTGTTACATTCAAGGTATAGATACAATTTGTATCAACAAGCAAAAGTCAATTCTAGACATTTGTGGCTTAGATGTTTGCGGCGCTCAGAGGGAGGGTGGGGACTGTGAACAACCATCCTGGCTCTAGGTTTAACCTTTTGGCAAAGCAGTAAAATACTGGATTGATACACTGAAAGTCGTTTGTAGTGATAGTGAGGGTTTTATTTTTGGACTGGAAATAATCTATCGCCCAGTGAAAACAGAATCTTTCTGGAAGTAGTCTTAGGAACAGGGACTAAATTGTAAATATCTCTAAGGTTCGTGGGGGAAAATGTACAGACAGAATCGGTGAAAGCAGAGTCTAAACTTAAGGGCAGCTACCATCAATACTATTTCAGAATTATACACACATTCAGTGCATTTTATCTAATTACAGAGAAGTGCTAGCAATGTGGCATTGTGCCAGAAACACTAGCACACAAGCTTGTGTGCAAAATCAGCAGTTAAAATGAAATGTGTGCACATCTTTATCAAACCATAGAGTAACAGTCTCTTAATGACAAAATAAAAACATCTGTCTGAGTTTAAACTGATTTGACATTAATGTACTGTACTGTTTACAACATCTATTTTATCATTAACTGCTTCAGCTGCCATAGATGTCAAGGATAATTCCCACAATGAAAACAAATCACTATAATGAACCTTGACCATTTTCATTTTGGTAGATTTGCATTGCGGCACACATTACAGTTACTAATTCCTTAACACACCTAAGTAAACGTACTCCGAGTTCATCAGGGCAATTGACTATTCCAGTGTTCAGGTTAAAGAAGGATCTCACTATCACAAAAAGAAACATAAAAGGATACCATATTAACCACATTAGCATACTGAAGTCAAAACACTTGTGCTCTTGATTTGGTATATCCATCAGCAATTGTTGAAATTTTAGAGTTGTTTCTTTTATCAAAGCATACAGTACCTTCAATCTTTTTTTTGGGACCTATGACAATTAAACTATTTAAAAGAAAAAGGATTGCACGCAAACTTTTAGCCAAATGCCAGAAACAACCTTGACAGCAGCCTTGCAATCTGATTGTTTCACATGAAGAAACATTTAGGCAGTTTGTTTCACCTTCTCATGAACAGACAGCTGGCCTAAAGTGGCCTAGTCTTTTTTCATGAAAAAACAAAGTCAGCAAAGCCCAAAAATTCATTTGGGCAAAACACATTCAAATGTTTGTTTTTTTTCTTTATGTCTGTTCATATACCACTGTTGTACCTAAACATTATAAAGAAATATATATATATATTTTTAAGCACCACCAATGAGAAAGTCAGGCTCACATAGTTAGCCCTGTTAAAGAGTAATACCACTCAGTTTAAAAATTCACGCCATTTTTCTTTGTAATCATGACCACTTTCCTAAATTAAAAGGACAAATATTCGGGTCTGTGATGTCATCAAAACATAGTCTGATGACGCTCTGATTTCCTACAAGTGGCAGTCAAACTTTCTGGACTTTGTGTTTGAGCTCAACATCACTTCCCTGTGTTTTTCATTATTTATTAATAAAACACCATAACAATAATCTGTGCCCTAATCAATTTTTGTCATTTGACTCACAATGAATCTTAACACAAATCTGATATTTAACATTAGGTGGACTCATCTCCTTCAGAGGCATGTGATAAAATACTGCAAATTTGTAATGCCCTGTCATGCAATCTACAGTAATAGTAAGCCAAAGGGGTGACATACATGAATCCTGAAATTAAGTGGCATTTCCCTTTAAATGCGCTCAAAGCATGATCTTGCTATTAGGGTTGGCTTTACATGTTACAACCTCACTGCAATTGTAGGCTGAATATAGCACTGTGTCCTGAGGGTGTGGGGGGAGAGAAAAGGCAATGGATCCTTACAATCAAGGGAGTTAATCCTCACAGGAGCATGAATGTGCTTAGCAAAACTGATGCTAATGTGCCCCATAAGTAAATAAGAGATCTGATGGACCTGGGGGCCATACCAATTGTCATGATTAGCATCCAACATTAGCATCCTTAGGCCCCAAATGTAATGTAAAGGTCGAATCAAGATCACTGGCTCAAAAACTGTCAGACAATCAGCATATTATAAAAATATGGACAAACAAATGGTCTTTAAGCAGATTTTAAAGCCCATTTGTGTCTTTGGCTGCATTGGAACTTCACACCTTAATGGACACAAACATCGCTTCATCTGACTAAAGCTGAATCACGTAAAGCCACCCTATTAACCCAGGTGCATAACAAGGATATACACAAACAGTACAAAGTTTTGCAATTCCATCTCTACATTATAACTGTACATAACTAACCTTAAAAGTTACTACATGTTACATGTAGGATTTTCACAAAATATATCACTGCTAGATCAAAGTACTCTTGCCAGTAACCACTGGTTTTTGGCAGGGCAAGAGAAATTAGAAAATTGAAAGCATCCTGAGAGCAATGTGCTGCAAGGCACAGCCAAACCCTTCCATGATCCTAGGAGACTGGCTGCATGTATATGCAATTCAGCCCCCAAGCCATACAGCAAATTTCAACATGCTTTCTAGCATTCACTTTTTTTTTTTTTTTAACTACACAATTATTGAAACCTCATCCTATAAGATAACACAAAATGAGTCCAATATTTAACTCACTCCCAGACCTAACTGTTACAGCTGTATTCTTAGCATTTTATCTGACAAATGCAACATAGGGTAAATAGTCTGTTGCAGAATTCCTTGTGCAAACACTTAACATTTCTACAACTTTTCCTTAAGTCACATCACAGCCCACTGAAATTAATTCTCAAAGCTTTCCTCCGTTTACATGTACATAAGAAACCAGGTGACTGTCAAAAATCAAGTTAAGGCATGAAACTTGTTTAGATGCACTGCAATAGTCTGATTTCTGTAAAACCACAGTTTACACGTATTTTGTCAGAAAGCAGATTTCTCCCCTCCCCCCTCCACATTTTGAACCAAGTTAAGTCATATTTTAAGAGTATCCGATATGGTATCCAAGAAACGTGTTAATAGGACAGTGCCATGATAACATTTTTTTGACTGGAGCATTTGGACTGACAGTAAAGCAAGAGGATGGGCTCTATCATCGGATAGTTTTACTGGGTGCATGTGTTTAAATTAAACTACTGACTTACTGTTTATATTAACAATAGGGAAATCACTAGGTTTGTTCAGCATAGACTGGACTTTGGATGTAATTATTCCAGATGCAATGATGCATGGCCATACATTTAATCCTGTTGGATTACTGCTAGAGTGATGGTACCTGTATAAACCAAGTTTCTTTTAATGCCTTAAACTGATAAAAGAAACTAGGTTTCTCATTTCTCATTCATGCATCAGGACTCAGGTCACTGACGAAAACTTGGAATCAGACTAAAGTTATGTTAAAGTAGTCCAACAAAATGAACCTGCTCCTGAAAACAAACTGCTCCACTGACAACTTGAAAGAGTCCATTAGAGCTACTGTTTGAAACAAAGATACTTTGAATATTTTCACATTGAAAAGAATCAGTACAACAAAATTTGACAAATATATAAATAGGAAAATCCTGGACGTAGCATCCAATAAAATCAGAAAGGTAACTATACAGTACACCATAGGAAATTATCCAAACACAATGTTAGTTTATACTATAATCCAATCGATTCTGTGAACCAAAATGTAAAGTTATGTAGAATTCTGACAGTATATAAATTCTATCTTTTTTTGGCATTATTTAGCAGCTTATAAATGACTTTGACATAATGGCTTTTTATGTGATAATATGTACATAGATATGTGCACAGGTATACAAGTCAAATCTCTTTTTTGGCTTGCTTTGTGCACTGTCAAATTCTACCAAAATAGTAGCTTTGTTAAGTGAGGCTGAGAAAATATATCTCTCTAGATACTGAGATAGTGCTTTACATTTGAAAATAGGAGGCTTCAATGACTAAGACTTTCATTGAAACCAATCAGACAATGACTTAAGCGTGAGGTCACTCAGATATAAGGCCATTAAATGTCATAGTTCATGCTGTGAGGTATGTACCTACCTCCCTCTTTCTTATCTTCAAAATAAATGCAAAAACAAGTCACAAGAATTATATACAGCAGAGGCAGACATACGCAAGGTTATTTATAGTTTCACTGCACCAGAAACACTTTAAATGCCTTTCATAACACATTCACAGGGCCTGAACAAGATCTTCATAAAAAGCTACATGGTGTACAAATGTGTGTACTCTTCTGTCAGATTTAATAAGGCAAATGTGGGAGAGGTTGCTGAGTTATAACTTCCTATCTTGACTGTGTTGCTATGTAGCTAACCTGTTTATTGATCCACTTAGTTCCCATCGACTCACAAAAGGTATTACACAAGCTAGCTACATTAGTTAGGATTCTTGTTAAAGTTGGGTTTCAATGATGATGGTTATCCAGCGGGCCATCACAATTATGGAACCCCAAAGTAATCAATATTAATTAGATAAAAAAGGAATTATGAAACTAAAAATGAATAAAATATGTAAAATATATAAATTAATTACATGAACCAACAATTTGTAAAATAATTAAATAAAAATATTTTTTAAATTCACATTGTGATAATGGCAGTATTCCGACTTGTTGAGGTAATGGACTGAACTGGCCACGGACTTTCTAACAGCGAGTTTGGGCTTTTACGAAGGTGTGAGAGTGCACCGCTGTAAAGGAAAGGGGTGCACTGGATTTGTAACACAAGACAAATTGAGAGCAACAGAATGCGGCACAGTCTCGATTATCTTGTTTCATGATCGTTGCAAGCCAAAATCGTTATTGAATATACAATTTGATTAGTCGCCCAGCCCCAGTGCATAGGAATTATTTATGGTGCGCCTCCCCGCATCCACGGCTATTCATTTTAGTATCTTTGTGGGCCCTCCTCACATGAGGGCCCAGTATGCCTGTTGCTGTAGCTAACAGGTGCTAACTGGCTAAATCTGGTGGCAGTTATTAAGCTTGCTTGCTTCGGAGAGGGTGGGGCATGTGACTGGCTGTAAGGTCTGAGAGCGGTGACAACTTCAACTTGGAGGCAGTCAGTTTTTTTCACGTGAGTCTGTGTCGACTTTTTTGCCAGTTAAATTTTTATGGCTTCTATCGACTTGCCCATCTCTGAAGAGAACTCTCTTATTTTTAATCCGTTTGAGCAGAATATAGACAGTTGTGGCATTTACGATAGTTTCCTTAATCCTGATGTAAATCAATCTAATTTAAAATTATTAAAACTGTCTTGTAACTATTACTCTGAAGGACAAGTAAACTCACTGTATCAAACTATAAAATCTTCTAATAATTTTTTCTCTACTTTCCATTTGAATATTCGTAGTATGTCTAAAAATCATGACGAATTAAGAATTTTACTGTCTACCTTAAGTTTTTCCTATTCAGTATTGGCTTTTTCTGAGACTTGGCTGACTGATGATGTATTTTCTTTATTCCCCTTACCTAATTATTCATTCTCTCACTGTCTCTGAGAACTGGAATTGTCCCTCAAAATTTGAAGATTGCTAGGGTTATACCAATTTTCAAGACCGGTGACTCCAAGGATTTTAGTAATTACAGGCCAATATCAATTCTCCCGTGTATATCGAAAATTTTAGAAAGACTTGTCTATTTGAGATTATTTAATCACCTGGATGCTAATAATATTTTATACAAACATCAATATGGTTTTCGGAAGCGACACTCTACTGAGCATGCCCTTATTCAACTCGTAAACTATATTTCTTCAGCTCTTGACAATAAAAATATGCTCTTGGAGTCTTTCTGGACTTGAGTAAAGCATTTGATACGGTCAGTCACAATATCTTGATTGCTAAACTTAGTAGATACGGAGTGAAGGATGTTGCCTTGAGATGGTTTAGAAGCTACTTAGCTAATAGAGAGCAATATGTTTACCTGGAAGGCTATGAATCAATGAAGTCACAAATTAAGATTGGGGTCCCTCAAGGATCAATTTTGGGGCCTCTTTTATTTTTAATTTATATTAATGATATGCCTATGACTTGTACTAAACTCCTCCCAGTTCTATTCGCTGATGATACAAATCTTGTAGCTTCGCACCATGACTTCAATATTCTAATAAAAATGGTTAACGAGGAACTATCATATATTATGGAATGGTTTCAATGGAACAAACTTACTCTTAATATAAAAAAATGTAACTTTATGATTTTTTGTAATACTCACAAACATTACCCAATTGAATTATCTAAGATCTTCATAAATAATACTCAAATCGAATTGGTTCAGCATACCAGATTTTTAGGAGTCATTATAGATAGTGGTCTTAATTGGTCTAACCATATCAATTTTGTATCTAAGAGGTCAGCTAAAATGTTGGGCATATTGAGGAGGGTTTGTCCTTTGGTTCATTCATCAGCATTTTTAACCTTATATTATAGTTTTTTGTTTCCATTTATTAATTATTGCAACATTGTTTGGGCAGCTACTTATCCTACCCACCTTAAGAAATTATTAGTTATACAGAAAAAATATCTCAGATTTATTTCACATTCAAATAGATACGCTCCTTCGGCCCCTCTTTATAATAAATTTAAAGTTCTCCCTATTGATAAGGTAAATATTTATCAAATATGTTTACTTATGCATAAGTTTATATATAGGAAACAAGATCTACCAGACTCTTTCCAGAATTTGTTTATTCCTATCTCACATGTTCATTCATTTCACACTAGACATAGTAATAATAACTTAGTCTTACCAATCACACGAACTACAAGACATCAATTTAATATTTCTTTTAGAGGTCCTAAGCTCTGGAGTGACTTAAGTCCATCGTTGCGATCAATGTCCTCTTATTCAGCTTTTAAAAAGCATTTGAAGAGTTTACTACTGCTAGCTTGATGCCTTTATGTAGTTTTTTTTTCTAAGTATTGTTGGTTTGTATTGAATTGCTTTCTATCGCTTGTTGTTTATTTTTATTTTCATTTTTTTTTTCCTTGTGTGTTCTGTTTTTTGTTGTTGTTCTTTTTTCTTCTACTTTGATGCTTAGTCTGCATATCTCGTGACTTAATATGGGAAAAGGAGTGGAACTCTGTACAAGCCTAGTCTGGCTTCGTTCCCTCCTTGCATTGTTCTGGACTTGTACCAAACGTGCTAAACAAATAAACTAAAACCACTGTCATGACAAGTGACATTATGTTACTAGTAGCAGGAAATGTGGTGTCATTGGGAAAAACACCAGTATGGAATAAAATAAAAACTTCTATAAAACTATAAAAATAAAGAATGATGAAACTGCATTTCATAAGTGAGTTGAGTAGCTAAAAATACTTGAAAAATTGTTTCACAGATTATTGTTTCATTTATATATTTTACACAATTTATTCCTGAGATTGTTATTACGTATTTGTTTAGTTTTGACACTTTGGGCAGCCATACATCATTTTTTATATCATGTAACCAATTAAATCAACAGGAACACATTCAGAATTGATCTAAGGGACATTGAACAGTCCTGCCAAATGTTAGCTGACTATTCAATATATATTTCTAGAATTAATGATGAACAAATGTTCAGTTAATCATGGATATGGTACAAAGCTGCTATGCAGCTCCTGCTCAGGTAGTATGAATGTGTTATGAACCAGATTTCTAATAAGGTGTTACCTCATATAAACTGCACCACACTCCATATAAAAACGTAGCTTTCATATTCGAAACAGCTTACAATTTGAGACAAACTTATTAGACAAACTTACTCTATGCTGATTCTGTCATTTTAGTGAAGAAAAATCTGATTGCCAGATTCCCCACCTTTTTTTAAAAACTCCTGAGGGCAGATGTTGCAGCTTTAGCAACATTTAACAAGTGCCTATCTTTGCAATCAAAATCTGTATTTCCCTTATCATACCACTTTTGAATGTTTAACAAGATTAACTGCTCAATGGCATGACCTCAGTTTTGTAACAATGACAGCCGCAAGTTGTTGTGGATCTGTCAAATGAGGGTTCTTCTCCATTACTGAGTGGACTACATAAGCAGGGAAGATGTTACAAAGGTTCCGATATGTTTGATACTGGTGGTCTGGGATGACATACCGCTCTTGGTGTTCAGCTGCAGATGGCATCTCCCATGGAGAGTTCCAGATTTGCTCCATTTTGTCTGGCATGCTGCGCACCATCACCCGCTCACAACATGGCATCAGGCTGTTACTCAATGGATATGAATGATACCCATAGGACTCATTACCACAAGGCAAAGGGTCCCAGCTTGCATGCTGCTCACGGCACAGTGGAGGTCGCCTCTGTCTCATTGGGTTGCTATCATATAGCCTTGAATCCGATATGCTGTCCATACGAGTCATACCAAGAGACCGTGTGGGCTGTGAGGATAAAGGTGGGAGGACATTCTGAGTTAGGGGATAGTCTCCAGGACAGCTGGACCTTGCTCCCACTGCAACATGCTGGATATGTGGCGCTAGATGAGCTCCAGACTGCTTTCGGGGGCCCTGCTTGGGTTCCTCTGGTCCATAACTCTGTACCCTGGTCAGTGCTTCATGACGAAACCCATGGGAGAAAGTCTGCATCCTACCCTGTGCGGGAGACTGCTGCTGCCCCTTCATGCTCTCCTCTAAGCTACTGTCCACAGAGCTTGGGTAGAGGTCCCCATAAGAGGAGAACGAGTCACTGTTTGAATGGCTGAGGCAGGACTCAGGGCAGTGGCTGGGATTTCTCTGATACACACCATGCTCGTGCTCCATGCTACAGAAACTGTCGACATTATGCATGCTGCTCATGCTCATATTTGAAAAATCACTGTGCAGTGAATAATAGCCATGGTCGCTAACTGAGTCATACTTTGGGAACTGTTCACTGTATGTAACAGAGGCGCCATGACTATTAGTAACTAAGATAGGAGGGTACTGTACACTAGACATGTGCTCCAGAGAACTGTGTGCGAACTGCATAGAACCTGGAACTGGGCTGCTGGCTGATCGTGTGTTCAAGGCCCCAGCTGCGTGGCTCTTGGGAGGCTGCATGGTGGGCACACTGAGAGCGGACACAAGGGAAGGCACTGAATTTGTCTCAGACTTCCTCATAACGGACAGTGCCTCTGGAGGTTCACAGGCCACAGAGCGAATACTGGGGTCAGACTGACGTTTGGGTCCCACACGTTTGGCCTCCGAGTTGCTGTCCCCCTTGACAGTTGCTGGACCAGTACCACATTTAACTAAAGCCCCCTCGCTCATCGTCTTCACTGCAGACAATTTGGCAAAGGCCCGTAGTTCATCAGCCACCGACCGCTGAGGCTGGTTGACGCGCTCTGGATGATAGTACTTGCATTTGTGTCCATATGTGCACTTTTTCCCTTGTTTAAAGAAAGAGTAAATCAAGTCAAGATAATTAAACACTTAAATTATGCTGACAAAAACGCAACATTATTCAGACATTGCTTTGAAACGACATTTAAGGACCTTACCATAGGGGCATGGTTGTTTCTTGTGCTCTGGAACAACAGGACGCTTGCGGAGGAAATTTTCTAAGCTTGGACCATGTCTTCCCAATGGATCATCAGGCGGCATAAACCTATTCACAAAAGTCATTCAAAATGTTTCATTATTAAATGTCAGCTTTATTATTTCCAGCATAAAGAGTGATCTCCCAGACTTTCTAATTAGCAAAGGTCATAATAGAATGACTAAATAGGTTATGTGACAAAGGGCCCTATGATTTCCGCAATGCGGAAAACACAGACGGAATCACAGAATTTGACAATAAAAATTTAATCAACTGTAAAACACAGAATATTGTGGAATCTGGAAAAGATTTGGATGCTATTTATAAAAATTAGGGGATTTCCTAACATTATAAATGCTGCTATGGTCCTTTTGGTCATTTACGTGCACAGCTTCTCTCCTCTACTCTCTGTATTTCAGCAAGGGCAGGGCTCAGCAGCCTCTGTCAGATCCACTTATTAGCCTGGTGCGTTCAGCAGAATACAGAGGCCATTGAGGACAATTCACAATAGTACCTAAATGTACTGCAACAATGTATTCATTGTGCAGTTTCGTGGTTAGCACTGTCATGAAGGTCATGGGTTCAAACCCCGGTTGCCCCGGCCTTTCTGTGTGGAGTTTGCATGTTCTCCCCGTGTCCGTGTGGGTTCTCTCCGGGTGCTCTGGCTTCCTCCCACTGTCCAAAGACATTTAATTTGTTAATTGGTGTCTCCGAAATTGTCCATAGGTGTGAGCGTGAGTGGTTGTTTGTCTATGTGTGGCGTGTGATGGACTGGTGACCTGTCCAAGTTGTACCCTGCCCTTCGCCCAATGTAAGCTGGGATTGGCTCCAGCCCCCCGCGACCCTGTACGCAGGATAAGCGATTGAGGATGGATAGATGATTCAGACACTCTGATGACATAATGTACTTAAATTGTAAAACAAAGAATTCAGAAAAAATAAAACATAATCTGTCAAATATGTAAACGGATTTCATGGGGCCCTTGTCACAGATAGTCTTAAAATGTTTTGAATAAATAACCATTTATACTACTAACCAACTCTAATATAAACATTGTTTGTACTGTAGTAGTATCTTCTTTCGTTTTAACAAAGATCATATCCTCAAAATCTATGACTATACTCACAGGGTGAAACAGTCATATAGTGCATTTTTACATAGTTTGGCTGCCATAAGAATGCATCCGGGTTTCTTACTTGTCATTGACAAATGAGTACATTAGGAGACGTTCCTCTATGAACTTCTTCCACTCTGGCTTCTCATTTTGCAAGTCCCTGTAGTTGTCATTTGACACAATAATTCCATCAGAATCATAAGCCAGCTTCACTATGAAGCGATCATCATAGCACACCACTCTCCTGCCCTGAACTCGCCGAGATGGGGTGAAAACCAGGATCTTTTCTTTTTCCAGCTTGCGTAATATTTCTTGATCTGAAAGAGATGTTTCATGCAAATTTTAATGCTGGTTAACATTTCATAAATGGCTCATCATAATTCCATCAAAAACAACCAAAATCAATATCACAATGATAACCATGACAACACCACAACTCCATGCTTTAGTAACATACACAAAACTTTAAACAGCAACTACCTAAAAAAAATTGCTTTATTACCTGTGATGAGGGCGTCAGGCCTCGACTGTTCCTTTCTCCAGGCTGGGACAAACACAGTGATGTCTTTGTGTCCTTTCTCCAAGAACCATTCAACAGCAAGTTGGATACCACGGCAAGAGAATACCTCTTTGTTTCCATGGCTAGAAAAGAAAACAGTGTGGTGTACTTCAACCTCACCAAAGGGACGTCCATTGAAGGACAAATGTTTCAGAATGTAAGTGTGTTCTGTATAAAGCACAGACCAATTAAAAGAGTGTATGTTTGTTAGTTTCTTACCTCATTGCCACATTTGAGCCATCAATGACGATGGGCCTGAGGTTATCATGGGTATCCACAGGGTCATCTTCCACTGACACCTCTGGACTAACAGTCTCTTTAACACAGGGGGACCGCGATATTGATGTGGCCGTACTGCTGCCAGGTTGAATTTCAGGCTCCACTTTGTTTCCAAGCCTTACCAACTCAGCAAGAACGTCGTTAATAAGTGCAGCAGCCCCCAACTTGTTAAGCACCGTCTCCACCTGCTCTCCCGAATAGCCCAACTTCAAAGCAAATTCCATCTTCGTCTGGTACTCCCGGTCACTGGAATGTTTTATCCCTGGTCCCACGCTGGTCTCATCCTCACGAACATCTTGCACAGTGCTACTCTGGGAAAAACTGGGCCGGTCAAGGCATGGAGAGCGACAGAGCTGTCGGTGGGGTTTTGTGACAGCCAAGGGTTCCCTCTTTTTACACCTACTGCTGCTCACCTGAACCCTGTGGCACTGCTGCTCTTCTGATTCACTTTCTGAGCTGCTTCCATCCTCTGAATCGTCAGTGGCATGCTGGGCCTCGCTTGAGTCAATGTTCTCCTCCCTCCATGGGCGTTTTTCCATTTTGAGCTTCTCCACCATCGACCATACTGTCATCACGTTCGTCTTGACACCTCAGATTTCCACCCCATGCCTCTTCACCTCCACCGCAACCAGGGAATCATACTCAATGCCGGACTAAAGCGCTACAGGCTCTTTGTTTAGAGCCCAAGTAACACGGTCTCCCCTCTGTGGGCAGGCAAAATCAAACTATTAAATCCTGAAAGATAGAAAAAACACAATGGGATGTTTCAATAAAAAATAAAATTTTAATCATTTTGAAACAAATAATTTACCTCTGTTCCTATGCATAGACTTTAATTTGTTTGTATTTCCCTATTTTATACAATCAAAAGTCTGACTGGAGAAGCAATTGAAAGCGTAGCAAGATAGAAGAGTCTACTAGAATGAAACATTTCCAGTGCAACTGTTGTGAATTCTTTGTGATCTTAACTGCAGCTTTGAGTAAATAAGATGGTAAACCAGTTTTATTTGTAAACACATCTTTCTCCTCTCAGTTTTAGCTCTCTGTCCTAACTAACCCCAAAACTGAGCTTTTCCAAAATGGCCTGTTGTTTGTAAATCTTCAAAACACCAGCTTGGTGTTTGAGTGTGTAAATGTTAAACAGAGCTTCTGCATAGCAATGACACAAGCGCACTGAGGGTTGGGGACTCTGTGCCACAGTGCCAGTAAAGTTAAGAAGACATCCTTGGGTTACCTCTAATTTTCTCTTTGGTTGATCATTTTAAAAGCAGAGCTGCGGTCATTAACCTGGATTTAGGTTGATTTTGTCAGATGATGACACAATTATAAAACAAGTTTGTTTTTTTTAATCACTTCTTGGTAATGACTGCTGGTTAATGTGCAATTATTCACCATGATTATTTTAAACTTGTTCAGTGGAAAGAAACAAAAAAATATGTAAATAAGAACTATACTGTGAATTTGAAGGAAAACTGCATTTTAACATTTAGAGGATTTAATGTAGACAGAGTCTTCATCTCCATCACCACCCCACTCTCCATCCCACCTGTGGTAAATTCTCAACCTGTGGGAAACACTGCTATCTGGGGCAAGTGACAAAATGAATCAGACTAATGGAACATATTAGTCACCTGCCCAGATAAACTAGTCACCAAAAAAACATAGCACTGTAGGGAAAGAACTGATCTGAATATGGACATATATACATTCTCTCTGTCCAACTGTGTTTTGGCATTTGTGAACCACAAACCACCAAAACTAAAATCAGATCTAGTCTTTTGTTTCGGTTACATTTCTAGTTAAACTGGGTGGTTAAATAGTCTGCAATGACAGCCAAGACTGCAGGCTACATTTTTTGTCTGACTGTCAACCTTTTTCTAATTGAAATATTAAATGTCATACCTACAAAACTATTTATTCTTACAAATGTACCACCAATAATTTACTTAGCTGTAACTAACAGGACATTCTTCAATAAACTCTAGCAAAGCATTACAGCACTGATGCATTTGTGAACTTATCTGTCCTAATTGTTATTGGAAAATTTCTCACTGCATACCAACAAACCTGAACTGAATTGTGAATATTTTACTAATGCTAGATGGTGACAGTATCAGCATGTGAATATTACATAAATTCACTTTGGCACTTTTTCACAACAAACAAATAGGTGCATACAGGAAAAAAAGAAACTGTGTCAATGATCTCATCCTGCTTGTAGGTGCAATATGGAACAAATCACAGCAAACAACGACCCAACTTCCCTGTCTCTCCGGCTGACTGCTTTTAAAATTAAAACCCCAGTCTTCCTGCACTAAACGTGTTCATGTACTGCAGAACAATCCTCGCCTCTGTGAGCACTGCTGGTCTCGCAAGCAATGATCGAGCCAGACACACATCAGGTGAGTGCGTGAACATAACCTGAGACAAAGTGTGGGCTGAACAGTGAATCCCTGCACCTCCGGCCCTCTGACAGACAATCTGAACTGAACGTAATTCCTAAGGGAACAAAGCTGTTTTATGGTAAAGCAGAGCAGGACTTCAGGGAGCCTGCAAGGATAAACATGTACCACTACCAACAGCTGTGTAGTGTAATTTATTTTTTACATATGGAAATTGGTAATCAAATAATCTTAACAACAAGTGCATTAATGAACAGAAACACTGGACTACACTATAGCAGAGAGCAGAAAACAGCCGGCTTCGAGCTTCAAGAGGCGCAGCCCATGATGTGGGTTGCTTAGCAACACAGCCTTGTCATCAGCTAACTCCTTTTTACCAGTCACGACTAACACAAACACGGCTCATCATCTCTCTTCAGGCAGGCAGTGAATGCACAACACTTATAGCTACACTACAACTCTACACTAAAACTCTTGAGGCAGCATATTTTGCAATAAAAATAACAATACTTAGACCTCGATCAGCGCTGACCATTGAAAAAGACAGATCAATCTGGATACTTGGTATGCGTGCATAAAACAAATGATCTGAGATTTCCTCTTTCAACATTAGTTCATGTAATGAAATAGCAATGTCACTGGCGACAACCTTGTCGGGTCATACACAAGATTGATATTTATAGAAGACCTTGAAGGGTGATAGATATTTTGAGGGTCAATCTATTGCTACAAATGCATACTTGCCTTTTAATGGCAGTACTAGGTTTGAACATTTAAAACAATGAACGGAGCAAAGTGGGATGTTGAGGCACTGCTGTGGCACTCAGCAGTAAACTCACACAACCCGCTGCCATGTAAGACATTTTATGACCACATCAGTACATGTTTCAGGGAGCATTCCTTCTCTCTTCTCTCTTCCAATCCTTTCCCTGCCACCTCCAGATTCACAGGCTTAGACTCAGTGAGGCCTCCAGACTATCTCTGCACATGCACAGGCTCGTGTAGTTCTGTTTCATAGCAACAAGTGAAGCAAGTCTCTGAAGCCATCTTTTTGCGTTGCTGACCCTACATAGTATGAAGCAAGGATAAAATGCACTATGGTCAGCGTTGGTTGCATGAACCACTTGTCTAGTTAGATATCTTGAAATTAAAACAATATACAAATCTAAAAATACAAAAATGACCCAGCAGTTTGTTTATGAGACAGACCAATTAGAGAAAAGCATGTAATTGTTACTGTGATATCTACGACGCTAATATTCTGTATAATTACACAGAAGAAAGTCATTATTACTAAGGTGAAAGATTAATGATCTACCTCTTCCTTCTGCAGTCTGAACACAAAGTCTGTACACCGAATCAGCACAAACAGTTCGCAGTACTCTGCATAAAGACAGTTCTGACATATACTTTCAGCATGCTTGGCCACCACCTTTACCCATGACCCAAGACCCATCACTATGAAACTACTCTTGGGAACAGGGGCAACTGCAACACATAATCAGTGTGGTCTGCCATAAGGGCAAGTGGAGATTGTCTGGGCCTAGAAAGAATGACAAACACAAACATACACAAACAAAACTAAGAGGGTACATTTTTGGTCATCATTATGCTTCAACGTAACCATGGGAGTAACCCGCCAACAAACAAAAACAATATGATCTCCTTTTCTTGTTTACACTGATCAGATGATGACACTATGCTCCCATCTCATTTTAGACCTGGTGGCATGTCTACTGATATAATAAGACTGAACGCTGGCTGATTATCATTTCACTACATTTTTGGAGGACTTGTTCACAAGCCATCTTAGATATCAAAAGACGGGAACACATTACATTTATTCATTTAGCTGACGCTTTTATCCAAAGCGACTTCCAATTGCTATATGTGTCACAATTGCTACATATGTCAGAGGTCGCACGCCTCTGGAGCAACTGGGTCTCAAGTGTCTTGTTCAGGTACACATTGGTTTCTCAGTGGATTCAAACCAGGGTCTCTCACTCCAAAGGCATGTGTCATAACCACTGCTCCATCACCACCCCAACAACATAGACAACACCATCACCAAAATGTTCCACGACCTGTTCCAGTGTGTCAAGCTAACACTTCACCAATACAGATAGATGTCTCATTGATAAAAAGATTTCTTTCCCTGTCATATGGTATAATCTCAATGGTTTATGAAGCTGAACAAAAACCTAAAGTACACATTTTGAGTGCTTGGTTTATCCCCTAAAGAGGGATTTTTAGCGTTGGAAACTACACTTATTTCAAAGCATAAACTGAAGACAGTTTCCTTTTAGTAGCGGTAACAGTTATACTAACAATAGGCAAAGAGAAAAGTGAGGATTGTACTGTGTTCTGATATGACCGGTAAGCCAGTTTTGTCTTTACTTAACAGCAAACCACACGAACGTGCACATAAATTAAAACACTGCAATGACCATAACTGCTGAATTAACTTAGGTGGACTATGTTATTGCATTTCTCAGCTAAATAGTTGACACGTCAATACAAAAATCTGAAGCGTTTTTTATAACATTAGGGATGAAATGGAGGAAGGTTAAAGCATATGACAGTTAAAGAGATTTCATACTGATAATGCACTTTTTCGAATTCCGTTATGATATTACTACTGCACACGACGTCACCTTTGTGATTGGATTTGATGAGAGATAACTGGTTTGACACCCTTAGGCCCGGGGATGCGGTTAGCACACGCTATCAACCTATGTACCGTTACTTTGCCAGTTGGAGAGTCAACATTTTAGCTACATAAACTGACTGGCCTACCTCGGTTAATCTTGTTGGTCAATGGCTAGAGCACGACTGGCTGTTCCTGCAAGCTAACGCTTCCTACCAGTCTTGTCAGGCAAACCCGGTCTCTATTTAACGCGAGTTAACGGTAACGTTAGCAAAGCTAGGCAGTTAGCTAACCTACGGTGATAATAGCCAACTCAGTGGCTCCACAGGCTAACTTAAACGGAAGCTAACACTAGTTAGCTTTAGCTGCTGTGCGTGTGCTAACATTTTTGCCGGAATACTATAGTAACTTAACAAAGTTGACGACCATTTAATATTTCAGACGGGGGTGAAACCCCAGCAACACAACATGATTCTCTACATTATGTGCACGTATATCGCTGCCATCGTTCACTTCAAACGGTGCTCATCTCACCTTATTGCTGTCATCCTCTTCACAGTTATGTTTTGCTGCCATTGGCGCTGTCGCAGTTTGGTCAGGGTTGCCAGATAACGCGAGGGAAACAAGTAACCTAAGCTTTGAAAAGACATCGGGGTCGTTAGAAACTTAAATTTCTGCGCCCCCTTCCCTTCACCTGGCCTCTTAGTCAGACCTTCCATCAACGCAGGGCTTTTATGATGCTTTCTTTGTGGCTTGTAACGACAGTTTCACAACTCATTACCCCATACCTGTGTGAATGCTGAAAATAAGGGACACGGAGACTTGCAGACAAGCAAGGACCGACTTGTCATAGATTCTTACTAGGGTACATAAGAGGAATAACTTGTGAACTCAAATGAATATGGATGTAGACTGTAATAAAATGTAGTATTGATTCATTGTATTTGAGGCCACAATAGCTACACTATGTATATTTAGGACATGCACAAACAAGACAGTGATTTCTAAAGTTTGTGCTGTCATGTGGCAGCACAACAGCTTTGTGTCGAACCTGAATGGGGGCTTTCATGTACACGCTCTCCTCAGGTGTTCTAGTGAACTTGACACTCCAAACTGCTTATAGGTGTGCTTACGTGTAAGCACTGCAACACACTATTAATCTGTCATGGTTTCCCTTCTGTTGGCCAAACAAGTGAGAGAAAATGAAAAAATTGTCTCTTTGTGTTTATTTTAGTGTAAGGCAGTGTTCTAATCTGACAAAACAGTACATATTTTCAAGAGGAATCCCCTAAAGTAACATGGATGTAGCTTTGAGACGATAAAAAATCCAAAATGAAAAAAGAAAACTCAAACAAAAAGAATATTGCCAATGTGTAACAACCATTCTGAATACAATGTTACAGTGTACAAATAGCTGAGAATATAAATACAAATTCTTTGACATTTGTTTGTTACGCTATAAAAAAAACATCATGTGACAGTTTAACCTCTGACTGACCAAACATTAAATGCACGAGAAAATTATTCAACTAGTTTATCTTTTGACATATTATTTCAGTTCCACTACTTTTTCATTCCACAAGCTTACAGTAATGCCATAATGGAGTGCATCATTTCAGTAAGAATGATGCATTTCACAGGTGGTCAAGCTGTCGGAAATGGGACCAAAGAAAAACAGCCACAATAAGGCCAAAATTGGCTTGTCTGGCTAGAAGCAGACAATTAGCTATTACTAGCTTTTTTATAAACTTTGATTTGCTTTTTTTACTAGCTTTTTTATAATTTGTTTTCCTCTACCATTTTTTTTACTCTGGCTGTTTCTTCGGTGTCTTATGTAAATCAATTTCATACACAGGGTAACTGCATGTGAAATGTACTATACAAATAAAGCAGTTTTTTCCTTTCAAAGCTTTCTAAAGTGTAAATGAAAAGTCATCTCAAATTAAGATGCAAGAACTATCAGTCCATCTGTACATTTCCTATAACTGCTTATCCTCTTCTGGGCTGAGGAGAAGAACTTGCTGTAAGATATTCTGAGCTAAAGCCAAATGCAGTAAAAGCTTAACGTATTTCAAATATACCTCATGAAGGTACTAAGAGTAATGTTTTATATTGTGGATGGAACTATTCCTGTCTGTGACCTGACATACTCCTCTCTTGTTGTTTCCTAAACCCAATCTGGTCTGAAATTAAGTAAACCAAGGAAACAGCTAGAGACGCTAAATTGGAGCATCATGACAGGCCAACATAAACCTTACTGGAGCACAGAGAACAAGCTGTGAAAGCAGTAAACACAAACATAAGCCGGCACTTAAAGCATAAGCATACATGTGTTGCTAGCAAGGCTTGGCTAGCCCTGTTCGGCAGTGCTATGGAAACCAGGCAAATGAATACTCCAAAACAAAGTGTGGCATTACCACTGAGACCTGGATACTGAGGCTACATGTGCATATAAACTTTCTAGTACAACTCAATAGCTTAATGAGATGAATCTGTGAGCATTTTAACTGCGAATAAAACAATGACTTGCTTAAATACTTTCAACACACTGTAATATGTGATCTATGTGAAGAAAGCGACAATTACTGTGCAAATGCAGACAATCCCTTTTGACTTCCTAATAAGACATCGATGTACTTAACTCAGCATAATGGGACATATTTTCAAATTTCAATTAAAGTACAACAACTTTTCAAAAAAATCAGTTAAGCGAGTCCAAATTAAGCAACAATTCTTCATTTGGATGCAACATAAAAGCATAATGCGAACTGTATGACTGAGAGACTTTCAATTTAAGGTTGCCTCGGAGAGTTTGTTGCAGGCCACAGGGCTCGCCACATCTCTGGGTGTTCTTTTTTCACTGAGGATGGCTATTTCATCTTTAGACACCCCTGCGTTCAGAGGACTCCCTGTGTGAGATATTCCATCCCTACAAGCCGCAGGTCTGCTTTTACCACACTGATTATAGGATGGCAAATTAGTGGCGGCTTTACAGAACATTTCCACATCAACATCGTCTGACGCCTCCTCCGTCACTCCAGAATAAACAAAGGTGCTATGAGGTAAACAAGGATCTGACTCCACGGGAAGGTGACACTGCTTACTGTAAAGCTCTGTGTTCTGCGAAATTAAATCACAGGACACTCTGTCTGACACATTACAGCAAAGATGTTGCGGTTTACTGTTGGGAAAATCATTGCTGGATGAACTACAAAATATTTTGTGTTCTACTTCGGTTTGACTGAGGCTCTGTACTTCTTCTGTGGCTTCCCGAGCAGTCAGAGGAAGGCTTAAAGTCATTTCTGACCTTGTTTGCCATGATAAGGCCATAATGCTGCTACTGTCTCTAACCTCCGATGCAGACACAAGTACATTCTGTTTGTAATATGGTGAGGAATCTCTTTCAGAGTCCTTTTCAGTCTGAAGACAGGTAACGATAGCAGCACTGTTCTCTCTGTATGTGTCAGGCATGTTCAACTCAAGGCTTTCTGTGTCCAGAGACCTACTTCTCCTGTCTAGAGACAACGGATTAGCCATGGACTGACTGACTCTTGTAAGGCCTAGGTGCCGTGGGAGACTAGCGATTGCCCATGTATTACTGATCAGGTTCTGCTCATACAGGTCTAACATTTGATAGTCACATTCAGCAAATGCATCTTTCTGTAGGTAGCTTTCTTCAAACTCCTGATAGGGCGATGAAATGTCCTCCTCCAGTTCCATGTGAATCTGCTCATCGTATTCGCCCTCATTATGCATATCCACTACATCAAATGTGACTATGGTAGGTAAGGCCTGCATATTTGGAGTGAAGGCAGAGTTTCTCTCCAAATCATCCACACTGTTGTGCAAGTTACTCAGCATCTGAGTGTTTTTTGTGTAGTCCACAAGTGCTTGAGAGAAACTCACAGTTTGCCCATCGTCCAAATCATTGTTGCAGGCTGGAGACTGAGAATTGATATTTCTGTAAGGTAGAGCCACAGGCTTGTTTTCCTCAAGATGCTGCTCTTTGGGTTCACAAAATGTTTCAAAATCTGGGTCAGATGTGCTCCCAAATGATATGCTGCTGTGCCTTTTCTCACCATCGGCATTTATGGATTTTGTTATTTTTTCAGTGGAAGCAGGGATATTTCCCTTTTCCTCAAATATATCCGGTTCTATGTCATTCTTGTTGACTGACACTTGTGGTTTTGAATTCAAATTGCGGTTTTTATTCATGCCAACTTCCAGCTGACCAACCGTATTTTGTCCCAACTCCGAGGATTTCCTGCATGTGTTCGGCATCTCTAGAAAATCACAACCTTTATACAGTTCAGCACTGATTTGTAATCGATTCATTTCTGGAACAAAGGCAGAATCTGTTACGCCAACTGGCTCACTCAAATATTCACACTGTTTTGAAACGGGCAGTTTTGATTTGTTTTCGTAAAGTGGACTGATGAGACTCTCGTCAGGAGCAAACAGTTCATAAAGGGCATCACCGCTGTAACTGTCCCTGGGTAATCTGTCTGTCCTTAGTCTGTCAGTTTTTTCTTGACCTTCATCTGGCCCTGGTGTGGTTGAATCATAGTAGCCCTCATCACTAGTTGGAACAGATTCTTGATGCTCACTTTGAGGAGTTAACACATCAGCAATTGAAGAACTGTCCATGCCACTGGCTTGCTGTGCACTGTTGCTGTCCATATTGTGAGAACTTGTCAGGTCCACAGTCAAATCTGTGTGGTCTTGGTTGCAAGAATAGCAAGTTTCCTCTGACACGTTATTTCCCCAGAAATCATTAAGACACTCCTCATCCAAATCTTCGGGTGAGGCCATTTCTTCACCTCCACCCTGATAAGTAAGATAACAAGAGGCCCTCTTTCCTCCATTTCTGCTCCTTTCTCCAGAAACCGTGCTCTCTGTGATGCTGTCATCTTCTTGATCCGCAATAATGTCCCCACAGCCTGTGAGTGAATCAAAGCTCTTTAATGATGCAACATCTCCAAAAAGCAGGTTTAGCTGATCTGACGAGCCAGCAGGTGTTTCAGACTTCAGTACAGGCTCAGACATCATCTGAAGTTTCAGACAAGGCTCACTGTGTCCTCTTGAGTTCTCCACATATTCGCTGGAAACTGCAGCCACCAAACTCATTTCCTGCATTTCATCATCACACATCTGATCATCAAGCCCAGACATTGGGCTTTCTTGCTCCTTGCTCTTCTTCTCTGAAGCCACCGCATCAGCATCAATACATTCAGGGCCATTGGAAATATCAAATATACCATCTGCAAAATCAGGCACATCAGGTTCAGATCCCAGGCACTCCGTGACATACTGGTTGGTGTTGTCCTGGACAACAGGCACCTCTTTTTTGCAGTGACGGGAGGACATTGCAATCATTTCAGTTTTATCCAATCCACTATTTCTATGGTTTCTGTGATGCTTAAAACTTTGAAAAAGACCCCTCAAACCCTTTTTCTGCCGGGTGAGAGTCAGGGATTTCTGGTCAGCATTTGGGTGACTACATTCATTGTGGCAGCTACTGTGGAGCTCTCCAGCACAGTCCATCTGGTTGTGGAACTCAAAATCTGCTGCTGAGGTGTACCCACTCCTCAGATTTTCATCATGATTAACTTTACTTATCCCATCGTGTGTCCTGCTTTTGGTGATTGCTTTCTTAGAAGACCACTTGTTCTGATTTTTACTCCTTCCTCCAAAAAAACTTGGTAAAAGACAGATACTTTTACGAACTCCAAAAAATGTCAGGGCAGTCCTCCTAAATCTTCCAGATTTCTGTGATTTTACCGTAGCATTCATCGTATCCAACTGAAGCTCTTCCGTTATGTCATCAGGGCTACATCGGGGAAGCTGTTCGGAGACTGAAGCTACATCCTTGGTGTCACTCGGTGGCTCATCTACCTTGCGAGAAGCCATGGCGACCACGTTTACAAGAGGAGTCCTACAGAAAACATAGTAGCTGAAATGTCTGAATCAGCTGGTAGGATCACTGAAGTGAATTTGTCCTCCATCTGATTTGAGCCCTGAATTGAGAAAGTTGAGACCAAAATCAACAATGAATTCAAATTGAACATTAACCACATTGATATGAAGCGCACTGCAGATTTGTAAATGTATTTCCATTAGGAGAGTGAGATTTCTAATACTAACTGGTGTCATCTGTATCACTGTGGCCATCAGCCTATTGTACTTTTTTTGACATCCACCACTGTATTATGATAACGAGATGGAAGATGTGGATTGGAGTCTACACTAGTCTCCTCTTCATGTCAACTCAATGTCTGTATGGCTTGTTGTTTCAATGTGTGCATTGTGCTATGGCCACGTGTGCCGGTCCTCTCTTTCAGACACTTGTGACTTGCAGCGATTTCACCTGAAGTGAACACAAGCCCCAACTTTGCCAACTGCATTCAAGTTTTTATGCCTCTGTGGTGTCCTGTTGTCTTATTCGCTTTCTTATCTCACCGTTTATTTCACTGTACATTTTAATATTTTGTCTTGGCACCTGCTGCATATACTTGTCCTTGTATATTTCCTGGCTCAATGGTCTGCTATGTCCTATTTTGTGTAATTTATATCTCTCTGTGTTGTTTTGCTGGATTGTTATTTGCCAACGTAGATCTAAGCAGGCTCACTTTCTATTAAACCATTCTTTTGTCAAGAAAATATGTATAAATAAATGTAAGAACATTTGTGTAATATTATTATGGTGCCACTTTGGCCATGAATCAAGGACAGGTCAAACTAGAGCTGCAACAATGAACCTAATAATCAATAAATTGTCTATTGATCGCCCAACTATTTTGATAATCGATTAACCGGTTTGAGTTATTTATTTTAATCACAATTATTTGATTCCAGCTTCTTATATGTAAATAAAATAGTTTCATTACTCTTTGACAGTAAGGTGATTATGTACGTATGTATACATACCCCATACTCATATTGAATCTCTCACCTTTGTATTGAATGTTTATTGTTTTGAGTGCCTTTTTGCAAGTATGTTGTGTATATATTGTTTTGTCAGTAAATCATACTCAACTACACCAATAAATAACGTTACAACCGTATAGTAATATATATCATGCATGCCAGAGTTAGAGTTCGATAAACCGCGGTAAAAAAAAAAAAAAAAAAAAAAACCCAAATATATATTCTGTGCTTTTCTGTTTAGTTACACAATTACCTACATACGTGACTGACTGAACATTAATCAACGATAAATAAAAACCCGTAAGATTGTGACATGTATAAGCCCAAGGTGATAAAGCAACAGGCTGTAGGTGTAACCGTCCTCCAGCTGCTCTGCCACAACAAAGATCAGCGGTAGAAGGTGTGTTGAAAATACTGGAAAAATGTAATTTCAAAGAGAGAATTAGCAAAGACAATAGACGGTAGCTAACGTTGAAGTCACATTCTAACGTCTGTGCTAACGGAGTCGTGAAGTAAACAAACTTACCAACTAAAGCCAATATCTCGCCGCACGGAGCTTGTGTTGGTTTCTCGGCCAAAAGACGCTGTTATCAATGCATGGTTTCTGGTGACGCTAACTTGGCTTTAACTTTAGGTTACTGCAGTTGGCTTGTGGCTGACTCGGGCCCCAGAGTAATTTAGCTCAGACCAGATACGGTTTCATTTGTTTCCAGCTAACGTTACGGTTAGCTAGCTGGGATGCTTGCTAACAACACTCGCCACCCGTGTGTTCTGCAGTTTGTGGCTGCAATGTGAGTCTGACAGTTGCTAGCGGTGGATAACGTTAAATCACATCGCAGCAAAGCAGTATGGTATAAATACGCAGACCAACTACAAATGGATTGAATTAATGTGCCTACTATAGCCACGCGTGCCGATTTTACTTAAAAACCCCAGCGTTTAAATGCCGGATGATCTTCCTCTCCCGACTTCTCAGGTAATTTTCCCAAATCGCCTTTGGCGACTCTCCTCTCGGCGCATACTAATGACGCAGCATGTGTGTAACGCGTGTTTTATATTACTACTATTACTACAACGACTACTACTACTAATATTAATACCAACAATACCAATAATCTATTAGATATTACATATATACTCTCCAAAATATCCAGATACATTGTTTGGTACACGGGTTTCTTTATGTTTTACACATTTTTCTGTAAGTGAGGTATTTTCGTCTGCTTAGGTGTAATGAAAATAATTGTTGATTGGTGTGTCATCTGTGAATTAAAGGGAAGTATTTTTTTTATATAAACTTTATTCAGAGCATAAGCATAACATTTCAGAAGGGAAGGCATAAGACAAATGACACATATAATTAAATAAATAATCAAAAACACAATAAATAAAAATGTGTGAGAAAAAAGACATTTGGTGTAAAGGAAATGGATAAAAAATATAAATTATTTCAATTATAATTTTTGACAGTGATCATGAAAACAGTGTTTGATGGTTTGCTTCAACTGAACTGTGACTCATGGATGTAATATTTAGCTAGAAGCAGGAAAAGGTTAGTCACAAAAAAATAGTCCTCTGTCTTAAAATCAGTATAACCAAAGATAACATTTTCAAATCAAGGTTTGTGGGGATATATACGTGAAATAATTTCCATAACTTCCTGCCTGAATCTTTATAGATACCGCTTGGTAGGGTGCAGAGTAGCAGTTTCACTTGCACACTTGAAATAAAAGCCTTCACCCCCCTCCCCCCCAACATTTTAGACACAGACATAAAAGTTATAAAGCAAAAGTGTGCTGTTCTCAGAGTGTTGAATGTTTAATGCACTGCTATTTCAGTAACATGAAAACATTGCAAACACTAAAGGAATGCTGCATAGGTTGTAGAGAAATCGTTTTGAGTCATTTTATGCCCTTTATGAAAGAGAAATATATATATATAAAACATTTTATGATTAAAATATTCTTCTTCTTTACAGTCACAATTACTCACAATTACATTTACAGCAAGTCACACAGAATTCTTTTAACAATATGTTGCTGTTTTCAAAATTTTGGTAAAACTTGTGCTACAGTTAAAGTCATTGTGACATAGAGCACAATCTGGTATTATATACAGTACAGATTTACTGAGAGTTAAATATGTTTTTACAGTGAAATATTGTGTTTCCAACCTTCAAACAAGCACCTACAGTAACTGCTTACTGACGCTTGTGCTTTTATTTTATTTAATACTGATTTTTAAAAGTGCTTGTACATAGTTTTTGGTCCTCTTCATAATTGTCCTCCGTGCTGGTGTTATTGTTGGTCTTCTTGAAACCAAGTGTTCCTGATTTTTTCATCGTGTATTTTCCATTCATGTTTTTGACTGCCGGACATCTGTCCACTCCATTTTGGTGCTTTGCAGTGCCTGAGTCTTCTTCTCATCCACTTGCACGTAATCCACTTTGTACTCATCAGACAGAAAGGGCTTCTGCTAGGCACAGAGAAGGAGAGATGAGGAGACAGTGATGTGGTTACATTTTAAAAACAGTTTCAAATATGAACATGGTACTGCATCCATGGTTTGTACGAACAAACACTCGTGTTGCACTAAATGTATTTAAATTACTGATGTTGCTTAGTGTGCTGTCGAAACTTTAACGACTATATCTTTGATCATACATTTCTTATCATAAGTGATGTTGTGCACAACACTAAATTCTTCAGGGCCATAATTACAGCATTATTATATCAGCTGCTTCAAGATATCATAAGTCAAGCAAGGAGACAAGATTAATTTAATTTACTTGTTTATTTGACAGGGACAGTGCTCATTAATTAACAGCAAAGTAACTGTAATTGAGCCAGAGTTAGCTAGTGTTGTAGTATTCAAGACCAGTCTTGGTCTCAAGATCAAAAAATTGCTTTTGCATTGTCTGATTTATTTGTTAAAACGTATTGCTTCAAATGCAATAAATAACCCTAATTAAAATGTGTTGTTACCGTTAACGACTGTCACCCCTCCCGGCAATTGTGATGCTTGCGTTAATTTCAACTCTTAGCGTTTGTATGTGGGTGTTTTAATGGGAATTCAGATCTTTCAGATCAATTTGAGAAGTACCCATGATCTCGTTCCACATTTTGTTGTGTGTCATATAATGTGGGGAACTGGTCTTGGTCTCGACTTGGTCTCAGCCCCTAAAAGTCTTCGTCTGGTCTCAGTCTCGATAAACTCTTTGTCATGATTTGGTCTCGGTTTAGGCGGTCTTGACACTAGAGTTAGCTCAACAGGCTATTTCCATCTGTTGTCCCTGGCCAGTTATTAAAAAGGCAACCTAAAATAAAGAATTAAAATTAAAGTTGATAGGTACCCTCGTAGTGACCAATGATTTGGTCATTTAAATAGCAATAATAAGGGTTAGTGGAGCTAGTAGGTCGTGATTGTAATGATATACCCCTCGGGGTTTACTACTGTGGGTTTGCTGTCACAAATGTCTTATGGACTCAAAGTAGGCTACACAGAGTACTGGCCCTGTACCAAGACCACCTCTTCAAGGTAGTCTCAGTACGCTTGTTTGGTCCGCTTTTGGTGCGCACCCGAGTGCGATTGCTGCATTCCAAATGAACCGCACCAAGGGGGAAAACAAACTTTAGTGCGATTTAACCAAACTAAACAAGGCAGGTGTGAAAGCACCCTAAAAGCCTAGTCCCAATTAGACACCTGTCTCTTTTACTGGCAGGTGTAGCTACATGTTTTGACAAATAAACACAGTTCTCAATTAGAAGCCTGGTCTGGTTTTTGGATGTATAAAACCTCTTGAAGACCACCGTGTTGCCCCCTTGAGCTAGTTCTAAGCTGCTTAGATCATGCATACCAAATGTATGATGTATATATAAATGTTTAAACTTTGGTCAATATGGACATGCTACACATCGTTAGATCTACACATCAGTGTTCTCTCTCCACTTTAGACAGTGATATAATTTGTTTCCCAGAATGCCTCAGTAAAATCCAAAGCTTGTAGCATTTAAATGGTATAGGTAGGAAAGGTGACAGAAAAAGTGAAACTGTCTACAGAGGCTACAGTAGGCTACAATAATCAAGACATACCTTCTGCACAGGAGAGGGGGATGCAGAATTGAAATCTAGTGACAGATAGTCAAGGTTTGATCTTCTCGCCCAGGGTTGAACTACTCCGTCAAAGGTGAGATAGGACGGTTGAATTGACTCCTGTCAGAGAAAGACACAGATGAAGACCCTCCTGAATCATCCCTGTTCCGAGTTGAAATGATCCGAAATACATACAATTCAAGTCAAGTCTGCTAGTTTTTAATTGTTGATCTAACTTCATATGTGCTGCATTATCAGTAAATCACTGATTAAATAAAAACTTATACTGTTCATTTTCAGATTGAGATTAGGAAATCAGAGGAAGCTAACTGCGTGTGCATTCACTTGAATCGTGTCAGCATGTTTTTGTGCAGCAGGACAGCCCAGCTCATGACTACCAGTACATGACTAATATGGTGTTCTTAAAACTGTATTTTATGGAAATAATTTTCCATGTCCAGGAACAGCACGTCATCATTGCACTGTTACAATTTCTCACACCCTGAAAGGTCCCCAGTGCAATCATAGTTTGCTGAGCAGTATATTTTCACTTTCCACACCCACATTCTTAGCTGTGTGGATATTTGTGCACACTATTTTCCACTCTGGTCCGACAATTATAAGAATGTCAGAGTTTGTTGTTTTATAGTGTTCTTTAAAACAAAAACTAGGAGAGCGATGACCAAATGATCTGGCTACATACTGGTGATATTGAAGTCAACATTTATTCATTTAGCTAACGCTTTTATCCAAAGCGACTTAAAATTCCTATATACGTCAGAGGTCGCATGCCTCTGGAGCAACTAGGAGTTAAGTGTCTCGCTCAGGGACACATTGATGGATGGGTCACAGTGGGGAATTGACCAAAGGCATGTGTCTTATCCACTGCACCATCACCACCCCAACAGGGATTTAAGGTTTTCTGCTCACATGATGGATATTAAGACAGTTTTGCAGCGTCACAGTATGATGACACGCAGATATTAACATTGGAGACCGTATGGCCCACAAACTGGAGTATCAGTCCCGGACTGGATTATGATTGCAAATAAAGAAGCTTGGAGAGCCTCCTTTTTTGATACCGGGTGACTGAATTAGGAAAATTAGCTGCATATGAAAGACTGTCCTATAGCAGGGGTCCTTGAGGGGGCTCAAGGTGTTAGCCAGCAAAAAGGTATTAATTAATTTCACTCCAACCATAAGTAACACAATGACATAATATAAGACTATACTGGTCATGGGTTTCATACACTTTCTGTAATAAAACACCTGAAAGCCAAAATCCTATCAGAAGGGCAACTCTAAGACAAAATCTTATCAAATGGGGGTCTGTGGTCTAATTTGTGTCAGTTTAGGGATCCTTGACGTGAAAAACTTTAAGAACCACTGTCCTATGATGCAGGATAGGACAAACAAATATTTCCTCATGTGGGTCATGTATATTTCTTTTATAAAGGCTTTAGTGTAAAACAGAGGTGGAAGCACACCTTTTTCATTTTTACAATGGGAGAGATATGCTTGTCTTTAGATTTTATTATTATTTCATTTTATTTTATTTATTTGTTTTCAAAAAATTATATTATTTTAAAATTGTATTATGAAATTATATATTCTTCAGAATTGTTTTGTCTCCTTGGAAATAGCTGTATACGAGCCACTCTAAATGCAGCTTGACACCTTCTTGTTTCCGTGTTGGGTAGGTGTGGGAATGGGTAGTTTGAGTCAGTTTGAAATAGAATGTATCATGTGTCATCTATCGTATGACTAATGTGTATATTCCCAAATAAAAATTGCAAGTCAAAAACAAATAAAAAGTATTTTCACTGTAAATACAAATTTTACCATAGCAGTGCAGTTTGTGTCATCAAGTCTTGGATTGTCCGCATTCTCAAGTCTTCTTTCAGGTAAACAGTTCACTGAAAAGCTGCAATCATATAATAAAAACAAAAAATAGGGACAATTAGCATCAGATTAGCAACCAACTATGAAGTTTTATAAATAGAAACAGCAAAACAGGATATTACTCTTACTCTGGAGTAAGTATATGTAAAACCAAAGCAAAATGAGCTTTAACTTGTCATAATGTATGTTTTAATGATTTATGTAATTGTAAACAAAACAGTAGTCCAATAACCAAAACACATGACTAGAACCTGCTATTACTTTCAACTGGAAGGTATAAGGTATTTTAATGCAGGGATGACATCTACATTTAAGTTAATAATGTTTTATGATCCTGTCAAAGGATTTTTTTAAATCATCAATGTTTGTAAACATCTTTTTACATTGTTTTTATAAATTTTCCACTTTGTGGATAAAGAGACTTTTTTTTCTCTCTCACCAATGTTCAGTCATTGTTCTGCTCAAAGGAAGATGAGTGGGACATTCTGTGATTGTAGAGAGGCCTCTCAAGTCAAGAGGTGGGGGTCGAGCTGTGAGCCAAATAAAGGAAAAAAGTTATTGGATTGATTGTTATTCTCTAATGTGCCAGTCCACGCATAGATGGCCTCAGACACTGCCCCTACACAAATAACATCCTGGTCAAAACAACACTTAGAATATGGAAGCAGGTCCAGCAGCACTATGGGTGCATGTGAGGCATAGGCTCTCAATTAAATGCCTAGTTGCAAACCACATGTTTGCCCCCTCTCTGTGGGATTGTGTGTTTCTACGTTGGCAAAATCAAGGGCAGAAAAACTGCTGGACCTCTTTATAGATGGTTATTTTGTCCAGAAACAGTACCCCCATCATGTTCTGTATGCATTTTTACATAGTTTATCAAGGTTTCCCAAAAACAAAAATGAAAACATTATGTGCATCTGGTATCTGTATGAATCCTGTACTAACATTTCATTAGCACAGCAATGCAAATGAGTCATTGAATCATTTTATATATTTGTAAAACCTGTTTAAAGTTTAACAAAGACCACACACTCAAAAACATAAAGACCCCCTAAGTAGAAATAAACACTCAGTTTTCCACAACACCAAAAAAATTAACAAGCTGTCTCACCTCTCCTTAAAATTGGCTTGAGATGCCGGTGAATTGGAGGTGGTGCAAGATCTCCAGGTTTGCACATTAGTGGGCTGAGGGTTGTGGAGGATTCAACATTGCAGCTTGTATTGTGGAAATTGAATGCCCCAGGGCTCATGGGGATATATCCATCACAATCACCAGTGGTAACAGAGGGAGAAGGGGAAGCCATGGGGACATATGACTCGTCCTGGTAGCTTTGAACTCGTATGGTATTTAAACAAGGCTGTGGAAAGACAAAGCATCATAAGATCAGACAAGTGCAACGGTTATCTTGGTACAACTGGAACATTAGTTAAAGCCACTGTGTGGAGAATTTTTATGTGCTTATAGCACCTTTCAAATTATTCTGATTGCATATACATATATATGCAGAGTTAGATAAGAAGATTGCTAACACTCTTGTGTCTATAGAGTTAATATGGGTTAAGGTTAAATAAGAAGCTAGAGTAAGCAGCTGGTTAGCTTAGCATAGCGCAAAAACTGGATACAAAAGAAAACAGCCAGCCTGAACCGGTCCAACAGTAATATCTGCCTACCACAAAGTTGCATGAATTTGATTCATGTTGTGTCATAAACAAACAAAAGTGTTCTGACGCTAGCAAGTTTATTTTGCTAACCTAAATCTTTCAATCGCCTGTATTGTTAATGATTCATAAAAATGAGGGGGGGGGGACTATATTTGGGGATGTGGTTTGAGAACCACTGGCCTACTAGCACCTCTAAAGCTCACCAATTAACGCGTTTTATCTTGTTGTTTGTTTAATGGGAACAAAAACAGAAGGGTAAAAATGTCTTGGGGGAATATGTGCCTTTATGTGCTGGACTATTTCTTGGCCATGTACAGTGACTTCCTGGAGACTACTGGAGCTAACCATCTCCTAGCTATAGCTCCAGCAGAAGCTCCAGTAAGACAATTTGCCTGTCATGTGATTAAACAAATGAAGACGGTTTCAAGTCTTTTTGCTAAGCTATGGTAAACCTATAGTTTCATACTTATGACACAAGAGAATGGCATCACTCTTCTCGTGTAATTCCCAAAATTTTTGATGATGTAAAATGAAAAATGATTATTCTCTTACCAGATTAAGACTCTGCCTCCTGTTCCTCGCTGATCTGCTATCAGCATCTCCTAAAAGATACATTATTGAAAAATGACATTCTTTCAACCCTTGCAATCAGCTATTATCAACATTAATCAGTATGCTGCCCCATCACAGTAGCACCACGATTATAGTTAATTTTGTTGTGTCCAGCTTTCTCAGTTTTCGTGTTACAAACACTGTGAAACTGCTTTCCAACTGAGGACATACCTATTCTGAAATGGTCCAGGCTTGACAGAGAAGTCCTCCGGGGAAAAAATGCAGTGTGGCTTGAGAAAGGCCGAGCAGTCATTACCCTTGGCCTGTGAGCTACTTCATCACTTAGCTGCTCTGGACGGTGATTAGGCTTGGGCGGCAGCAAAGGAGGTGTTTGTCTGTCCCCCGTTGCCTCAAGCGACGCAGAATGATAAGGTTTGTCAAACTGAAAGACACTTGCGGCACAGTGACGTAGTGGAGAGGTGGAGGATGATGGTAAAGCCATGGAGGTGCATGGAGCGCTGAAAGGAGGGTTTGTCAACCTTCCTTGGAGGAAAAGAGATGGACTGGAGTCAGCAAGAGTGATGGAGGATGAGGAGGAATCGTTGTAAAGAGGTGAGGGGACAATATCCTTGACAGCATTGTCTGATGACTTCTGCTCCAGAGAGATGTCAGAGTTTGAAAAGCTGTCATGTCTATAAATATGGGGGGGGGGGGGGGGACACATTGTATTAGTTAAACATGAACCACCCATCATTTTGCCATCATTTCGTGTTTTACAGATTTCACATACCTAGTGCTTACACTCCCTGTCTCACACTGTGAGAGAAAGAGGTAGTCCGGTGGATGACTGGAATCTAGTTGGCTTGATAAAGACGCTCGGTCAGAGATGTCAGGTGACGGCTGAAGGGAGGTGGGGGTGTGAGGAAAGCCTTCTTCTGAGCTCTCTGTGGAAAACAAGCAGAGAGGGACAGAGAGTGTGTAGTTTCTGAAAAGTTACAACCACTGCTATCACACACTGACACCAAATGCTAGCTACCACGTAAAGACCTCACACACACACACAGGCAGGTTTCTCCCAGCCTGTGCTCTCATTACACATAGTACACTGTAAATGGAGCAGGTGAATTTGAAAAGAGGAATGGTATTTTTTTTTGCAGGCACCTTGAAAGTAGACACATGTGAGCCCTGTTCCCTCTTTTGTTTATATATTCTTCAATCTTGTAGTCAGATTGGCCCTCGTTCAGAAATTTGTTTCGTTCCATTTCACTCAAGGCCACTGAGTCAAGGCTCTCCCTGCAGAACTGTGGGAGGAGGGGGGTCCAAAAGTCTTTGCATGTTCTCATAAAACATTTGCTACCCTTAATAGGCGTCTGTGTTCTCTTGTGGGTGCAGAACGACATCTTCCTTTGCAAAAGTTATGAGGTGCCATTGCACAGAAGGAGGATCTACTGCTGTCCTATGTTAAACCCTTACTTAAAGCAACATAACTTTAATAAAGAATTCTATAAAAACTACAGTAACAATCTGTATCACGGTGTTAAGTGTGTGGATTATAATTTTGGACTATAATCAATTATATGTGTTTGCAGAGCAAAAGACACATATGTGATTCAGGGCAACATGCAGGGCAGCATATCAGCAACTTCGTGCTGTTGCTCTATCTCCTTCACACAGATGACAGTGTTTTAACAGACAAGTCCTGAAGTCTTCTCAGAAACATTACTGTTACTTATGCTTTCATTTGAAGCAACAATAAAGCAAAGGTCAAAACATCATCACCCTGACTGTAGTGTGAACATATGCTGGCAAGTGTAAACATAGAAATAGAAATCGCCATAGGAGTACAGTGGTCACAGGCCGATTAAAGCACCACATCTACCCACAAAAGATATTTAATTATGTATAGCCTGAAAGCACATTCACTGTAGTGATACAAAAATCTTATTATTTATCTGTTAATTTGAATATGACCTCAGCTCCCTGTTATCTGCTGTTATCTGCTATCATACAGCTAGCTGCAACATCAGGCTACGTGACAGGCAAGCAGCAACTACAACATTTTGAACTGTTGGAAACAGATGGCAGTCTGATTTATGATCAAATGTGAGGGAATGCCATTACACCACATACATTGCTTGACCTGAGCACTCATCTAAATTCCTTTCCATTCCAGAAGAGTATCATGAAGAGCTGTTGTTTAATAAAATAATGCAACATTTACTTCTTGTTGTTGCCGCTGCTGTAGAGAGAAAAACAAATATGATTTGTATCATATAGCTTTGGCCACAACGTTATGACGTACACGTGTGTGGTTTTAGAAGCTCAGTTACAGAGAAATCTCTCAGCATGAAAAAAAACACACTTCTGTGCAAGCAAACCGTGTTTAGGACTTTTGACTTTTCAGCTAATACAGTGTTTTTTAAGTCTGCCACTCATGGATCCAACGAAAAGCATGGATCATTCAGGTAGATTTATTTCAATTTCTAGCAATTTATTTCTGCAAATCTCTATCCCTCAGGTGTTTTTGAATTTAGAAACAAACACTCCACACAGTACTTAATAACTGTAATAACACGGTAACAATGCAAAATACTCAAAACACCATTGAAATGTTCTAGATGATTTGTGCATATAGTTTTATAAATGTTACCTGAAACCACTATCTGCAGAATTTTTTAGAAGAAGAATTTCAAATGAACAAACTGTGCAAGATATAACAATTTGAAATTTGAGGGCTTTAATACTGTTTAATACCGTACTGTGACTGATTTTACCACACAGCACCAAATAAACACTTTGTTTTAACCTAATTCTAAAGTTAGATTTTCAGTTCCTCATTTCTGTGAGGGGACAAGTGACGGCAATTTCTTCTGGAGCAGCAGGGTGACTCTTCTGACTTGTGAACAGGATGACCTTCTGTGTTCCACACATACTTTGTGACTTCCAATGAGTCGGGCATATTTTAGAACAAAAAACCTTGTCAAGTGCAGCTTCAACACGACCACATTTCAAACTGAATTGAATTAAAGCTTTCTGTGTATTTTTACCTGCATCCTCCAGGCTCCCAAACTGGCAAATTTGACTGATGCTACTGATCCAGCCGTTCATTTCTTCTTCAGTTTTGGCCACCAGGTAAAAAATGCGAGCTGAGGTCTTCACCACAAAGAGGTGCTTTCCATTGAAGTCTCGCTTTATCCTGAGTTGCCCGTTCAGCATTTCGACCTCGCACTCTTTCAGATCAATGGTGCGGATTGGCTTTTTGGAGTTCTTACTCTGATAGTACTCCAGCACATCAGGATTACCACTCATGCGACCTCTTCGAAGCACAAACCAGCGTTTCCTCCATGCCTGCAGGAGAAAGGGACAAACTGTTCATCATGGAGCTACTTTGAAGTTTTAAGTTCATCGTTAAATTGCAATATTCACAGTACGTCTCAACAGAAACGTCTCCCTTTCTCACATCATGAATTTTTATTATCCATGGCCAGTCATGGGAATTAGATTGCAGCTCCTTCTCTCAACAGCTAACTTAGCAACTTTAAACTCAATTTTTTTGCTCTTGATATGGTCAGTAAGCGGAACCTCAACTCAGATTTCCCAGAAAGTACAGAGAAGAGGAAGTTCACTGTATTTAACAGAAAATGTCTAACACAACGAAAGAGGTATTAATACAGTACTTGGTCACTGCTTTTTACTGACGACTTTCTGAAAACTTAATGCTGAAACTTTTAACAGGTATTTATAGCTCCAAAGATCTACTTCAACATGTCACACCTCAACCCTCACTACATAGAGTGTGTCTAGTCAGCCCAGTTGTGCAGGTGTCATATTTCAAGAAATGGTGAATGTATAGATATCATTTTCACACTTGGTTTTGTGGCTTTGTGCTCATTGTTGGGGCCGAGCCTTTCCTGATATTTTTATGGTGTGAAAACACTGAACACACTTCTGCATGTGGGTAATCTGCTCCTGTTCAAGTCAGTTGGTAATGTGTGCGCTTTACCAGGAAATGGTTAGACGCACCACACTTACTGCCAATATATTGCCACACTTAAGAGGAAACCGTAACTAAACAGATGGCGTCTTGATCCCATAGATGTTTTGAATACAGAAAGTTTGCACTCCCAGGTGCATCTAATAGCAGTAGATGGTGAAGGTAATCGCTGATCCCTGTTTTTTTATTTGTTATTTTGCTCTTTCAGAAGAATTGAAAGCAAGTGCAGCGCAGAGCAGGTCAGAAAGTTTGACTGTTTTCATTAAAGTGGACTTCCAATCTTTGCTTATCTGCAGGATAAAGCCCATATTTCCCATTATCATGTATTTTTAATAAGAGAACATGGCTAACTAGAGAATTAAGCTGAGGTTTGACAAAACAATCTGAACTCATGGTTCGCCTACTAGTTATATCAAGAGCTTTCTGCCTCTCATGGTCTTCCTCAGCGGATGGAGTTTGTTTACTTGTTATTACGTGACCTAAGTATGAAACCAGTCACATGAAAGCAGGAAGTCAGTGGTGGTGACAACTGAGCAAACTTAATATACTGAGAAAGACCTTGAGATGCGATTGAATAGTCTGGAAAATGCTGGTTAACCCGTTCTATCCCAGTAAGCCATGACAGTGTGACCGTGAGCCAGCATGCACAATACCAGGACCCTGAAACTGAAGCAGCTGAATGGAATTCATTAATTTCATTACTTACGCCCTGAGCTTTTCGTGACGCAACATGTTAAAATGTTTTTAGTGAAAAAGACCTATGCATGTGCAGGTTATGATTCCAATATTCACTTTCAAAATTCTTAAAATTATGGTATCAACAATGCTTAGAATTAGATACTAGATGTCTATATTCAGTATTTAATCAATTTTCAAGAGTTTCTTTTTTAATATTAGCTTTTACTGTGACCTCTGGGAGGGTAAGTTAGAAATATTAACAGCTGTTTGTTTGCTAGAAGCAAATATATTGTTTCACTGCTACTTTTGAGGAAATGTATTTAAGTATAAAAGCCCTCTGTCACTGTTTTTTTAATAGAGTTTCATAAAAAGTCTATTAGCTTCAAGGGATATGACAATATCAAAACTGATCTAACGCGCTACAAAAAAATACAGCTTCACCTCACACTAAGGTGAACTGGGCACAGTGGGCAACTGTCAAACGCATGCTTATGATTTCAGAAAGTGGAAATGCAATCAGAAAACAAAATTTGTTCCACATCCTAAAGGATTAGGTCTGAAGTGTGTTGATACTTCTGTTTCTAAACAAGGTGCCAAAGTAAAACCAAGGAGCTGCAGCCAACTAAACAAACAGCAACTAAACAAACACCTTTGTGAACACCATCAAAACACTTTTTACTAACAGTATGCGATGATGCTGTCTGATGATTTAAATTTTGCCATAGAACAAGATAAATGTGATCGAGATAATCAACATTTCCATAATGCTATGTGCCTGTACTTGTCATTTGAATACTGAGGCAGATACTGTGCCTGTCCTTACAAGTCTGAAAAACATGTGTTTACAGGACTTTGTTTTCTGGCAACAACAGGATTTGCATAGTGTGCTAAAATAAGTTTCTATTTCCCGCCCCAAACCCCATCAATGCACATGCACACCTCTCCCTCCACCTCCACCTCCACCTCCACCCACCCTTTCCCTGTACTGGTGGTGGCAAATGGCCCTCCTCCTCCTCGTCCTCCATTCGTACAGAGGAAGTGCAAACAGCCATCATAAAGCCAGACTATTTCTGCTTGTCACTTAAGTCTGAAGTGTCTGACTGCCTCTGGTATTACTTCCCATGTTTCACAATACACACGCTCATCCAACAAACAGCAGTGAGTAGCCAGCCCAACATTATCACATGACCCCAACAACAGCAAAACAGAGAAGGCTGTATGTTGTGGGAGTAATTTCCATGTCTGTTTGAGGTACATCTGGAGTTTGTGATATATTATTATTGTCATAATGCCGTGTTGTTATGGCTACAAAGTGCGCCCACAAGCCAAAACACAAAAGCCAGGCGTTATTGTAAAAAATGAGGAAGACGATACAAAGGAGATTGAATTACAGCTCAGTTTAACCAAAGCATACAAACCCACAGTCTGTTTCTAAATCATTATTCCACACCATAACACACACACACACACACACACACACGGCTCACCAGCAGATCAACATGGCATTCCTACAGCTAGCAGAGGACATAAACAAGTGTCCGGTGTGTACTCCTACTCACAAATCTCTTTAGTTTCTTCTCCGGGGGGGATTTAATGAGCCAGCCGGTGCAGACTACATCCCCAGCACTCATCTTGACTGCAGAGTGTGTCGTCCTCACGCCTGCTGCTGCTGCTTCTGCTGCTGCTGCTGTTGAGAAACTGAGAGCACTGCGAAGCATATCCTGTGTTCTGGTATTCAGCCTAGCCACTCCAAAAGAAGGAAGTCAAGAAAATTGATCACACTGACAGCGAGAGAGAGAGACAGAGAAGGGGAGAGCAAAAGAGAGAGTTATGTGTTTGGTGTGCTCGGGGCAAGTGGATGGAGCTGTTGATCTGGGGCGGACAGGGGTGGGAGGGCAATAAAGGAGAAAAATACTACGCATACTGAGGTTCTGACAGATTTGGGGATTGAGATGTCTTTGGCTGGTCACATACAGCAGCTGAGTCACATGATGTTAAATATCTTATTTTAAGGTTTGTGTTAAACCATCTGAATGCTTTAAAAAGTAAAATGTTTTCCATTCTTGGTCTTATGTTAGATTCACACTTTAAAACTGAGAAACATGTTAAATTGGTAAGAAAGGTTGCAAAAGCAAACGTCCATACATTTAAACCCTTTGGAGACTGCTTACAATTTAATGCTTTAAATAGTTTTATGCATTCCAGTGATCTTTTCACATTTAAGCTGTTATGTAACTTCTTAGTCACAAGCAGCCTCTACAACAATCAAGCCTCTTAATATGACATATAACCATGCAATTAAAATTTTGCATAGGAAGCTGACAAGATCCCAGCCTTGCCATAGTTTTGAGCATTTCATTCAGTTTGCTAATATTAAACGTATCCATCAATGCCTAAATAACCAGGCCCCTAACGTGCTCAGTGACATGTTGGTACCTCTCAGGGTTCCTGGCTCAGTAAGGTGATGAGGAGGTGCCCTTTCGTAAATCCTCCTCCTCTGCGCCGGGGATTAATATGTGTAATTCATTATGGATCATGAATGGGATATTATTATTATTTAAACTAAAAGGAGGGATAAGTCATGTAGTCATGAATAATGGTGTTCGTCATTGAGTTTTGTGATAATTATATTATATGATTGGTGTGTGATTTTTTGAGTGGGTTTTCTTGTGTATTTTTGTGTATTTGTATAATGGCCCATCTAGGAACTGGCATTGCAGACTAGTTTAGGCTATAAATGCTGTGGTATGTGGCATTGGTTCATGCTATATACTTGTCCCTATAATAGATAAATTATTATCATTCACTTGATCAAACATATTATAAAAACATCAGACAGGCATGCTGACGAAATACACAAAAGAAAACAAAGCAACACAATACCTTGTTTTCAATTAAATCACCTTTCATCCTGTAAGAGAAGTTCACTTTATAACTTCTCCTGCCAGTAAAATGATGAGATGCCACCAATAATGCGCATCTAATCACCATTTCAGATTTCCTCTCTGAAGGGGATTAAGAATAAATGCTCATTGTCTAAATGAAAATGATATTTCCTGTCATGAATAATCCGCTGCCTTAATAATAATGATTTTCAACAGATAAACACAGACTACTTTTAAGTCCATTTCAGAAGACAACATGGCGAGCTTTCAAAATTACCATTCTGCATTTACAGTTAATCAGTAGGCTAAATCTAAACAGACTCAATCTAACCGCTTTTCAAATTTCTTGAGCGACCACCAGGGGGAGACATAATGATCAAGTTTATGATTTTGTATGATCTATCACTGGGCAAATTTCATATTCAAAATTCATTACTCAGAGAAAATGTGTGTACATTACTTACATTACACCCACCTTACACACATTAATTCCATTACATTAATTATGTCTTCATTTAGTAAATCCATGGACACTATGTAAATAATGTGAAGAAACACAAACCTTTTTTTTCTTGCTTGTTTTTTATTTACCTCATGTGTTTTAGATGACATTTATTTAGTAAATCTTTATTATTGTTAATTTTGTTATGTTGTCATGTGTTTTGCATTGTTTATTTACACAACTTCATGTTGTTATGAACTCTAGTACCTGCCTCCTCCTTTGTCTCCGTTTCGTCTCTGTTAAAACTGCCTGGAAAACATTTCTTAACATGTTAGCCCATGATAAATAAACTGCGGACTGCAGCAGTGCACTGTGGCTGCGGCATCAGCAGTGGTGAACATTGGCTGTGAGACGTAAGAACCGGGTTTACGGCAGTTACCAAAGAGTCTTGAAGGAAAGAGTCCAATATCTGTGGGCCTATATAAAACAGAGTTTTAATCTGAAATGACACCAACTGTGTAGCTGAATACCACTACAAAGATGTTCGGATCTGCCATAGCAGAAAAATAACAACAAAACGTTGCTGTCGTTTAAGATTTTACGGAACTACATCCTAACTGATATCACAGGCGACGCCATATTTGTTTCAAAGGCGTTACCCTACTTCGTTTCCCAGCGGTGACCAATCTTACGTGCTCAAAGAGTCTTTACAATTACCCATGATTCCCCAGAAACGTGTGACCTGTCTCTGGCCTTGGCGTGTAGCTCGGTGTTGCTAGTTGTGTGTGTGAGCGTGTGTGTGTGCTGGCTATAGCATTTCATTAGCGTTAATTAGCGAGTGTTCCTGTCGAGAAGCCGGCTAGTAAACTGGGAACCGTTACAGCGGAGCTGAGCCACAATGCTGAAATGTAGAAATGTATGGAAAAAGCTTGCACCTCTTGCTAGAGCCTCATCAACTGTATGCCGGCAGAATGTGAGGAGAGCAGGTAAGTTAAGTTAACTAGTGACAGCACGTTAACTTGCACCTTCCATGATACCTGGCCTCAATTCAAACATACATTGCACATAACACATTATGTCGGCGGGTTGTGTATCCAGGTTACTACTAGGTGACTTCTCGTATCTTTGTTTAAGTATTCTGACCTTTGTGTGGCTGATACAAAGCTAACCTTAACTGAGCTAACATAGCAAGAGGCAACATGGATGTCCTATAGCTAACTTAAACCATTTTTCACTAAACTGTTTGAGCTCTTGCACGAAGCCTGTCAATAAGCAACGCTAGCTAATATTAAAATAATCCCTCATTGCCACAAGTGTTTTTTACGTGCTTGGATACAGTCCTTGTTTGCAGTGTGCTTCTGTGACAGGTGTTACACCATTTTCTGTAACCTGTCATGCTTTCATAAGCACACTTTGATTTGGATCACGGGTTTTTTTGAGCTCCTTGTAACCCTGAAAGGATAAGCACAGCAAGTACAACAGAGTCCTGCTGCAAGTATGGCAGCAATGATGATGGGGAGTTAATAGAGGAAAGTAGTTCATGGGAGAGGTTGATCATCAAGCCTCTAAACCCCAAACTCTGAGTGTGCTTCCTTTAATTAACCTACTTAGCTCAAGGATTCTTGTGCATTCATAGCGCCAATGTATGCCCCTCCATTTGGTGGAATTTCAAGTCAGGATGAAATGTAGGGATTCAACACTGAATATCAGCATAATATGTTTACATTGAAGATCTTGTGAGAAGACATGTTCTCATTGCCAGCATCCTCATGGGTGTTCTGCAGATCACACAGCCAGTAGCATTTACACAAATATTTGCAACAATTGCTTAGTCCCATGTCTGCATAATTTAAAATTGTCACCAAGATAGCCATTCTGTTCTTTTAGCGGTCACATTAATATAACTGTCACCTTCATAGTTTACAGCTGGCAGCTGGCCTAGGCATCAGCTGACATGTTGTTGTTGTTTTTATGCATACATTAACTGCACATGCCTTTTCACATGCCGTTAACTATAGAAAAGTTGGTGGAACATGTAGTGTCACGCTCCGTCTTACTTATGCCTTGTCCCCATCATCGGTGGTGTCCAGCCAGATAGCAAAGGGAGATGTTATTGACTGAACAGTTAATATGCTGTTTAATTAAGTGGCATTGTCAGTCAGACAGCTGCCACGTGGTAAGCCTGATCAACATAAACAAAAACAAAGATTGGAGTGCATCTCCAGTCATGCACCATTTTGAGTGTTTCACCCAACTCCACAATGCAGAAAAAAGATCTATTAATGAAAAAAACATGACACATTTAATCTGTAAATCCACGTTCAGTGTGTATAATACATGGCGTGGAGATGTAACTATGACTGACCTTTTGTTTGGATTACTCTTTGTGAGCACTGTCAATATTGTTGGACTGACAGTGGTGCGGTTTTGACCAATCTAAGATTTTGTCATGTGCCAAATTGTTTTCAGGGTTGCCCAATGGCAGGATACCAGCACGTGTACCCGTGGCTCACATGTCTACCGGGCCTACAGGAGGGGGTGGGGAAAACCACCTGTATGTCCTTCTGGTTGGAGCAGCCTGCCTCGGTGGTGGAATTTATGTGAGTTAGTCTGCCATAACATACAGTAGATGCACTGGAAATCATAATTGAGAGGTTGGAAATGAGTTTGTGCTCTTCAGTACATTACCTGTGTGTTTGCTGGGTTTCATCCAGAAGCTCATTCTCTGCCTGTTTGCAAATGTTCATGCCTGAAAAACTGACCAGATCTGATTTGCAGAATCGGGGCAGACTCACAGAGTAAGAGTTGAACTGGTTGTGATTAAATAGGGGGCTGTGTTTGTCTTCACAGGCGTACCAAACTATCAAGGGAGACCAACAAAGATATCAGGACCGTATTAATGAAATTTCATCCAGATCACAAAAAGCCGCCACAGAAGAACCAACCACACCCATCCAGTCAGAGCCTCCCGGTGCGTGATTTATATTAACTGAGTTTAATAATAATGAAACTTTTGACTGTTTACTTCATTACACAAACAAACAAAGTCTGAAGATACTCTTATCAGAGCCACATCATTCCAGTGTGATCCTTTTTTAGTTTACTGATTTTTTAGTTTGTTTTTTTAGCTGTGAAAGCCAGCAAGACAGAGGGTGAGTGATTTCTCTCTCATTTCTGAGTAGATGTTTATCTTAACATTTATAGATCAAACTTCACCTGTGTTAATAACGTAATAGTAGTTAAACTTGACCATGATATATTTATAACAGTGAACAAAGAGAGAACATTGCCTGTATAAAAAGATGTTAGGTACTCCAGTCAGTGCCATTGACTAGTCACTGATCTATACATCTGGAGTTGGTCCCCGGGCGCTGCACAGTGGCTGCCCACTGCTCCCTTGAGGGATGGGTTAAATGCAGACAATAAAGGTATCTTCTATTCTATTCTGTAGTGTTTGCTGTTGTCTTTGTGCTCTTTTCACAGAAAGATTTTTATTTATGTTTGTTATTTTTTGTATTTATGTTTGAAAATAAAATAACAGTTAAAGGTTATTTGGTGTAAGAGTAGTAATAATAATAATAATCTTTATTTGTAGAGCACTTTTCAAAAACAAGTTACAAAGTGCTTTAAAAAGTGTAAAGACAATAATACCCAAGAGACAATAATACAAAAACAATACAAGAGTAGGCTTGGAAACAGCTGACTCGGCATTACACAGTTAAGCTTCCTCTTTATTGCCATGTAAACAGATTTTGAGACTGCAAAACAAACTGCATTTAAAATTGTATTTAAAGTAGTGGTGGATTAAATTTAAATGACTTGCTTTTAACCCTGTTCTCTTTCTGATTAATAAGCCCCTCTGAACGTCACGTTACATAAAAGAAATGATGTTGAATGTCAGTCTTATTTCATAATTTTGTAAGCTAACATTTTATCTTTTCTTTTCTCTCAGCCGTCCCTGAGCCAGAAACTCAAGCAGCACCTTCACCAGAGGAGCCAAGTCCTCCAGTCCCTGACGTCGAATTAGCAGCAGCCCCCAGTGAAACAGCTGAACCGCCCCCAGGTCTGCATACTTTTCTATATACCTGCATGACACGTTCCTCCTGTTTAAACACTATGTTTGAACCAAAAAGTAACAGAAAAAAAGATGTGGAAAAATGTGTTACTTTTACACTTGCTCTATTGCACGTTTTACACTTATTATACTTTGAAGATAAGTTGGGTATCAGAAATGGCAACACTCACTGGTACAGTCATGTTAGTGCAAAAGAAGCAGGCTGGAAAACAGTCTTTTCACTTCTCTTTACACTTTTCTCATAATTGCAGTAAAATATTAAAAATGTTATGGTGATGATGTTCTAAACACGAGGCCCCTTGGATACTGTAAACCGGCATTGTCTTGTCTGTGTGAGTCTAAATCCAGAAGCCGAGAGGTTTACTGCATGAACTGTGACTTTGCCTGCTTGTTGCATCTGTTTTATTTTTCACTCACCTCCTTGTATGCAGTGAGACATTTGTCATGCTCGGTGCGTTCTGTTTCTCAGTTTGTGGGCTAATGTAAATTAACCTTTTATAAAGTTTCACACTCACATACTCTCCTCCATTCTGAACTGTAAATATTTCTGTTTTTTGTGAGAGACCGTGGTTGGAGTTCTCAAAATTTTCTACAAATATTTTGGCTCCTGGTGTTCTTTGTTGTCATATTTGTGATATGAAACTGCACCCATTCGGTTGACACTTTCTGTGAAAGTGTCCTACTTTGGCGAACTTTATGCTGTGATTGTACTCAAAAGCAGTACTTTACTGTTATTCATAATTGGAAGCTACCCTTTTAAAGTGGGTTACTTGTATTTCCTTTCATGTGGCTTCTGAGATCTAATTGTAACAGGAAGTGTTAAAACGGAAAACAGAAAAGTGTCTGGTCCTTGTGAACATCAGTGTGGTAAGACATGCTTGAGTAAAAATTAGCTCAGTCATCAACACTGAAAAAAAGTTGCAACTCCATACTCAGCTCCTTGATAATGTGTCAAATATGCAACAGTTGTTGCAGTATGTGGTGTACTGCAGTATACAGTATGTCTCTGTAAAAGTTAACCACAAATTGGGCAGCTTCCAATTCTTACTGTTTTAGCGTGCATGCTCTGCAGGAGAAGATATGCATGGATCCTTCCCCTTCTATAATCTTGTAAAAAATATAATCTTAAATGGACTGCCTCAACAGCAGATGAGCCAGTGGTAGAAGCGCCCCAAGAGGAGGCAGCAGAACCACCTGCTGCACGTGTAGTTGAGGAGGGTAAGAATTTAGGAGAAAGGGTAAACTGATCTGATTAATTCACTCGTTCTGTTGGAAATACTGAACTCCATCTGAGCTGAGTTTGTAGCGTAGATACATCATTTAAAGCTGGATTGCACATCAGAGGTTATTATGTAACTTACCCACTATTCTACCAGAACCATCACCCCCCTCTGAGCCGTCCCCAGCAGAGCTTACAGAGCCGCCCCCTGCACCTGTTGTGGAGAGTGGTAAGCACTCAGACAGACCTGTGCATGGAACCAGTGATGTACATTTACCGCAATGAAGCGCAGAAGAGGGCAGACACAACACTGATACCCTTCCCCCACATTTTGAGAATGTTGTTATATGTTTTGTTGTTAACACCTTTTCTCCTATTTATATTTTTAACATTTTTTTTTGTCGTCACAGCTTTCCTCCTTTCCTGTTCACTCGTTTTTCACATTTTTTGGGTTCTAATAATAATAAGGTTAATCTCACTCACATTAAAAAAAAAAAAATTCTTTTTGCATTGACTCCTTTCAGGTGCACTGACTGTGTCTCTCTCCTGCTTTGTGCTTTTTGCTTCTATCTCCTGCTCTTCCTTGTGTAGAAATTAGCAGTGACACTGTCATCAACACTGACAGAAGTTACAACTCCGTACTCATCTTCTTGATAATATTTCTGTCAATATATACCGGTTGTGTAATGTCTGGTGTTCTGTGGTGTTCTGTGGTATTCAGTATGTACATCACTGTAAAAGTTACCCGCTAATTGGGCAACTTGCGGTTGTTATTGTGATGGTGTGCATGCTCTGCAGAATGTTCCCACGGTAAATCTAAAGAAATGCATGGATCCTGGTCAAAAAAAAAAAAAAATCCATACTATGGACTGCCTCAACAGCAGATGAGCCAGTGGTAGAAGCGCCCCCCGAGGAGGCAGCAGAACCACCTGCTGCACGTGTAGTTGAGGAGGGTAAGAATTTAGTAGAAAGGGTAAACTCATTCTGTAGGAAATACTGAACTCCATCTGAGCTGAGTTTGTGGCGTATGTACATGCGACAGCTCAGTTAAAGCTGGATTGCACATATTAGCCGTATTGCACATATTAGCTGTATTGCACATATTAGCTGTATTGCACATCAGAGGTTATTATGTAACTTTCCCACTATGCTACCAGAACAATCACCCCCCTCTGAGCCGTCCCCAGCAGAGCTTACAGAGCCGCCCCCTGCACCTGTTGTGGAGAGTGGTAAGCACTCGGACAGACCTGTGCATGGAACCAGTGATGTACATTTACCACATCTGAAGGTTTATTTTGTCTTAACTGGTTAATGCTCCGGTTATACTAACAGAACCTACAGCAGCAGCAGCAGCTGAAAGCCCCTCAGCAGAGCCACCCGAGCCTCAGCCTGAAGTTGTGGCAGTGAGTGGTAAGACCATAGTCCAGACTCGGTTGGAGCAGGGATGAGGGCGGACATGACACTGATACCCCCCCCCCCCCCCCCCCCCCCCCCCCCCCCATTTTGATAATGTTAATGTTAATCTCCACATTTTGTTTTTGTCATTACAGCTTTTCTCCCTGCCTGTTCATGGGTTTTCACATTGTTTGGGTTCTTATTATGATAAAGGTTACTCTCACTCACATGAAAAAATATAATTTCTTTTTCCAGTTACTCCTTTCAGGTGTATTTGTGTAAGCCATGGGTACTGATGAGCACCCCAGATCATGCACTGACTGTGTGTCTCTCCTGCTTTTTGCCTGTCTTGCTCTCTCCCTCTTTCTTTCACCCTCGCTCTCTCTCGTGCTTGCTGTCGCTCTCTTGTGCAAAATCCAGGAGTGGACTCCACACCTGCTTCTCTCAAGGTCCCCTCACACACCCCCTACCTCCTTATCGGTGGCGGTACCGCCTCCTTCGCCGCAGCCCGGTCTATTCGAGCCAGAGACCCCGGTGCAAAGGTCACTCAGGCCTCTGTTTTAACAGTAAAAGCCAGGCAAAGAATTCAGTTAATTTTTGACATAGTTGTACCTGAGTTTATTTACATGTTTTTCCTAATGTACTGTGCCTGGCAAGTGACACTACCTGTGTTAATGCCTTTTTTAAATTGTTGCTACCAGGTATTGATTGTGACTGATGAGCCAGACCTTCCATACATGAGACCACCTCTTTCTAAGGAACTGTGGTTCTCTGATGACCCCAGTGTGACGGAAACACTGCGTTTCAAACAGTGGAATGGAAAGGAAAGAAGGTGTGCTTTTACTGTCTTCCGCTTTTAATACCTTGAATTATTTCTTATTGTCTTCCTTTGTTGCAATAATTGTCTCTCTCTGCTGTGATCAGTGGAGTCAGTTAGACAGATAGTTCATGGGAACTATCTGCACTTACTAAACTCTATTACTACTAACTTCCCCCCTTTTTTTTTTTTTATTTATTTATTTTTTTTATACAGTATTTGCAACAAACAACTGTTGATGTAAAGCAAAATCTTTTCCTGTGCTGCAAATACATTTACAGGGTGTTTTTACTTCCATAATACCAAATATTAAAATATTTGGCTGATTTATTTATAGCTGTGTTTATGTGCATTTGTATATTTTTTTCTTTTTCTTTTTTCCTTTTTAAACATGGAAAGTGTTCAAAGATTTTAATACCTTGTCTTTATTTGCCAGTATCTACTTCCAGCCAGCATCATTCTACATTAATCCAGAGGAATTGGATAGTGCAGAAAATGGGGGAGTGGCGGTGCTCACTGGCAAAAAGGTTGGCTTATATTTGATTTCCTTAATACTCAGACACTACAGTGTGCTGACTTCATAATTATATACAGTTCATGATATTCATACAGAAGTGAGGAATTTTAGTGGCAGATGTAAATGTACATTTTTTGCTCTCTCCTTCTGTCTTTCACCGTCAGTTTGACACGTTTTTTTCTCAAATACATGATTGGATCCATTTTAGGTGGTTCAGATGGATGTGAGAGGAAACAAAGTCAAATTGGACGATGAAACTGAGATTTCATATGACAAGTGTTTGATCGCTACAGGTGAGCCACTTTAAAATGTATTGATTACTACATGTGGCTTGAACCTGGTGGAAGCTAATCTGAACTGTTCTCCTAAGGCGGTGTTCCAAGAAATCTACAAGTCATTGAAAGAGCAGGGGAGGAGGTGACACAGAAGACAACTTTGTTCCGCAAGGTCAGTGTCTAGCCACAAGGAGGGGTGCTAGCTTTTTGTCAGTTTGGGAATTTCTTCTTGATGGTAAAAGCGCCAAAGAATTGTCATATTTTGGCTGTGGGAGTAATATGACATGATGGAAATATTTAGATGGTTATATATAAATGAATCTACAGTCCCACAGGTGCACAAAGATATAAACACACTAATATAAGGCCATTTTAATGTCTTTAGAGTAACTGTGACATACAACTACCCCAATAAAAAAAGAGTACATATGATCCAAATCTTGTTCTCAATAGATCGATGACTTCAAATCACTGGATAAGGTCACCAGAAACATCAAGTCCATCACAATCATTGGAGGCGGCTTCTTGGGCAGCGAGCTGGCCTGTGCCCTCGGCAGGAGATGTAAGCTTACTGAGATGAGAAAATGACAGAATAGATGATGATGATAATACTGATGTTTGAATGTTGAATTAATTTATTGCTCTGTTATTTGATCGCTCCTCCTCTTTCTCAGCACATGAGTCTGACCTGGAGGTGATACAGATGTACCCCGAGAAGGGCAACATGGGAAAAGTGTTGCCCGAGTACCTGAGTAACTGGACAACAGAAAAAGTCAAGAGAGGTTAGTGTCCTGTTTAGTACTCTAGCATGTCTAGTTACACTTAAATTTTATTATCTCCTCATTTCTTTATTAAATTTGCTCTATTTGGTTTTATAGAGGGCGTAAAAGTCATCACAGAAGCTTTGGTGAAGTCTGTGACCTGCAAAGATGATAAGTTAGAAATCCAACTGAAGGATGGCAGATTGGTAGGTTCTTGCGCAAGTTCAGTGCAAGTCAGGAAAATTACGTATTAGTTACTGATTATCTTGCGTCTCCCCTTGAAGGTGAAAACCGATCACATTGTTGCAGCTGTTGGCCTGGAGCCAAATGTTGACCTTGCTAAGTCAGCCGGTCTGGAGGTGGACTCTGACTTTGGTGGCTATCGGGTCAATGCAGAGCTGCAAGCTAGATCCAATATTTGGGTGGTAAGTTAATGTTCATAAGGTAGCTGAAGCCTTTTAATAACAGTCAACAAGATCATGATCATGTATACTTAATTTAGTGAAAGAGATCACCAGTTAGTAGCAAGTTTGCTGTTTATGTTAAACCCCATGTGCCAATTTTAACTGTATCTTATCTCCTTTAAAAAGCTGAGACTCATGATAAGTGGATGAATGTTCATGGAGTTTATGGTTGTTTAGTGATACGACTCACCCTTGTTCTTCAAGTTGAATAAAACATGTATTTATTTAAACATGGCAGCTCTCTTTTTATCACCCACTGTTAAAGAGTTGGTAAAAAAACAAAATGTTGACTGAATATAAATAAATTGAAGAACAAACAAAATCCACTGTGCTCCATTTTTGAGGTTTAATTGTGGTAGGTAAAGTAGGTGAAGGTGTGCAGATGCAAGTTTTCTATGACATTATCAGTACTTTCAGTTTTATCTTGTATTATAGTGCCCTCCTCAGGCAAACTCGGGTCATGGTCCAGCAGCAATGCACCTCTGTAGACATATAATGCAGTTGAAAATTAGGTAGAGATTGGAATCAGTGCCACATAAATCCTTAATCCTTTCTCTCTGTATTAAGGCAGGAGATGCTGCCTGTTTCTATGACATCAGACTGGGCCGCAGACGAGTGGAGCACCATGATCATGCCGTTGTGAGCGGGAGACTAGCAGGGGAGAACATGACAGGAGCCAACAAACCCTACTGGCACCAGTCTATGTTCTGGTGGGTATTAGAGTAATGCGTATTTCCTGCTAGCGATGCTAATTCAAGGGTTTCACGGGTCACAGATTCAAACCATTTTGCAAATGAGAGCCGTGGCTGCAAGCTATGAAACCAGCTTGAAGTGGAAATGAAGGGAAAGCGAGATCCAGTCTGAACACAGGTCCACATTCATTGAATACACATAAATAAGCGGGCACTGGGGCAGCATGTACAAATATAAGTGACTCTGGTTTATTCTTTTTTTAGAAGTCAGATGAACATGCATGATTGCTTTTGAAGTTCTGAATACCATTAAGTTCTGAAATATTTAAAATGCCTTTAGCGGACATTAGGGTAGGAGTTTCCACCAGAGGGCTGCGTTATCAGCGCCAGACATTTTTAAGCCCATCATAAATTTAGTAACTCTGTTAAAAACATTACTGATATGATCACGGGGGGGTGGCTAGAAATTGAACTGGAGGGAGGCAAGCACTGCACAGATGAATGCTGTGACTGCATGCTTTTAGCAGCTGCTGAAATTTGACACACTGCTGACAACATGGGTTCATTGCAGTCCAAAAAAAAATACAGGGCCATTAGTCAAACTAGCATGGTTGATGCACCAACAGATGTAGATAGATGATATGTTGATATTCTCATGAATGCCATGGTAACGTGTCTGCAGAATCAGGATACTGTGATGCCTCCTGGGCATATAAACAGCAATGGTACACTAACAGGACATCAGCAGCAGTTAGTTCATTTAAAAGGTCATCATGTTCATTTTTGTTTTATATTTAACATACTCTAGAGATACCCCTTGTTCCATATTCCACTTTTACTCCTCAATGAAAACGGTCAGTTTAAAATCAAAGGCCTTTTGGTCAAATACAATATAAACACACATATGTGAACTGTCAGTCTTTTGGTAAACTATTTCAAGAACACATTTAATTACAGTAACACTGAAATGGTGCCAACAGATTCTCTAAAAATCTCAATGAAGCTGTACACATTTAGTGCGCAGGCTCCCTGGGCAGAGTGAACACAGCATGTGAGTTTTCAAGGACAGTTAGCTGTGACATTACTTCAGGTCAGCCAGCTTGAAACTCATCAAGTGGCGGTGGGGGGGTATCACTGATGTTCACAGGTACATTTTTAACAAGTGTCCCCTCAGCCCTGTTTGTTTTGTGTGTGTGTGTGTGTGTGTTGGTGCGTGTGTAGAACAGAAGCTGTGAGAGGTACACAAACATACACATCGTTTTGAAAGCTGTTTTGACAGTAAAGTTTTCGAAACTAGAAGTTGCTGCACTTCACCTTGGAGGATGAACTTCGGCAAAACTATTTTCAACAGAAATTTGCAGAAGATTTTTTTTCCAGTGTCAGTCAAGCTGCAGTGTCTATATATTGGCTTAACTCTAAAAACAATATTATTAAAAATGTTGGGGTGAAAGCAGTTCGTCTGAAATAATATTAAATAAAGTTATTCTTCAATTCCATGTAGTAGTGAAAGGTCTTGTCATAGCACAATAAAAACAAATCAAAGGAGAGAGAATGTTTCTTGTTCTGAATCGTATTATGCCCTCAACATATTTTCCAATCGCATGTTTTCTCACAGGAGTGACCTGGGTCCTGATGTAGGCTATGAGGCGATTGGGATTGTTGACAGCAGCCTACCAACAGTAGGGGTGTTTGCCAAAGCCACTGCCAAGGATACACCTAAAGCTGCTACAGAGCAGTCAGGTAGGAGCATTCTCAATTAGTTAGTTCAAAAAAACGTAATCTTATAAAGCAAAAACAAAGAATGAAGTTATGGACTAAAGGTCAGATTTAGTTTTACCCATTAAATGTATTGCAGGAACTGGGATCCGCTCAGAAAGTGAAACAGAGGACACGGCCACTAGCCCAGTGGCTTCTTCAACGCCTGCTCCCGCTATGGAGCAACACAAAGACGACTATGGAAAAGGAGTCATCTTCTACCTGAGAGACAAAGTGGTGGTGGGTATTATCCTGTGGAACGTGTTCAACAGAATGCCCATCGCAAGGAAGGTGAGCACTGTCGCTCTGTTAGAAAAATGCCTTTGTGTCATATTAAAGACTAAAATATAGATTTGTTTATTGTAAAATTGTTTATATCTGTTATTTGTAGATTATCAAGGACGGAGAGGAACACGCAGATCTGAATGAAGTGGCCAAGCTGTTCAACATCCATGAGGATTAAGATGGAGGACACTCTTGGAAAGGGAGTTACACTTCATGTTAAGACTGAACTTTGACAGCCATTGCCACACAACTGATCATACTTACAAAACGGAGAAATTCATGTAAATCACGTCATGTCGTTGAAATATTTTCATATTTGGAATTTGTACCTGCGTCACCTGTTTGTTGTTGTTGTTTTTTTCTATTCAGGAGAAGTCAGTGTCTCATCTTCCACCAAACATTTTGCTTGCATTTTCTTTTAAATCATCGTCAAGATGTGATTGTCTGCTTTTCCCCACCAGGCTGAAAATGTCAAGCATGGATTATTTTCCTCTGTGTGATCAGAGCAGCTTGCTGTGAGAAAAGCTGCAATAAAAGCTATTTTTAAATTGGAGTGATCCCATTATTTTGCTCCTAGATAATGGCACTGATGCTAGATAAGTTGAACTGCATTCTGAGCTAAGTGTTAAAGCCTGTGTGGTTGAGCTCATCTGTCCTGGAGCATTTTAATCAATGTGTACTATTTGGCAAATTTAATTGGGTCATGCATGTGAACTATGGTGATAGGACGTTTTCAAATGGAGTGAGGAAATGTTACAGGTGTAACCTCAGCTAAAAGCACTTATTGTTAGTTTAAATGGGAACAGGCAGACTTGTATAAATGGCACCTGACAAGTAAGTTTTACAGTGTGTGAAAGTATAATCTAATTAAGTAGAGCCAATGTGCGCTCCAGCAAAAGCAGCATTAAAATGAAGCTTGACCTACTTATCTTGTCCGGAGGTAAAAATGTTCAAGCATGCAGAAACATTGTTTGGTTTTTTTTGTTTTGTTTGTTTTTTTCCCTACCTTGGGCTTCTTGTTATTAGGAAAGCATTCATGCTTTGTATTCTCACACATTTCCTATCCTATTTGACACCATGGGCTCTAGAGCGAAGTGTGGGGCGGCCTTTTCAAGTGTGAGGCAAACACGTGCAGCCATAACGTCCCGTCGCTTTCTTTGACATTAATTTTACATGAGTAAATCGCTGAACAGCCTCCCCCTCCGTATGGAGGAATAAGCACGAGCTTCCACATTTATATTTGAATTTGTCCAGCAATTTGAAGATGAAATAATTAGACCAGAAACTTTGGACAGCACTGCTAAAGATAAATTACCTCTGGATATGTACTGATGTGTGTGTGTGACACGTGTTACACTTGAATTAATTGCAATGTAATTGAATTAATTGGAACATGCCTTCATCCTCTTACCCTTTTGTTGCGGTTACATACTACGTTCTTATAATTGTGGACAATTCACTCTTATTTTAAATGATCAGATCTCTCTTAAAGATCTGTTGACAAATTTACACTGTACTTTTCTTTAAGATATGTGTCATTACAATTTTGGTGAATATCTTCATTTTAAGGATATCTTTATTCATTGCATTTGATTCATGCTTCAATTTGTGAATTTGGGTTAATAATAACTTGGAGTGTTGTGATTCCTGAGCCATATTTGATCAATGGTAAACATGACACCTTATTAAAAAATAATTTATGTCTTTAATAATACAATTAAATTGTAGCCCTTTTATTTTGCAGCAGAAAACGTGACTGTAAATGTCACATGTTTGAATCCCCAACATTTCTGCTTATCCGATGCTGTCATGAAGAGCTGTGCTGGCCACTCTGCTTTGAAGATGGTCCTGTCTCTTTAAATATTCTTGCAGTAATTCCTTGAACATGTATATGGCCATAAAAAAGAGATAAAGCTCGAAGTCGTCCACACAAACACGGGCAGATGAAAAAAAAAAAAAAAAAAACTTCCCTAGGATTTTGAATTATACAGCAGCAGCTTCCTGTATTTTACACCTGCTGAGAGGGAGGGATGCTCAGCTGAGTCCAGAAGACAGCCTGGCTGGAAGAGCAACAACAAGTTCCCTGCATCTTTGCTTTTTTTCTTTTGCAGTTCTTCTCTCCATTGGTCTTATTTCTGTTGTTTCCACAAACTAAGAATGTTATTGCACATCTTGTGTACAGTGTGGGCTTCATCTGTCATTTTTCTGCAAGGCAGGTAAGAGGCAACCTTCCTGAACTTATTTGTAATCTGCACATTGTTATGTGGTTAGACATTGTAATGCAAATGCCTGAGTGGATTTACTGCATTTAAAATGGACTGACAGAGACTGTGTGTAGCTAATGATCATAAGACATCAGATGATCTGTGGGCTTCTTTGACAAAGAGGCATGTCAACCTTACTGCTCTCCTAAAGTGAGAAGAATCATGCATGAAATATTAATGATTAATAATATAATTAAAAGACAACAGTTCCATTAAAGGAAACTGTTCATTAATGTAAAATGCAGGATTATACTATAAGTTTGTGATCGATTTTAGGTGATAAGAAGTATGCCCAAGTAATTTCACAGGTAATGTGACTTGCTATTAAAGCTGGGTCTTTGTATAAAGAAGTTTAAAAAAATTTTCTCATACAGTTATCAACACATGATGTCTATGGTGCCAACCAGTAAACCCCCTTCCAGCTAGAATTATAGATATTGTACATGTCTAGTATAAATTAGATGAGTGGATTTACTGAAGGAAAATTGGAAGTATTAAATATAAAGGAAAAAAATGTATATCAGTTTATCCAGAGTCGGTTGTCCCGTCACCTGGCAGGTCTGTGCTTTGTAAGGAGGTGAAGCTCCCCAGCAGGACAACCAAGCCCCCCTCTCCATCTGACTTTCTGGACAAACTGATGGGACGCACATCTGGCTATGACGCTCGCATCAGACCAAACTTCAAAGGTAACACACCTTGCCATGCAGTGGGAGGACCTCCTCCGTCAGGGCAGGGCAGGTGTGAGAACATACGCTGCTCATTTTGCACAACAATCTGGGCAGTGAGGGGGCACAAATCATTCACAGATGGGTCAGGAGTGAGATATGCTGCGGGCCATGATGTTTTTACACAGGAGCCTTGTGTTTTGTTTTTATTTCATGTGTACTGCTTTTATGCTGACCCACAGATTTAGGTTGTGATATTTTTAGACTTCTCTTTCAGAATGTTTTTTTGTCAGAAATGTGCAGTTCCCCTCGTACGTTACCCCACAGGCCTATTTCAGTCCAATCTCTCGTTGTGAGTAGAGCCAGCAGATTCTCTCTGACATACTTCCCCCCCTTCAGTCTCTGGGGTCGCATTTCATATATATTTCATACTTGCTCCACATCCTTGTCAGTGCATGCTGGGTAAATCCCGGCTGATTATCTATAAATACACTAATGTAACTAAAGGAGAATCAATAAATGATTGCCTCTTAGGAAATGAGTCATTGAAATATTTAAGGTTTCGGTGGTCGACAGATGGAATACACTAATGGGAGCGTACTGGAAAATGACAACACAATTTCATGCTGGTCATCTTGGATAAGTCTATTTATCAGGATATCATGAAGAGAACTAGCAGATGTTGTTTTGTGGGAACGCTCTGCTCTATACCGGCTTCAATACTTCATGCAGCCTCCTCAGAAAACATCAGTGGTATTTAAGAAACCAGTGTGACTATGATGTGTAATGACAATGTGCTTCTGTCAGGTCCTCCTGTCAATGTCACCTGTAACATCTTCATCAACAGCTTCGGATCCATCACTGAAACAACTATGGTGAGAATTGTCTTTATAACCCTAAGTGGTTGCACTTTCTTTGGATGGTCTAATGCTGAAAAAAAAAAATCAGATCATCTGGAAGATACAACAGATGAACGTCTGCTTTTATCATCTAATTACATCAAGTGTATGATAAATATTTCAGCAATAAATGTAAGTAAGTGGCAATTCTGGTCTTCAGGCCTATATACATTATAGGCTACTTATCTTAAATATATAATTTAGCAGTAGCGTCTACATGGACATGAAGTCAAGGTTTTACACTTTATATCAGCCACAAGTGCACACTAATGGATCTGTTTTGGCACCTATATCAGTTTAACTGGTCTTCCACTATCAGGTTTTAGATGAAGTAGGCCTGCTGTTCTTTCATATAACTGCTTGCACCACTATTAAGCTGTGTAGGGTGGTAGTAGCAAGAGAAAGCGAGGTCTTAAACACTATCCTACTCCTACTTTCTCTTGCTATGCTCTGCACAATAATTGTGCTCTCCATCTGTCTTTCAAGGTGTCTCTTTGATAGGAAAGACTGTAAAAGTGATGCCTAAAAACTACTCAGGTGTATGTAGTAGTCCGTTTCATAGTCATATTATTGCTCAGTATCAGTTTCATATTGTCTCTGCGTTATAGGTTGTTATACTCAACAGGTACTACTCAAAAATAATCCCCCCGACTCATGTACTGTAACTGCACCACTGATTCTTGTCACAGGTGTTGAGCATCATGTTTCAGTGTCTACTCAGTACTCAGATCTTTTACTTAAGTAAAAATATCACAGTGTAGAAATACATCGTGCACTGTTGCAATGTTACAAAAGTAAAAGTAGACATGCATAAGCTTCAAAATATGCTTAACATACTAAAAGTAAAAGTACTCATGCAGAATGGCCCATTTCAGAATAATATATTATATTCTTGGATTTTAATTATTGATTTATTAATGTGTAAAGCTAACTTTTATGTTGCATCTTGCAAGATTGGGGTTTAACTATGTTGTATAATTCTGGGTAGCTTAATGTATAACAATATATCATAATTTATTTGTTGACATTTTGTAATAACATAATCATCAATAATCTGAATCTGAAAGCAACTAGTAACTAAAGCAGTCAAATAAATGTAGAAAGTACACTTCAAGTGTAGTGGAATAGAAGTACAAAGTGGCAAAACATGGAATTACTCAGTTCCTCAATTTGAATGTCCAAATTTAAGGCAGAACTGTTTAGAATTTGTTCCAGTGCCATTATACAGGCCAGGAGACACACATACTGAGTATGTATGTTTTCTCTTGAGTTCATGTGGTTAATAATACCTTAATGTATTGTAATTTAAATATGTAGTCACCTAATTTATATCTTAGCTGTTCCTTAACAACATAATAAACATTACTCTTTGCAGCCTAGTGAGTCACATATCAGAATTAACTTTCTTTCTTTAGAAATATTAACTGTGCTTCAAAAGGCCTCAGCTGGTTTAACTTGCTGCCAATGCAGGGATTTCAGTCTGTTATTTGGACAACCGAGCTAGTGAATGCTCATTTATCAGACGCGTCAGACCCGTTGGTGTTTAATCATTTGAAGCGTTTCTGGCTGTTCTCCCTCTGTTTGGAGAGGCCATTTGAAGCAAGTTCCATGATGCCTAAACACACTGCCATTAGATTATGACTAATTAATGATGGGAAACACCATCTTGTAGGTTCAGTAAATAATGTCAGTTATGATTTTCTCATATCTCTGTATCTGTCAAATAAGGGACTATCCCTTATTTATGAGACCCATGCAGAGTGTTTGGAGACATTATTATTTATGTATTCAAGTTTAGAGTTAGGAAAACTCATGCATTTTCTAAAATATGTCTAGGGAGGGCCATCAAAGTTTAATTGGTGATATTGTAAGTGGAGTTTTCTGTCGTTTAGGTTATGAGCACTAAAGTCTGTTTGTCAGCGTTTATGCTTCTTTCTTGTTTTTTGCAGGTTAATTTGTTTCCTGCTTGTGACTTATTCCTGTTCATTTGATCTTGACCATCTCATAAGGTTATAATAAAATTACACCATAATCAGATGCACAGACATATGCAAAATAGTCTAGTTATTAATTGTGTTTTTCTCAATATAATACTATGGCCTGAACTCCACAATTGCCACTTGTGACAGTGTATTTTGTTTCAGTAATTTATAACTATAACTAGTTTAATTTCTAATTATAATTTAATTCCATAGGACTACAGGCTCAATGTATTTCTGCGACAGCAGTGGAATGACCCTCGACTAGCATATAAGGAATATCCAGATGACTCTCTGGACCTGGATCCCTCAATGTTGGACTCTATTTGGAAACCTGACCTGTTCTTTGCAAATGAAAAGGGAGCAAACTTTCACGAGGTTACAACAGACAACAAACTGCTTCGGATATTCCAGAATGGAAATGTCCTCTACAGCATCAGGTGATTGCTTTTTAAAAAAAATTGTGGCTCTGGCTGAGTAATACACCACTATATACCTCTATCAGACATTACAAATCCAGTTCCATGGTTTGTCAAGATGCCAGCTCTAAATATATGGTCCAACAACATGTTTGTTTCACTCCAGTTCAGTTCAATTGTCATTGTATTGTCCAGCACCCACTGTGAATAAGTTCACATTAAAAAATAACTGCAGGCTAAAACAGAATCAGTTCAGTAACGTGGCACTAAAGCAGCGGTGAACTGTAGCGTAATGGTGAGGAATTATCATTAGAATATAACAAAGAGGAAGAAATGTTTTAAAGCCGTATCCGTAATTCTGTTAAAAATGAACCAAAAGACCCAACAAAAACAGCAGTGGCAGCAACAGACACTCAATACATTAGACATCAGCAAAGTCCATACCAACACATCTACTGAGGTGTTGGCATGGACTGTGAATGTAATGTTCTCAAAATTCTTGATTTCTGGCATGTGAGGGTGGAAGCACTCTTCTATTTTTACTGACTGCGGTGCTGTATTCTCAGCCCACTTTACATCAAGCCCTCCATAAAGGCTGACATTGTCAGTCAGCACCTGTCAGTCCTTTGTGAGGTTTGTGTGGGGCACAGTGGAGTAGACAGATGGAAAGGAGGACAGGTGTCGAGAGGTTGGAGCTGCTTGATGTGACCCTTAATGTAAGGTGAATGTGCAAAAAGGTTTTGAGTGACACATAAGCAGGACACGGCTGGTATTGTGGGTTTAGTGATGTGGGCTAGCTGGGTTTCCAGCTAGGATGCAGTGAGAGGGTATCACCTTTTTTTATTTTACACACCATTCCAGTACCATTATGGTGTTGCTGTCTCTGTTTTCCAGGCTGACGCTTACCCTTTCCTGTCCCATGGATCTGAAAAACTTCCCCATGGACAGCCAGACGTGTACGATGCAGCTTGAAAGCTGTGAGTTAATCTTTCAAGGAAGGCCTGAAAATATTACACATAAATGTTGTCATAAAACCTTCCATCTGTCTTTCTTCTAGTTGGCTACACCATGAATGATCTGATTTTTGAATGGCTGGATGTGGGAGCGGTGCAGGTGGCTGATGATCTGACGCTCCCTCAGTTTGTGCTGAAAGAGGAGAAAGGCCTCGGCTATTGCACCAAGAACTACAACACAGGTACATGACACGTGACGACCTGCCAACCAACATCCTTGATAGATACTGCCAATCAACTTCTAATAAGACTGTCAGTTTGTACCTGTATCTCCTCCTGTGGATAGGTAAATTCACCTGCATTGAGGTCAAATTCTACCTGGAGCGTCAAATGGGCTACTACCTGATCCAGATGTACATACCGAGCCTGCTCACTGTCATCCTGTCCTGGGTGTCGTTCTGGATCAACATGGATGCAGCCCCGGCCAGAGTGGGACTGGGAATCACTACAGTGCTCACCATGACGACACAGAGCTCTGGCTCCAGAGCCTCCCTGCCCAAGGTCAGACTGTTATTCATTATTTATTAGACATTCTGGGATGATTTCAGGAAAAAAAATGGTTACAAGATTAGACATGTGAACTTTGAAACGGCTACTCATAAGAACAAACCTTCCATATATGAAGCTGACATGGGACAAATAGAAGTGCTGCATAATTGTCATTTGTTTATTGTTACTGGAAGCAGAGATAATCTCAAGAAAGCAAAGGTTTTAAAAAGTTTATAAAATCTGAGAAAAAACTCAGCCTAAGTTCAGGCAGGAGTTGACATTTGTAGCACCCAGGCCTGGCTTTGTGACTGGCCAAGTAAAAAGCTTTAAATTGAGCCACTTTACTTTTTGACCACAGGTTTGTCGCTGTCTGTTTTAGTCAATTCAACCCAAGTTGTATTGATGGTGCATTGAGCCCTGATCAGTTTTTTAATGCATTAAAAGGAAGGAAATTTTCACAGGAAATGGTTCAAAAGGCAGCAGTAGAAGATATCATCACAGATATTTTTTTACAGTAATATAAAGTAGTAATACCACTTTTTTGTAGTATTACCACTACATCTAAAAGCATAAAAAATGTACGTAAGTAATATAACTATTCTCAAAAATATACCTGCATTAATATACATTTTGAGGCCACAGCTGGTCAGAGTGAAGGTAATTTTAACTAATTACATTTTTGAGGTTCTCATACTTTACTTGAGGATTCTTATTTTGTGCTACTTTGTACTTCTACTCCATTACATTTGAGAGGCAAATATTGTATATATTTTTATTCCACTACATTTATCTCACATCTAAAGCTACTAGATTCTTATTTTACACACAAAACATATCAATTTATAAAATATCCTAAGTTCCTACTTGACCAATTAATTCTGCATAGTAACTTTTGATACTTCCAAGTACATTTAGTACTTTTACTTGAGTAGAATTTTGACTCTAAGACTTTTTCTTGTATAGTAGTATTTTAATTGTGTTGTTTTGCTAAGTTAAAATCTTCCCCCACTGTTTAATATCAATGAAGCTACATGTGAATCTTGACACAGGATTTGTAATTCCATCTTTTTTTAATGTGGCTGCCTAGCATGACATGAACACTAATGTTCACAGAGTGATTTTGCTGATTTGCTTTTCATGGTTTCACAGGTGTCCTATGTGAAAGCCATCGACATCTGGATGGCAGTGTGTCTTCTTTTCGTGTTTGCCGCACTACTGGAGTATGCAGCTGTTAATTTTGTTTCACGCCAGCACAAGGAGTTCTTCAGACTGAGGAAGAAGCTCAAAGAACAACAGCGACAGAGAACTGTGAGTGCAACCCACCCACTCAGCCCCTCGGGCCGCTGTCACCTGCTATTCCCTACGCCCAGCTATGCACGAGCTACACAACTCAGCTGCATGTTGCGCTCCAGCCGCGGAAATGCAGAAAGCGTTGACCTGTAATTAATTCAAGCCATCACCTTATTCTACTGTTGGCTGAATGTTCTCAACATATTGTGGCTTCACTTTGAATCAAATGAGAAGAGGAAAAATTAGGAAGCCAAAATAGAACAAATCACCTTTAAATATAAAATATTTCTTAAATGAAGCAGTACGACAGAAGCTGCAGGATTCATTAATGCCTTGGAATATTTATAATACACCAAACATCTGCTTGAATCCTTTGTTGGGATTATGCAATGTCACTGAAATTTTCTCTAACTACATGTTCAAGCTGTTTCGTTTCACATTAATGTCAGACTTATATTCATTTTGTAAGAAAGAGATGATGATTGCTTTTTACTGTACAATGTTTGAAACGTACATGCAGCACAGCGAGGCAGCTGCAGACTGTTCGATCAATGCAGTCTGTGTGATGATTTATGTGCTCCTTTTTTGCCCCATCAGCAGGCAAGTGGTGACAGTAAGGTGAAAGGAAGCCAAATGTCAGGCAACAATGCTCCTCATGGGAACGTAGCCCAGCGGTGCAGTGTCTGTGCCAAGGTATGTACTGTTGTCACCTGGTTTAGTTTAGCACCAGCCAATCAGTGGCTCAAAAAGAAAAACAACACAGTTTGGCTGTGTGATTCGTCTCAAAGAGTGCAGATGGTTATTCGGTGTCTTTTTCTTCCAGGAGGAGGAGCTGGCACAGCAGGGATTACTCTTCCAGAGTTTTGGACTTGCGCTGTCAACAGGAAGTGGACCGGAAATGGATGCAACACCAGTATTTGCTGATTTACCTCCTGGCTTAGGTTTCTATGACATACGTAGGCGCTTTGTGGATCGGGCAAAAAGGATTGACACCATCTCCCGAGCTCTCTTCCCCATGAGCTTCCTCATGTTTAATGTCCTTTACTGGCTTACCTACAAAGTTCTACGACATGAAGACCTTCTAGCCACACTGTGACAATGCAACAACTGAGGACCATTAAGACACCGGATACCTTTAATTCTACTCTCATCACTGAAACATTTACATGCTGAGAGTCCTCAGCTGAGCCATGCAAGATGCGTTTTGACTGCATGTCCAATGCAATTGGAAAATTCCACGACATGGAACAGTCCGTCGGTTTCTTTTAATTTTTAATACTTCCAAAGATATGCACTTTTTATTGGCATGGATGCTTTATGCATTACGTGTCAGTGAACAGTATGTGTGTACAATCAGCATCTTAAGTATTTCAACTTACACTTTTTTGGAAACATTTCTGTGTGTGCAGTTACTGTAGATTCACATGTATTTGGACTACAGCACACCCTTACCAGGTCTACATTTTTTTTTATTATGCACTAATTTAACTGGTGGCACAGTCAACAGTGTCCAGAGCTACAGGTTTCTTATCATCAGACAAAACATATCACTACAAGCAGGAATTACACTTTGAAACAGAAACATCTTTACCGTGTTTCTCACATTAACCATACTTTACAGAGCTGAAAAATACATTAATGGAAACATTTAGTTTCTTTGTATGCTGCAGAAATATAGGATTGAATGCTATTTTTTTTGACATGGCTATTTTATCTATCATAATAGTAATCAGTTACGTTTCAAACCCTCCAAGACTACCTGTAATATAAACAGGAAAGTTTTTTGAAATGTCTTTCAAATTTAAATTAAGTAATACGTATTATTCAACCTCAACCATCTCAGTCTTCAGTTTCAAACCTGCATACTTTCCAGGGATTTATATGACCAATATTCAATCCTTTAACAAGAATAACATGAAATGTGGATTAGATGCTAACGAGCTCTGGAGAGTGGTGTATAATGCCAGCTAGTTTTTATTCATATCAAAATGATTACAAATAATCATATTAAATATATTGTATCAACAAAAAGGTTGAATTCAGGTTGTTGGAGATTGGCTTACTTGGTAATGGGAATTGGCTGCATGAGAACAGTTATCAAAACATGTTGCTTAACTAATGTTCTCCTGAGGCCTGCACGCTGAGAATAAATTGTCTCTGTGTATTTTTTCCTAAGAAACAAACACATCCCTGAAACTCTTTGTTGGTCAATATAAAATAAAGAAATGCTATGATATGAAAACATATTGTAACCTTTCTTATGCATCATTGTGATGAGGTAATTTTTTTTCCTCCATAAATTTAACAGCTTTTGACAAACTAAACCAAAGGATTACATTTAATTTACACACTTAATTATCATGACATTAAAATGTTAAAAGTAAGACTTTCTCTATGGCCAGAAGCATCTAACCAGCAATGAAAGACTTTTTACTAGATTTGTCTTCCCTCCAATACTTTCCTCAGTCACTGTTAATCTCAATCCTCACTCTAAAAGTGCAAAATGCCACAGTAATAACTGTCTCTTGAACTGTTTCCATGACTTGCCCAGTACCTCACACTGTATTTTAACATATTGAGAGATTAGCTTTCCTGTGGGCACATCTGCATGGAGACCAGGTCCATCTCTAGAAACCTAGTCTCATTTTAAAAATAAATCTTGTCATAAAAAAAGCTGTCATATTAATGTTTCATTTAAAAGGTAGCAGTCACATGGATATACAGCAGAAGGAGCATGCTGCATATATCAGCACTATGCATCTGCGTGAAACACGGATGCATCTCTTAAATCTGAGAATTTGTATTATTTCTTGCCACAAGAGGGTGCTGTTCGCTCTTTTATGTCCAAGCTGATCATTGTTGCCCACATAGGCCATATAAGCAGTTTCCTTTTTACTTAATGTGAGGTGAGGATCTCTTGCTGTTTGAGACTGACTTAATTACTAAATTAAATTTTCATTTGGTATTTATATTTCTGGTATGTGATATTAACTGGCAAATTATTAGTTATTGAAATGTGTATTGTCCAATATAAGAACCGCTCTTATTTTTCTACTTTTTTGAGTGAGGTTTTGAATTGCTTCAAGCTCTGCCAAATGTCAGCCTAAACTATAGCTAACACCAAGTGTGAGTTAGCTATTCTAATCCGGCCTCAAAACATTTTAGTGTGCATTTACTCTTTGTTTGAATTTTAAGCAATTAAGTCAGATTCACACATGAAACAAGAGGGTGATTTCACTCACTTAGTAATGTCTCCGGATAAAAATGGTAGCCCGGTCCTGATGGACATTTTAATTGTGGGGCAGTTAAGGGGGCAATTTAAAAAAAAATGTTGGAAGGAGGGAAGACACTGAGGAAATATAAAGCTATATAACCATTGCACACAATATATTAACACCACAATGACTTACTCTGCCCACTGCTCCATCCAGACTTACTGAGGATAAAATCTGTTGGTGATGAAGGAATCCTTTCTAATAGATAGGTCTTCGTGGTTTTTTGGATCTAGGCAGATATATGGGGATTAGTTTGAACCCAGGATTTTTCCATATATGTTGGTATTTCTAATGGGATATAAAATTGAGCAATCAAGATACATAGCATATAAAACATATCACACAGAAAATATGCAAATTGACGTATACATTGCACGTGACTGATTTGGGCACATGTATTGCGATTACAATATTAATGTTGCTCCTTTTGGCAAAACTGTAGGAAACAGCAACAGGAATTTGTTTTCATTCCACATGTAGTAAAATATTTACAAATAAATAGGGAATATCTGCATAAAGTGGTAGTGAATTTGCAATAAGTCGGTTTTCCATTTTGGGAGTGGGGCTGGTCTCACCGGGACCCTCCACCAAAGTGTCCACAGGCTGGAGACGTGGCAGCGCCTCCCGTCACACGAACCCCACCCCGTTTTTCTCACCCTGAAAAGATTTTTTTTAATCACTTGTCTGTTACTTAAGTGTTAGACATCTGCCAAAACCTGAAAAGTCCTGCTAAATACTTCTGCATAGCTTAGTCCAAATCCTAGACATGGACTTTGGTGGCGGTGACCACCCCAAACAGTGCCATTTTTAGACGTTTACTGCTGACGTTTCCAAAGGCTTCAAATAGCTTCCGTTTTACACTGGTAGTGATTGGACCGCTCTGTACTCACCCAGTGTGAGCTAGCAGTGGCTGAACAAGTCCGACATTCTACACTTCAATGGAGGAACAGCCCAAAGATCGGGCACAAGAAAGGCAATATCACCAGCACGGGGAGGACAGAAACTCTATTCAACATACAACTTGTCTAAAAAATGATCAGAGCCACTTCCAGCGCCAGCATCAGGAAACGCAGACGAAGAAAACAGGTTGGGCCATCCGGAAAAGTGAGCTAACGCTTGCTAGCCTTAGTCAGCTAATGTCAACGAGCCGACTAGCATCTGCTAACTAATGTGAACTCCGTCGTGATCGTGGGCTGTAGCCTGCTAGCTAGCTAGCTATCTATTAAAACTAATGTTTCCAGCAATAATTTAAGAAGCGTTACAACTGGTGAGTCGCTGATTGGACCGACGATTAGCTCCTGCCGGTCCCGAAACCAACCATTGAGTTAGCTGGCTAGTTGGCTAGCTGACGTTGCGTGACAGTTGTCGCTGGTGGTGGTTTGACATATCGGGGATTGACCTTGTGCGCCGGTTTCACCACCCATTTTTCTTTTGCACTAGCCAACTGAATAATTTCAGAAAACCCTACTCTGTCTCCATGTGTGCTAAACCCAGTAGCTGCTAAATGTGCATGCCGTTTTGCGTTCAACAGTAGTCAAAGCCTTTTCATTTGAGCAACATTTGAGCATGCTTGTGTCCAGTTTAGGAAAGCGAGCCGGCTCCACTGGAATGTTCTCAGCTGCCATTTCCTGTCGGCCATGTTAGAATATCACTGCGAGCTAATGCTATAGTTACCTGGCTATAAATAAATAAAAAAGTACAACCACGATACTTTGCTGTACTGGCATGTCGTTGTCGTCCTTTGCCTGCTTGTGTCGCTGGTGTTAGGCGGCTATCTTACGCCACAACCAACCAGGGCGTGTTAATGCTAAACCAGTGGCTGGCTAGTTGACATTAGCCATAGCTAGTCATCTCTGACAGGCCTGTTGCATGTTGTCCAGTCAACGTGAAGCCACGCAGCAACTCTATTGTGAGCACTCGGTAAATATATGGTTTGCTGCAGCTTAGCACTGACACTGTAACTATCGACTTAACGTTTACTGGTAGCTCTGTTAATACATTTGCTTGCAAATGAGCGAGAGCCTGCCTCGGTAAGAATAAGAGAAGCGAAGCTGTATGTAGAAGCTTGTGTGTGCTGTGCCCATAGATATGAGGGGCCATACCGTTGAATTGGAAGTCCCTCGTTGACACAGCAGCTCCCATGCCTCTGTGCCATACATAGATTTATTTGTGGTTCGCTGTCAGTCTAAGTGTATTTCATAAATGCTGCTGTTAGCCCTCCTTTTACACCTTGAATCAACTGGCCTTTGATGTCAGCTCAGCTATTCTCTAGAAAGTTCATCAGCTAACAGTTCAGTGAGTCTGCAGCTGACAGTTGGGGATATGTGCATAACTTGTTACATAGAGTGAGCAACCTGTGTTATGAGATGCATTTTCAGACAACACCATAAACAAACAAGCAATATTTTCTTCTGTTGTCCAGTACTTGTCCTGTCTTTGTCTCACTAACAAATGAATTGTTGTCAGACTTGTTTGTGATTTGTAAAGACCAGTTTAAGTCTGTGTGGATAGCAGATGCACATTTTTAATACCAAATGGATAATTCATGTGGATAATTCATACTTTTATTTTGAATATGACTTGCATACGAAGATAATGTGGTGTGTGTGTGTGCAGTATTTTAATCATTTTTCAATTTAATTCATTTGCTAGAAATTGGGGCAGTTTTCGGCAAGGTAGTGGAATTGAGGTGTGATTGAAGTGTTTTTAACATTTTAGCATAAACTAATTTTGTTTCCCCTTTCAGGCAATAAAAAAATAAACATCAGTGAGGAAGAGGGGGAGAAGAATCCGCATCTGTCTGATACTGTTTGTATGTCGCATCCCCCCAACAGCAATGGTAACAGAAACGCAAGTATTCCAAATGTGAAGCTGAAGTCAACACAAAAGCTGTACACGCCTGTTCCAAAAGTGAGCAGCAAAGGACTGGATCATAAGAAGAATATGGACCTTAAAACTGACAATGAAAAGGCAGTGGATTTGATACATGATGATGGCCAACCTTTGGATAAGAAAGACTCTATGTTGCTTCAAAATGGCGTTGTAAACTGTGGCTATATTACGAATGGCTATTCTAGCAAGGACAATGATGGCAGCGGCTCCGAAGGTGGATATACTACTCCGAAGAAACGCAAGGCCAGATGTAACAATGCCAAGAACACTGATAATGTGATAAGAGAAAGGGAGAGAGACATGCAGCAGGGCAACACTACAGAGGAGCATGGGGCTTTGAATCTTGAGACAACTGAGAAGGGAGTGACTTCCAGACTTGATGGCTTCAGAGCCCATAAAGTAGAAGCCCAGTCAGCAGCTAGACGGGCTATCGCGACAGACGCTTCATTGGGTGAATCTCAGAGGAAAAACTCTGATGGCAAAACAGTTGGCACCTTTGGTAAAAAGACTGAGGAAAGGCCCAAAGCCAAACTTTCCTCGCCTTCAAAAGAGGACCCATGGACTTTGTTCAAGCCCCCTCCAGTATTTCCTGTGGACAATAGCAGTGCTAAAATTGTTCCCAAGATCAGTTATGCAAGTAAAGTAAAAGAAAACCTCAACAAAGTAGCCCAAGGTGGAGGAGAGGCACTGCCTCCTCCTGTCAGACTGTCACAGGTCCCCATGTCTGCTCTGAAAACTATCACCTCAGCTAGCTTTACTAATGGTCCTGTTTCTGGAAATGGAAACAGCTGCCCATCAGTGGGTACCTTCTTTGCTCCTGCTGCTAGTAGTATTCCATCAGCCCAATCTATCCCAAGTGGCGAGAATGTAGCATCACCTTTGGAAAGTAACTGTAGCTCTACAACTAGTCCAGTAGATGGAGAAGCATATGAGCTTAGAAAGTGTACTCTTTTAATTTACCCTTTAAATATGCAACCTGTGCTCCCTAGCGCTCGTCACCTTGACCCTCCGGCTGCTCAGACAAATCAGAAAGCCTTGGGAGATATCTTCCAGAATCAGTGGGGGCTTTCCTTCATAAATGAGCCCAACTTGGGGCCAGAAGGAGGAAATGGCCAGGTGCTCGCAGAGGACAAGACTACTGTGGTCACTCCTCAAAGCGAGTGCCAGGCTGTCGCATCCAAGGCTGCACAGCCCTGCTTTGATGTTGGCCCATCATTCTTAGAGCCTGGCACTTTAGCTGAAGACCCCGAGAAAAGGACTTGTACACCTTGCAATGTGTCTAATGCTTGTTTTCCTGCTTGTGCGATGAGCAAGGAGAACAAGCTACAGCCATGTGGCCAGGAAAAGACGAAAGTTGAGGCCAAGGGTGCGGGTTATTCTATGTTGGTCCCCAGTAAAGACAACGGTGCTAAGCCTGCACAGGGCCAACAAACCACTTTGTTGTTTGGCTCATCTAAAGAACAGGCCCAGTCTAAAGACATTGGCAGAAGGTGTAGCTGGG